TTGACGAACTTTTAAAATATTGACTTGATAAATTCATAAATCAGGGTTGACATTAATGATTAAATAAGCCTTAAGTTTTAATTTATCAAGTTTTAAGTTTTGTGCCGTGTTCGAATAAATGGGTCAATCAAATATTTTGATTGACCCATTTAGAAAGATTCAGAATAGCATTTCTAAGAGACTAGTGCAAATAAATAACATGAAGGCTGATGCTCTAGCAGAAGAAATAAATAACACTGACGACACCAGAAAGATGTTTGAAGCTTCAAGATATTTAGCTGGTATAAAAAAGTCGGGTAACATAGTGGTCAATGATACCAACAACAATCCTATTGGTACCGATTTAGGGAAAGCAAACACAGCGAAATCTTTCTTCGAAAAACAACTAACAGAAGGAGTTGAAGCTGGCCTGCAACCTTTTACCTGCGATCCAAAACCACTTGATAACCCCATTACACCAGTTGAAGTTAAACTTGCTGCAAGTAAACTCAAATCAAACCGTGCCAGTGGTCCAGATAATCTCCAGAATGAGTTGATAAAGTACGCCCATCCAATCACTTTTGAGAAGTATGCTGAGGCAATTAACGAGTCATTTAGTGGGAACAAATACATTAGTTCGATAGGACAAGGTATTGTGACTCCTCTGCAGAAGCCCGGTAAACCTAAAGGTCCCCTCACAAGCCTTAGACCACTTACACTGTTAAACGGATCGAGGAAGATGCTCACTCAAATTGCCTTAAAACGGGTTGAGAGTAGAATTGACAACTACACCATGCCATGGCAGAGTGCTTACAAGAGAGGTAGGAGCTGCTCTGACATTGTGTGGGCTCAGAGAATGCTCATATCTGTTGTGATGAGGAAGAAATGGACATTTAGCAAAATGGGTATTGATATGAGTAGAGCTTTTGATACCGTGAAAAGGGATACTATCATAAATGTTTTGAAAGATGCTGGTTGTTCGGAGGACGACATTCGCTTAGTTCAATACCTTCTATCGAATACTCTCCTTAGAGTTCGTGTTAACTCCTCACTGTCGGAAGAGTTTGAAAGTTTACTCGGAGCCTTTCAAGGTGACAGTTTATCTGGAAAGCTATTCACACTTATTCTTGCAGCAGCCTTACACCACCTCAGAGCTGTATCTGGGAGACCAAACCCACCAGTATCAGAACTAGGTTTTCCAACTGAGTGGGAATATTCAGACGATTGTGACTTTGCTGACGAGGACATCGAGAAACTGAGAATTTTCCTTCCTGCAGTGAAAGAGATTCTCAAAGACTGGAACCTCCAAGTAAATGAAAGTAAAACTGAATTCAGTACCTTCTACCTGGCGAAAAAATCTGATAAAGACACTAACGGTCAGCCATTAGCTAATAATGAACCATGGCGAAGTAATAAGTCACTAGGTTCCTTACTGTGTACTGAGAAGGACATTCAAAGAAGGAGAATCCTAGCTGAAATTGCTTTTAAGAACTTCGAAAAAGTTTGGTTGTCCGGTAAGAAAATTTCCCTTGAAAGAAAGCTGAGGTTATATGACGCTCAAGTTGTATCTGTATTAATTTACAACTCAAATAGTTGGAGTCCTAAAAAAGCAACCATGGAGAAAATGGACACACTTCATCGTAGACACCTCAGGTCCATTTTAAACATCAAATGGCCTAAAGGTATGATAAGCAACAAAGCATTGTATGAAAGGTGCAAAGTTGAAAAGTTATCAAAGCGTATCGAACACCAGCGGTGGAAGATGTTTGGACACATTCTCAGGAGTATGGAGAACACCCCAGCCCAAACGGCTCTCTCTTTTGCTATTGAATCAGATAATTTATTTATTGGAAGATTGGGGAGACCTAGAATGAACTTGTTATCGGTTTTAAGAAGTGATTTAAGTAGTAGAAATTTGCAAATGGACAACTCTCATGAATTGAATGAAATTAGAGATATAGCTGCATGCAACAGATGTTGGGAAAATCTTTTTCAAGGGTACAGTTTACCGCATTAAGGTATTTTTAAGAATCATTTTTGTCGGTAAGATCCTGTTTTATAATAATAATAAATATTTTGTACACCCTGGTAGCTACTATTAATAATAATTATTATTACTTATTATGATAAATAATAATTGCCAATTTGAATACTGTAATTGACTGATACACGGAGAAAACATTCTCGTTACCTTCCGAAATTTACCCGTTTCAATTGTCCTTAACTCAACTGCGCAAAACACAATTATTGACTATTATAGTATGGCAGATTATTGATGCACAATTTCCACACAGTCGCGAAAATACATAATCATAATATGGCCGATATTTTGCTAAATATGCACAATACAGTTTACACCCAGGCGCAAATAAATTATAAGGAGGCAGATATTTTGCTAAGAATGCGTAGTTTACTCCCAAACGCAAATAAATCATAAGGAGGCAAATATTTTGCTAAGAATGCGTAGTTTACACCCAGACGCAAATAAATCATAAGGAGGCAAATATTTTGCTAAGAATGCGCAGTTTAAACCCAGACGCAAATAAATCACAAGGAGGCAAATATTTTGCTAAGAATGCGCAGTTTACACCCAGACGCAAATAAATCATAAGGAGGCAAATATTTTGCTAAGAATGCGCAGTTTAAACCCAGACGCAAATAAATCACAAGGAGGCAAATATTTGGCTAAGAATGCGTAGTTTACACCCAGACGCAAATAAATCATAAAGAGGCAAATATTTTGCTACGCACGTTTGAGCGTTTGGCAAATATTTTGCTAAGAAGGCAAATTTTTCATAGTACAATATTTGCCTCCTTATGAAATATTTGCATCATCGCTCGCAGCATTGCAAATACATCATAACATGGCAAATATTTTGCTAAGAAGGGCGCATATTTTGTTAGTGCAGCGAATATTTTCGTAACATGGCAATGTTGCAATCTGGGAGGGGGCTTTAAAATAACTATCATGCAACAACAATTTACATCGACATGCAACCTGTAATGGTTGCTACATTTGATTGAGGTGTTAATTCCCACTAGGGGTCCTCAAATTATTTGTTATATAGTAGTGTTGAAAGTATTAAAACTTTAGAAGAATAACCGTTGTTGTACGGTTTGAAATGCTGATGGCCTCATAAAGGGAGTATGGGCAGTGATACTTGATAATCTTAGAGAATTCTGAAATGCAGTGGTACTTGAACAAGTTTTGGACCATTAGAATTAAAAATGGGTTTTGTATGCTCCTTTTCAAAGTGTTTATGGGCTAATATTTGTATGCCATCTTACTATATATAAAGCAAGACGTTATATATGTGTTTATCCGTACCATTTTACTTGACACCACGGCATCAACTTTAGCGCGACTTTCCGCAAAAACCGTAAAAGATATACAATTGAAACTTTTTTGACTGGGTAAAATGCTTTAATGGCCTCCAAATCAGCATGAAAAAATAAAAAATTTGCCAAGGAATAGGAATTTTAGGGCCCAAAATTTGGACTCCCAAGTGGTGTCAAAAATGTGAATTAAATAGGTGATAATTATTTTAGTCTCTTGAGTCTTGACACCATTTTAGGGTTATACAGGTTCCTGCTAGTATGGTCTAGTTCGTGCACATGTTGATTGTTTATCTATATGAGTCGTTTTTATCATTTGACCGTTTTTTGAGGACAATGCCCCAAACACTTATACCACAACTGAGATGTGATTCAAAGAGAGCATTATGTATTTTCAAATATAGTTCAGCAGGTATCGAGTGCCGAATTCTACAGATTGTACCAGTCATGGACCGTTTGATTGCTTTGATTGGAATCCAGTCTTCTTTGTATGTCTGGAGTCACCACTCAAATTGAGTTCCATTGTCTGGGAGGTGCACCTCCCAGACAATGGAACTCAATTTGATGTAGTCTAGTGGTACCTCCATTTGTCGCCAAACTAACAAAGGTCATTGATAATTCATCTTGGTTAAAATATCGATCAGACCTCTTAAAGTGTAGTGCTCTGAAAGCCCTTTTCTCTTTTGCAGGTCAATCAGATTGCAAAAACTTATTAATATCGTCATCAAATAGAGTGCACCAATGCATTGCAAGAAAGCAGTTTACTTGCTTTGATTAGAGCCCAGTCTTCTTTGTTCCTCACAACCTCACTTACTGTGGACCTCAATTTGATACAGTCTATTGTTACCTGTATTTGTGGTCAACGGACAATTCATTAAAATATTGATCAGACCTCTTTAAATGCAGTGCCCTGGTGGCCCTCTTCTATTTTGCTTATATTGCAGTAATTTATTAGGAGAGTTGAATTTCTTTGGGGAATCCCTCCAGGATTTGGCCAACTAGATAGACTATGAACGAATAAAGTTAAACGGTCTCATATGAAATCATTTAGATGATTACCAACCTTGGATCACAACTTTGGTATAATAAAATCAAGACTCTGCACACATCTCATACCACCTTAATAAAGAGGGAGGATCCTGGACCCCGAAATCCACCACTTTTCTGTACTTTCAGAGGTACCAATGTGGCAGGAAACCAGGGCTCATATGCCTTGAACTAAAGCAGTACAGGGGGTGTCTTCTCTGGTATCTAACACATCCTGAAGCAGCCCAACACACTAGTGTTGGGATGTCTGCCCCTGGTGCCTGCCCGGGTCAATAAAGCATTCAAGCGTCATGTATGTTATGTTTATAAAGCGGATGTTATTGCCCACTTAAAGGGGCCTGTTAATAATTAGTTAAATTATTAACTATTTTAGATTTAATAAATTATATTGCAGTCATATATATCACTATTGATGAGTTGTGCAGCTGATACTTATCATTCTTGCACTTCTGAGGACTGCTTCTTCTACCTTGGGGACACTTTTTCTCAATCTTTACTCATTCGATGTTGAGACTGAAAAGGACAACATTATTAGCATGTCAAAAATCCACATTTTGCCCTTTGTAAAACCATATATTTATATAATTTTATTTACAGTATCATATATTTTGATAATTTTGTCAAATAAAATTGTTTCCAGGAAGCACAAATGACATAATACAAACAGGATGGGGTGTGGCGACTCTAAAACTGCAACAGTTCATGTCTTATCTGAAGACACAAAATTGGTGAGAGTTTCAATACTTCTTTTGCATATATATACATATAATGTAATTTTAATGTTACATAGCTCAGAAAAACAGTTATTTGAACGTAAGCTATTTTAATGTTGTAGTTGCATGCACAATTCACTTGTTACATAGCTTTCGGTGTCATCTCCACTTGCTATTCATTCTGAAATCTTATGATGGCTATGTGGCGCAGTTCGTTAGTCAGCTTGCTTGTGAAATGCCTCGCATTCACAGGGTCCCAGGTTCGATACCCGTCTGTGCCGCTAGCCATGGGGTGAGTGTCGTTGACGCTCTGCTAAGGGTTCCGTTGGACCTATGCAGCCCCCCGGTCTACTCAGCCGAATGCTCGAGAAATCGTGTGTGAGGGTTAAATGAGGAGCTGTACATGATCAATACAGCGAAGCTTCGGGCGAAGAAAGTGTGGTATAATACCTTAACCGTCGCTGGCGTTAGACTTGATCCTTCGGTTTCCTGTAAGTGCCGGTTACATGCCGTGACTATAAAGCCATGGTTGTCCGAAGTAAAGCATAAGGGTGGTCATTTCAGTTGATGGCCCTGCTGCAGCGCAGCTAAAGCATCACATAAGTAACATAAGTAAGTATGGTATGCATTATGACCTCCAATCACGTGTACAAGGGGCACCATTTATTCATTCATTCATTCATATTTGGTTTTCACCACAGAGAAAATGGGTCAGGACCTTCTGGACTCCTGTGACCGATGTGTTTCACTCACGACCCCGCCCATTTTCTTCTTTTGATATGGAATATGGATTTTGGCCAGAGATCAGTTACCTAGTTAGTAAAGTTGGTTACTTGTTGGTTACTTGTTGGTTACTTGTTGGTTACTTGCTGGTTACTTGTTGGTTACTTGTTGGTTACTTGTTGGTTACTTGTTGGTTACTTGTTGGTTACTTGCTGGTTACTTGTTGGTTGCTTGTTGGTTACTTGTTGGTTACTTGCTGGTTACTTGTTGGTTACTTGTTGGTTACTTGTTGGTTACTTGCTGGTTACTTGCTGGTTACTTGTTGGTTACTTGTTGGTTACTTGTTGGTTACTTGTCACTGAACTTTTATAGACTTGGTAACTGGCTTGATGGGGAGGAAAGCCTAATTTTCTTAAAACATGAAATCCATCAATCAATCAGCTTCTAACAGTACTATCACTTTTCAAAACGAATATGGCTCAACTCGCCACCAGTGACCAAGTTTATTAAAGGTAAATCTGTCTATGCCTGTTGTAGCACATAAATGAATCGTCAGTTAAATTGGTTTAGGGAACTTCGTTTGCTAACTCAATATCTTGTAATAGGTCCTTGTCTAAGACATTATTATCGTCTCTTCAATAGTTTCACTTGGCACTTGCTACAATAGATTCTATTATTATTGTCTACTGTATCAAACGAACTGTTTTACCATTACTATTTACCTTCTAATAAAGATTAATTTCAGGGATCCGAGGGTTCTAGTGAAGAGTTTGGAGGGTCAGATGAGGAGATGTTTATACAGAGGAGAACCTGGGGCTCACCAGCCCCTCCCCTGCCGGACATTGCCGGATCAAGAGGTAATGTCCCCCCTCTAGCTGACATTCCTAACGATTCTCTTCCAGCTGATGTTTTCCCAACTGATTTACCACGTTATAAACCGCTCCGTAAGTTAACTAACCATATTATAATAGGTACAATGTACATCTTCAATCTTCAAAATTCAAGAAGATATAGCAATCTTATTTGGTAATTTCTCTACAGTCCGGGGAATATTTCCACTAGTTATCCGTAATATCAATACCGTATTTTAAACTTGATGAGCATACACAAAGCGTCTTGAAGTAGTTCTCTATTGTCTTAGAGCTCATTTTGACACTGGTGTGTCCAGGTGTTTATTGGAACCGTTACTGCGCTTGTCAGGTCGTTGAAGATGTCATGAATCATGTTGTACTGTCCACCGTCTGAGATGAGGATCTTGTTTACGTGTGTGGTTGTTGTGTAGGACCCCCGGATACAAGAGAGTTGTTTCTTTTCCCATGAACATACCCGCATACCGTTATAGAATCTTTTACATGGCTCATGTCTGAGTTAAACTTGACAGAGTCACTGAGATAGATGCTGCTAGGCTTGATGATTAGGTACCAATATTGATAGGTAAATTTATAACAATTCCCTGGCAGAATTCGTGTGGTGGCCGCATAGAATCACTTCCTTATCGCCCAGTTTCAAGGGAAAATTATGTTTTTATCATAAAAACCTTCTAAACTTTAATAGTTTATAAAACACAAAAATTGAAGCTTTGTTAATCGACACCCAGTAAATCGAAAGTTTACTTTTTTATTCTGCTTCAATCAGACTATTAATTTGTAATACAGGCTTTCAGGCTTTGAATTGAGTTTAAATGTATATAATTGTAAATATATTAAGACAGTTCGCTACATGTACAATGTACATACATTATGGAATTGAAGTTTTTACTATTCTTGATAAATGTAAATCTTACTTTGGTTCTATGCTCTTATATTGCTATAAAAAATTGTTTGAAATGTTTCACACGATGTGAGAAAATCCTCCGATATGCGTGAATACGGTGCATATGATGATATACTCTCAATCATGCAAGTTACACCGTGATCGTTCTTTAAAGCATTGCTTGATATCAGAGTTTAGTAGTATAAACCCCCAGCAGTTCGATTGTTTGCAATCGTTTTAACACCTTTGCTTGCTTATGTAAAGTTACAGTTAATGTACATCACGTGGTATTCATATGCACTAAGATAGTGTCACCTCAATAGAGCTAAATTGATAACATAAATGTCAACCTGATTGATGTGATTGATGTGATAGGTTAGTATTGTAGAATGTAGAGCCGGACGTTAGATAATCAGATATACATATAGCCAGCGTAATTTATAGTCATAGATCAGTAATAATAGTAAAGGCGTGTACGTCAATCTAAGTTTAAGTAATTCAAACTTGCGTCTTGCATGGCAAGCATGAGGCATCACGCGTCATGTACGCAGTTTAGTGTTTATCAATTACGTGTGAATTACGTAAACTCTACATGAGCACTGATATCAACGAATATCTTGTTAGATTTTTGCTTATCAACAAAATGCTTTGACTTAATGAGAATTTTGTAACACAATCTAAAACTTTCAAGTAGGAAACTAATGAGCCTATTTTATATTTACCATGAGATGCTTTCCATCGGATGATGTACAAATTATCGAATACTTCCCAGAAGCCTTGCTTGAAAATTATGTCCACATTTGGTTTTCATGGTAACTAAGGTCGCTAGAAACCCAGTTTTACTGTACTAAACATTCGTCGGTGCAATTCAATATGCTTTGTTTACTGAATACAAATATCATTACATTGTCCGATGTCCCCAAGGTAACGGATTATCAGTAATAAATATTCATTACGCCCACGAATCTACATGGTTTGGTTCTAAGGTATAGCATGGGGACCTGGTCAGAACCAGTCTCAATCGGAAGTAAGGGGTTCATTCCAATCAATCAGTCCTGCAAACAACTGAGTTTTCATTTTGACCCATATTTCAATCCATAGTGATTTAATATGTTGCATAACCTGGTTTTATGCTCTAGATGTATGAAATGTTTCATGTAGGGCCACTGGCCAATTGGCAATAAGCTAATTGAATCGTTGAGATGATTTCTCGAAATTAATTGGAAAGAAGTGGATTGAGGCCGGAATCCCAAACGTTGACCTTTGCAGAGCCAATGGTCCTAAATTTCTGCAAATAGCGTAACAGCTGGCCGGCTGGCTGCCTCAGAAAGTTCCTCGCCCGAATTTTAGAAAAGGACTCCATCACCGCTGTGAAACCGCTTGATAAGATCTATAGTGTCCGTTAAATGTTCTCCAGGTCAAGTAAAACAGTTTATCCCTTGACAAATTGTTGGCAGGCTGGTTAATTGTAGGGGACGAGTCGAAACTTAGGGCTGCCGCCCGCCATCTCTTAAAAGTTGGCTCTTTCGTAGCTTATTTAGTTCCCCGTTTTATTTGCTGTGACTGCACAAAACTGGCGCGATTCTGGCGTCTTCCGTGCGAAATGTCGCGCCGAACGTTTTAAAACAGACAAGGCGACGTTGAGTTTATGAAGGAGCACGTTTGAGAATATTCGCGCGGAAGCATTTTACTGTTTACGAGTTCATAATGTTTTGTTTTGTTTTGTTTTGTTTCTCTTAATGTTGCGAAAGACGTAACAACATATTCGAACCAAATAAATTATTAAGTTCATTTTGTCACTGTATTTACAAGTGTAAGCTAATAGCTATCAAGGTACTCAAGTTGTAACTGAACCGAGAAATGAATTCTTACAAATTACAACGATGAATATGTCGAGTTCATCTCATAATTCCACTTTAAACACGAGAACGTAGTATAACTGTGTTAACCCTTAACCATCTTTAGCAGACAAACGAAGCCGCCGATCTGAAAGCATGGAAATTATTCACAAAAACAAGGGTGGGGCAGCGTTTGTGATCCAAGAAGAAGCAGCCAGAATAAACAATCCTCCCAGACGATTACAGGTGAGCTGATATTTGCTACTTGACCGAATTTATATCAGAAAATGCAATAAATTTTGTAATAATTCACCTGTTGAAGCTGTGCTTCTTTAAACGCATTTCCATTGCCATGCTTGACAAAGACTTTTCAAATCTTTTTTTCTATATCGGCGTGTATGTGCTTGTGCAATGTGTATCGTTTCTGTTATATCTCCAATATGATTGTGTATTATTATCTAAATTTAAGTATATACAATTACATAATCTATTCAGAAACTGAGTGGAGCCAAGACGATGACTTTGGAGGATTTGACTAGGAAACAGCGGGAACATGAAAGAAACAGGGAAAAGGTATGTTGGTTTCATCTACACAGGCCAAGACATACCCATGTCATACTTTTGTAACAAAATCTTTGGTTGATAAATTTTTCGACCATAAACTAAATAAATAAAGTGTTATACCGTGTATTTCTTCACAGAGACTTCAAGAAAAGAAAGAGAACTTGTCCCGGCAGCACAGTAAAAAGAAGAACAAGGCTAGCCTCGAGTTTGAAAATGCTCAGCAAGTTTTTGTGAAGGTAAATTTGTTGTCAACAAACTATTGACTAAACTATTTACCAACTGTTGACCAACATTGACCAATTCATTTTACTTCTCATTTCTTTTCCGTTGTATTGTATATTGTCTCACACCACCCTTTTAGAGCGAAACAAGATTAAATAGAGTTTCGAAAAACCGAGAAGGTTTTGTTCATGAAAGAGTAATGAGAGTAAGGGAACACAACAAGAAAGTTGTGGACAGAAAAAGGGTAAGTAATTTACTAATTGTAAATATATCATTGAACTCATCATAATCAATAGATACATTCTGCTCTGTCTATCTGCACTTTGCTGCGGTTTTTGCCAGCCAAATTCAGTTTTTTTGATATTGTTAAACCAAGATTACTCGACGATTGTATCTTTCGAATCTGGTCGCTAGAGAACACCTAGCAACCGATAAAATATAAATTCGACTTTAAATGACCACTCAAATTGATCTCTGTAAATACTAAGCACTTAAGTAGTGCTGTACAAGTTTGCATTATTGTGTCGCCACATATTTTGTTGGAGATTACCCGTTACCCTTAGTAACGTTCTGTGACGTCATACATCCTCAGAATTACTGATTCACTGAATTGCGGCAATTTAGAAATCTGAAAGATGCTGTGGTAGACTTTGAATAACGGTTTGATTAGAGTGCTCTGTCCTTAGTAACGGTCGCTCAAGTAACTATACAAACGTTACAATATATATGGTTAAATGATATATCTAGTCTTTATGTTTATTAGTATGTGATCCTTGAAACTTCAGCTTCTTCAGTCACTCAGTGTGCGAGACGAGGAGTTGAATATGAGTGGTAAAATAGAACACGATATGGAATACAATAAAAGTGAAAGTAAGTTTTTATAACATTTCTTTTCTCTAGTTATTATGCTTTAGTTCTTATTTTCAAACTTATCCACTCATTAGTTTGTGCCATACCTAACAAATTACTGTCGTCACGCTTAGTTCACTCTTAGTTCACATGTATGTTTTGATATTGCGTCTCCTAGCTGCACACGCGAATGGATTTCTTGTAAGATAGAACATCTCTTGTATAGGTTGACATCATAGAAAAGCCGCGCGCACGTGTTAATTAGTGACCATTTTTCAGTGTCACGTAACGCATTATTACGTACTGATTAGCTTTAGCAGCTAGGGTCTAACATAACATCTTATTTACCGCTACAAGTTTTTAACTTTTATATTTCTGCTGCACTCCTCTTATTAATAAATCTAGATAATCTCCACTCACTTGTTTACTCAATGATTGTGATGCAGGTGAGTCCTGGGCTGATAATGACAGTATTAAGAACATCTACGATCAGATGGATTACATTACTCCAGCATCCGGTGCATCAGCCGTCAATCACAACAATAACATGAACAACGCTAGTGACGATGAGTTCTTCTCATAAACCCTGAAATGTATTGACATTACAATTCTCGTTATTATCTACGAAAGCCTGAACAGGGCCCTGCATGCAGCTTTAAGCTAAGTCATAAGTTTCCCTTTTTTTGTATTTCTCCAGATTTCTAAAAATAATTTAAATTTAAATTCGTATTTTTTTTGTAAAAATTTGCTAAGCTAATTGTACAGATTATATGCCAACAATGCAATGTTAATTGATTAGAACTATATAGAGTATAGAGTTGTTAAATTCAGATAAAGACTCAGAATTATGACCGGGAATGAATGATGAAGGGCTATTGCATATTGTAAACTTTTTGTAATTAATGAGGTTATTAATATTTACGTTAAATAAGTGTTACTGTTCAGTGCGGTTCGTAGTTTCAACAGATAAAAACGTATCTTTGGTTAAAAAGTTTCATGGTTGCGACATGTTCATATTACATAGTGTTTGGTTTCACTTAATCTGTAATGTTGGGAATATTCTATCAAGTTATGATCAATTGCCCAACAATAAAAATGACTATTGATTAAAAGTCTTGGATAATTAATTAACTTATTATACTGACTAGTGATTAGTTATGCTAATATGTATATACTATTGATTTTCTAATATCAACTCTATTAGTTTCTTTGTGAATGTTATTGCAAAGATAAAATAAAGACTTGTGTGAAAATTTAACATCTTGTGGCTTTAGGGACCGTTTATACATTACATGTTGCATACTTACTTTGGAGCCAGATTTAACTGATGCAGAAAGACTATTCTGATCACATGACAAGGTCACATAAGTGATAAGGAAGCTGAATTATGTCCGATTTCTCTTGAGGGTTAGGGTTTTGGCTGATCGTGCTTAATCACTACATTGTATTTTTATGACCTACCAAGACGCTCGTCGACGGTCTTTGACATTTGAAACAACTATTTTACGAGTATCACCCGTTAATCACTACATCACTGGAGCTCCGACACTTTGCAAAAAAAGGGCCCCCCGGCAAACGCAATAGTTGAGGGATGATTTGGGCATTGTTAATGGTCTGGCCCGGCGCGCGCTACTTCGTAGCACTTGCCATCGGACCATATTCAATATTTCGAGAATGGAGAAGAAAGCGGCGCGCGCTACTTCGAAGAAATTTAGACGAGTAACATCCGTCAAGGGATGATAACAGTTACCTGGGGACCCAGGCTTTTATATTTATGTTCATAATCATCCGAATAGCGGCTGCTATGATTCTAAACTTTTCAATAGTTCACAGGGGGAGCTGAAACCAGGTTTTCGATCAAACGCTGTTATGTGTAGTCAAACGTCGCCAAAAGTTGCTCTAGTCCAATGAAATCGCTGCATTATGTAAGCCAAGCTCCGCATATGAATATATGTAATTCAATTATGCATACTAACTTGCAAAATGCAGCGATTTCATTGGACGAGAGCAACTGTTGGCGACGTTTGACTACAAATGGCAGCATTTGATCGAAAACCTGGTTTCAGACCCCCCTGTGAGTTAGGTTAAAATTAAAAATTAACGAGCGAGGTTATGGTTATATTATGATGTCAATTCATGGCAGCTCGGCGCGGCACAGTAGCGCATCTCGCCGATCTAGCCAGTAACGCATCGTGCTACAAGGTTATGGTAATTTCTTCAGTTATGTTTTCTAGTCAGGTTTCCGTTTACAACTCGGTGTTTAATTTGTTTTCGTCCTGGTCAATGCCAAATACAAGAAAGTGAAAAGTGCCATATCGAAAAGTGCCAAAATCATTAATTTTTCTTGGAAGGATGTATCTCTCTTAATTGACGATGTCAATTCATGGCAGTTCGGCGAGGCACAGTAGCCGATCTAGCCAGAGAAGCCTCATTGAGTGCGCGGCGCGGCACAGTAACGCATCGTGCTACAAGTATCTCTCATGTATGACATTGAAACCATAACAAAAGTGTACGAAAAGGTATCACTTTAAGGCAAATGACAGATGACAGATGACAGATGACAGAGATATTTAACAAACTGAGTAATAGGTTTATGTGAGAAAGAGAAAGGTACATAAGTTTGTATCTGATCTCAGACACACGCAAGCGCGCTATATGATCACGTGACTTTAACACTGCAATATCATTGGTCATCTTTATAATTATATCCAATGCGAAATACAAAATAGCGCGCTTTACCTATAATCCATGGTAGTTACCTATAACCCATAACTAGCTTGCTAGTCTATTGCTCGCAGGAAGCTTGAAAAGACCGCCGCGCACAGTGCACAGGGATTGTATTATTGGCGTCCCAAGTAAAATCATCCCATAAGACAAAATTCATATTTCCTAACCAGTTTGTATCGGCAAAAAAAACTTTTTATCTCGTGAGCTTTTGTGTTTTGACGGATGTTACTCGTCTAAATTTCTTCGAAGTAGCGCGCGCCGCTTTCTTCTCGAAATGTTATGGCCCGACGGCAAGTGCTACGAAGTAGCGCGCGCCGGGCCAGACCATTAACAATGGTCAAGTGAGCTTTACCTGGGGACCTCAGGCTATTATCATTATATTTATGTTCACAATCATCCGAATAGATTATCCGAATAGATTATATTTATGTTCACAATCATCCGAATAGAGATTCGCCCGAGCGTGCTAAATCACTCTACATGCTACAGTCGATCTTCGAGATTGTTCTAAAAGGGCCCCCGACATTTGAAACCAACTTCTATCGATTTATTTTCGGACGCTGATTCCGAATCACCCCTTATGACATAGGGTTAAAATGCTCCCCTGACGAGATATTGGCGAAAAACTGTCTCGATCACGTGATATGACCGTATAAGGAAGTTAGTCCAATTTCTCGTTAGGGTTAGGGTTTCAGCATATGCTTTTGTTAAGGATTGGGTTAGGGTTAGGGTTAGGATCAGATTAGAGGGTTAGGGTTTCGAATAGTCGTTCAGGACCAGCTAGAGAACGAGTTGAAAAAGTCACGTGACAGTCGAGTGTAGAGTGATTAATCATCATCCTCATCTGGGTGCTCAAAGTACGATTTGTGTGTGATAATATCACTGCTCCTCACTGCTCAGGTCAGGAATTTTGAGTTTGTCTTGGAAGATGGAATCCCTGAATCAACTAAAAAAATTTAAAAGATTTTCTCATTTCTGCATTATCATCGTATCAACAAGTACTTTCGAATGATATGAGTTTCAATATGATTTAAAGATTTTTCTCAAACAATATATCACGTGACTTGACCAGTTTTTCCTTAAATTTTGTCTAGGAAGCCGATTTCACCAATTCTTTCGATCATAGGATTCGGGACAATATTTTTACTGTTTCTGAAGCATATTTCATACCTTTTGAGGCAAAGCGTGTCGGTTTTGATGAGAGATGTAAAATCACGCACATCACAAAATCATAAATATCTTTTGTTTGCAGCATCTTTTTTCAAACAGTCAACGGTATAGTATCAGGATCGGACTGAATAGTGCTTTCGAATGATGTATAACTTGATATGATTTGAGCAATAAGTGTTGTCACGTGATATCTCGTGACTTGCCTGTTTCAGCCCAAAAATCTTTCTAGATAATCTTTCTCTACAATTCTTTCTATCATATTGCTTACAAGACTGTGCTGACAGTTTCTGAAGCATTTTTGAAATCTTTCGACCCATTTATATCTTGGTATATTAAGATAACATATTATCTTATCCCATAAATTTTGATCACGTGATTTTGACGCGCATTTTTATCGCGCGTGTAACAAACTTTTCATTTGGCGATGCGCGTTCCAGCAAACACGCTTGGACTTTCTGTACCAAACTGTACCATGGTACAATATTTGACGAAAGTCAATTATCTTGAGATCCTACTGATAAATTTTCTTTAAACTTTCCAGATAGTTGTATATCTATGAGACAGATAATCTGAGCAAGTTTGGGCGAATTTCTATGTGTCAAATTTGAGATATGACTTCAAACACAAGAAAATATCTCAAATTGGCGGTTTCTAGCGGAACGCAGGCACATATTTCGAGATCCTACTGATAAATTTTCTTTAAACTTTCCAGATAGTTGTATATCTATGAGACAGATAATCTGAGCAAGTTTGGGCGAATTTCTATCTGCCAAACCTGAGATATGACTTCAAACACAAGAAAATATCTCAAATTGGCGGTTCCGGTACGATATTTGACGAAAGTCGATTATCTTGAGATCCTACTGATAAATTTTCTTTAAACTTTCCAGATAGTTGTATGGCTATGAGACGGATATTCTGTGCGATTTTGGGAGAATTTCTATGTGCCAACATTTATCAGTAGGATCTCGAAATATGTGCCTGCGTTCCGCTAGAAACCACCAATTTGAGATATTTTCTTGTGTTTGAAGTCATATCTTAAGTTTGGCAGATAGAAATTCGCCCAAACTTGCTCAGATTATCTGTCTCATAGCCATACAACTATCTGGAAAGTTTAAAGAAAATTTATCAGTAGGATCTCGAAATATGTGCCTGCGTTCCGCTAGAAACCGCCAATTTGAGATATTTTCTTGTGTTTGAAGTCATATCTCAAATTTGACACATAGAAATTCGCCCAAACTTGCTCAGATTATCCGTCTCATAGCCATACAACTATCTGGCTATATACACACTATTTGTCATATAGCCATTTAACTATCTGGAAAGTTTAAAGAAAATCTTTCAGTCAGATCTTGATAAAATATATTTTAAGTTATTCACTAAAACACTCTATTTTCGACCATTCCATTTGGTACAGTTTTGTCGAAAGTCCTTCTGTCCAGTTTTGCTAGTATATTGTAATTCGGAAAATATTTTCACATCAAGGGCTTCATGTTGGTTAACCCTTATCATACTGGGGGTGGGTTGATTCGTCAATCCCCCACCTTCAGTAACAAATAAATTTTACTTAATAAATTTTACTTAATAAATTTAAATTTTATATTGACTAATATGAATTTTATCAGCATCGTCTCCTCTATCAGCCATATTATTTTTATCAACAAGTTTCAATCGGCCGGAGAGCTATTATTTAAAACATATAAGTGATACGAAAAGATTGTGAGTGTATTTTTTGCTCTCGATGGTTATTAGTGATTTTGCTTCCTATATTAGACTGGGACCAAATCGGGGCTCCTAGTCAAGCAGATCAAGGGCTAATGCAATCAAGCTTACACTAAACTCAACACACACTTGATCCCGCTGCTATAGTTTCCGAGAGACAAAATCACAAATGTGGATTTGAATAAATGTTTCAACTTTTCAAAAAATTGTTGAAATAATGTTGAAGGCCTAACAATTAATACACGAATTATAACACGATAGAAATATACGATATACGAAATACAATCACTACACACAAACTCAATACTATATCACAATACTGGCAAGCATGACCGTCCCTCTTATATTCACAATACTACCTCAGCTATTATCAGCGGAAGTTGTAATTCCGCACACCCTCAGGAGTGCTGATCTCTGAAGTTACGGGGTACTTATCTTCTTCTTCATCTTCTTCTTCTCCGTCTTTTGTTCGTCTTCTCCTTCTTCTTCTCCTTCTTCTCCTTCTTCTTCTTCTTCTTCTTCTTCTCCTTCTTCTTCGTCATCATGTTGATCCTCGATGTTTATCCTCACGCCCCTCCCCGGTTCCCTCTCCAGCTCCTGCAAACAAGTATATCGTATAATCTCAGAAACAGGGTTAATAAATATCTACAATTTGATAAATCTACTTTTCCAAATCCATTGATATAGTCTATTAATATTTGATCCGTTATGTGAAGTACTTCAGTGACACTTACATCTAACAATTTCGGGTCCAGATGGTACGTAAGGAACAGCACCAGATTGTGTTTGGCGATTGTTCTGTCCGCCTCCTCCCTCCCCAGCAACCTGTAGTGCCTGGCACCCGTCGTGTTTCTGTGGCCAGCACTATGCTGTCCGCCTCCTCCCTCCCCAGCAACCTGTAGTGCCTGGCACCCGTCGTGTTTCTGTCCGCCTCCTCCCTCCCCAGCAACCTGTAGTGCCTGGCACCCGTCGTGTTTCTGTGGCCAGCACTATGCTGTCCGCCTCCTCCCTCCCCAGCAACCTGTAGTGCCTGGCACCCGTCGTGTTTCTGTCCGCCTCCTCCCTCCCCAGCAACCTGTAGTGCCTGGCACCCGTCGTGTTTCTGTCCGCCTCCTCCCTCCCCAGCAACCTGTAGTGCCTGGCACCCGTCGTGTTTCTGTCCGCCTCCTCCCTCCCCAGCAACCTGTAGTGCCTGGCACCCGTCGTGTTTCTGTCCGCCTCCTCCCTCCCCAGCAACCTGTAGTGCCTGGCACCCGTCGTGTTTCTGTCCGCCTCCTCCCTCCCCAGCAACCTGTAGTGCCTGGCACCCGTCGTGTTTCTGTCCGCCTCCTCCCTCCCCAGCAACCTGTAGTGCCTGGCACCCGTCGTGTTTCTGTCCGCCTCCTCCCTCCCCAGCAACCTGTAGTGCCTGGCACCCGTCGTGTTTCTGTCCGCCTCCTCCCTCCCCAGCAACCTGTAGTGCCTGGCACCCGTCGTGTTTCTGTCCGCCTCCTCCCTCCCCAGCAACCTGTAGTGCCTGGCACCCGTCGTGTTTCTGTCCGCCTCCTCCCTCCCCAGCAACCTGTAGTGCCTGGCACCCGTCGTGTTTCTGTCCGCCTCCTCCCTCCCCAGCAACCTGTAGTGCCTGGCACCCGTCGTGTTTCTGTGGCCAGCACTATGCGAGACAACAGAAGCAGTGATCAACCGGGATCCCGGCCCCGGCCCCGGATACGGCCGGGATTTGTGTTTTTTCCCCGGCCCCGGCAAAATAATTTTCAAAATCCCGGCCCCGGCCAGAGGCCCCCAATCCCGGCCAGAGGCCCCCGATCCCGGCCCCGGCCCCGGCTGTTTTTGTCAATTTTTGCCGGGATTTCTCGTATTTTCTGCCTCAATTTAAACCGATAGATTATCAGAATTTATCTTGATTTTAAGACTTAAATTAAACACAAAATTTTCGGTAACATGAGATCGAGTGAAAAATATAAATACGAGGACTTGACATCATTCCAGTTTGATATTCAGAAAATTTCAACTTTGAATTTACAAAGAATGTAAAATATTAATGTTGATTAAAAAAGTTCGAGGTTGATTAAAAAGTTTGAGTAAAGTCATGTGTTCGTGTACCGTTTTCTTTCATATAACTATAAGTACAAACGTCAAACAATTCAGTTCAGGAGCAAAAAACAGTAGAGTCAGAGAGTGAGGCCGACTCAATGCAGATGATGATGATAGTCATCAGATCACAGATGACTACTCGTTTCCGGTGTTATTACTTGCCCGGGCAAGTAATAGAGAGTGGCGGTAAAAGGAGTAGGAGGATATTTGGCAGTGAAATAACGCCAACTCATAGTAGTAATGTAAACAGCGTTTGGTGTAATTATACTTAAATATTGTGTAGCTGCCTTCTAGGTTGACCTTGAAGCTAGCTCACATTGATACGAGTTTCCGGAAACTTTCAAAAATTTTCAAAATTAGATTAAAAAAATCCCGGCCCGGCATATTTTAGCCAATCCCGGCCCCGGCCTTGGCAACATTTCAAAATCCCGGTTAATCCCGGCCCCGGCTGATTCAACTTGGTTCCGGCCCCGGCCCCGGCCCCAGCTAAATTTCGTCCCCGGTCGATCCCTGAACAGAAGTGGTCTGGAAAAATTACATGGCGTCAGAATTTGTTTCGATAATACACACAACATTCAAGCCAGATTAAAGGATTCGAATAAAACTGCTACCTATTATCTTCAGGCACTGGATGGTGGTGCATTAAGTGAAGTAGTTATTATTCTTTCTAACCATCTCTCTCTCTAGATTGATCGTCTGCTCTGAGATCGTCCATATCGATAAGGTTCCTCCCAGATACTATCTTTTTCAGCCCCATCTTCTTCAACGATTCTCTGAGCTGAAATTGATTCTTTAACATCTGCAATCCAATATATCCGGCTTAACCCTTAATTGTAATAAAGTGGTGAAATTGAATCTCGGTAGATACTGGGAAAACATAGTCTCAAAGAAGGGGACCCCGCCGGCCGAAATTCAGTTCCTGGTTTAAAATGTGGCTAACCAAAAAACGGCTAAGTTCACAGCCGGCAATAGAACGTCGGGCGGCGTGGTTGGAGTTTTGTTCTGACCCATTAAAGCCGCAGAACACCTGGTGACCTACGCTGTCCATTATAACCTTCTTGTGCTTCTGTAATATTAAAGTTATGAGTAAAAACTGGAGTTAGTTAATGAACACATCGAGGGTGAACATATCACATCTATTAACATTAATTCTCAAAACAGCGGCTTCATAAAACATACGTTTAGGTACACCATCAGAAGTTTGAACATATCTGCTGTTAGAAAGATATGCGGCGCTCCCTGTGTCTGTATACTTAAATATTGTGTAGCTGCCTTCTAGGTTGACCTTGAAGCTAGCTCACATTGATACGAGTTTCCGGAAACTTTCAAAAATTTTCAAAATTAGATTAAAAAAATCCCGGCCCCGGCATATTTTAGCCAATCCCGGCCCCGGCCTTGGCAACATTTCAAAATCCCGGTTAATCCCGGCCCCGGCTGATTCAACTTGGTTCCGGCCCCGGCCCCGGCCCCGGCTAAATTTCGTCCCCGGTCGATCCCTGAACAGAAGTGGTCTGGAAAAATTACATGGCGTCAGAATTTGTTTCGATAATACACACAACATTCAAGCCAGATTAAAGGATTCGAATAAAACTGCTACCTATTATCTTCAGGCACTGGATGGTGGTGCATTAAGTGAAGTAGTTATTATTCTTTCTAACCATCTCTCTCTCTAGATTGATCGTCTGCTCTGAGATCGTCCATATCGGTAAGGTTCCTCCCAGATACTATCTTTTTCAGCCCCATCTTCTTCAACGATTCTCTGAGCTGAAATTGATTCTTTAACATCTGCAATCCAATATATCCGGCTTAACCCTTAATTGTAATAAAGTGGTGAAATTGAATCTCGGTAGATACTGGGAAAACATAGTCTCAAAGAAGGGGACCCCGCCGGCCGAAATTCAGTTCCTGGTTTAAAATGTGGCTAACCAAAAAACGGCTAAGTTCACAGCCGGCAATAGAACGTCGGGCGGCGTGGTTGGAGTTTTGTTCTGACCCATTAAAGCCGCAGAACACCTGGTGACCTACGCTGTCCATTATAACCTTCTTGTGCTTCTGTAATATTAGAGTTATGAGTAAAAACTGGAGTTAGTTAATGAACACATCGAGGGTGAACATATCACATCTATTAACATTAATTCTCAAAACAGCGGCTTCATAAAACATACGTTTAGGTACACCATCAGAAGTTTGAACATATCTGCTGTTAGAAAGATATGCGGCGCTCCCTGTGTCGGCCAAGTCTCCAACTTCCCGATAGATTTAACTGAAATGTAACTTGTCTTGGTTACGGAGGTGGCGCAATTTTTGAAGGGGGAGACTTGGAAGTAAAATAACTCCCTCTCTACCCCGGCAACCGGGACAATCAGCTTTCTCATCTGTAACGATACCCATCAGTAATTTGATGTCCGTATTAAGGTATTATACAATGAGGTATTGAGTTTTTGAAAGTTAGCGGAGTTTTTGTTTTTGTTTGTTAAGTAATTTTCAAACGAAAGTACACAAAGAGAAGCAAAATAATTTTACGAATTACGTAACTTTGTTAGTAATGTCAGCAATTAAAATTAGCATAGGCAAAAAGTCCGCTAACTGTAAAAAACTCATTACCTCTTCAAATTTTGATGGCCTAGCACTTAGCAGTACCATTTTATATACTACTATCAATTTTTAATATTCAAACAGGCTTTTATTGCATTTACATTTTCGAGATCTTCGTAGGAGACGGCAAGCGGTTCCCCGGATCTCGCTGCCCTTAAAAAGAAGCACCCTGTCAAGAGGACCTGCCGCGTGGTGGTAAATAAATCACACCAGTTGTCGGTTGGTAGGGACTTGATAGTTTCCGCGAGTTGGAGGTAGATTGGGCTGAACATCATCTGGGTGATCTGTAAAATACCATGTCATTGCATATGATACTGAATTTGACAGATAGTTTTAGGCGTTTTTTAATTAAGTCCAGACAGGGATAACTTACCGGTTTAGATTCTTCTTTGGCCGAAAGTTACCTCGCGGACGGTCAGGATGTCCCGTGAATCCATCATCTGTTTAGCAGAGTGTTCCATATTCTTTTGTTTTTGGAGGTCACTTATGAAACTCTCTGTTGATTTCAGCCATGTTTTTGTTTTAAACAAACAAAATTAAGTGGTTGAATAATGAATATGTGGGACATCGTAATGATTTCATGGAACTTTGGATTGAAGAAATTGACATTAAGAATAGAAAAACTGGAAGGTTACTTTTAAAATGCATGTTATCATGAAGTAGTAAGAATGTTGAGCAAGTTGACCTTGTATTACAGATATTGAAATCATTTCCAAATCAGGTTATAAAAAGGTGCGGTGCACTTTCCGCTGGATAATTAAAATAAAAGGACTAATTTTTCGGTTTCAAAAATATAAATTGATTGAGATAAAACATTTTTACATGTAACTTGAAGTTGCTGTCAAAAATTGTTTTACCGTTTTGTAGGATTCAGTTTTAGCATGTACATGAGCTTATGTAAATTTCAAGTTGTTTTTATCTCAAAGAAGTCTTCAGTGATCTTTATAAATTATTTTTTGTATCGTCAAGATGAGTTGATGAATCCAGCTTTACAAATATGGTTTTAAAATTGTGAAGTTGCAAAATCGGTAACCAAAAGCGGAACTAATTTCGATATATAACTTGTACCACATTTCCATGCGAGAGAATGACATTAAACTCAAAAAATAAAATATAACACAAAAATCCTTTTAAAAGTTGTACTCTTACATTTTTAACGAGGTGAGAATTATCGCCCACCACCGCGATCGTCTACTGATATTACCTGGGGACCCCATATTATTACTGATAGCGATCGTCTACTGATATCACCTGGGGACCCCATATTATTACTGATAGCGTTTTAAATCTCGGGCTCCTTTCAAGTCCCTCAGTTCCTTGGTCCACAAATGGGCGAAAATTATAATCCGAGTGTAACTCCTTGAGCCAGGCTAGTTTGCCGGATAATCCGAGTGTAACTCCAATTGAGCCAGGCTAATTTGCCGGATAATCCGAGTGTAACTCCTTGAGCCAGGCTAGTTTGTCGGAGACTCGGATAATCCAAGTTTAACTCCTTGAGTCAGGCTAGTTTGCCGGATAATCCAAGTGTAACTCCTTGAGCCAGGCTAATTTGCCGGATAATCCGAGTGTAACTCCTTGAGCCAGGCTAGTTTGCCGGATAATCCGAGTGTAACTCTTTGAGCCAGGCTAGTTTGCCGGATAATCCGAGTGTAACTCCTTGAGCCAGGCTAGTTTGCCGGATAATCCGAGTGTAACTCTTTGAGCCAGGCTAGTTTGCCGGATAATCCGAGTGTAACTCCTTGAGCCAGGCTAGTTTGCCGGATAATCCGAGTGTAACTCTTTGAGCCAGGCTAGTTTGCCGGATAATCCGACTGTAACTCCTTGAGCCAGGCTAGTTTGTCGGATAATCCGAGTGTAACTCCTTGAGTCAGGCTAGTTTGCCGGATAATCCGAGTGTAACTCCTTGAGCCAGGCTAATTTGCCGGATAATCCGAGTGTAACTCCTTGAGCCAGGCTAGTTTGCCGGATAATCCGAGTGTAACTCCTTGAGCCAGGCTAGTTTGCCGAATAATCCGAGTGTAACTCCTTGAGCCAGGCTAGTTTGCCGGATAATCCGAGTGTAACTCCTTGAGCCAGGCTAGTTTGTCAGATAATCCGAGTGTAACTCCTTGAGTCAGGCTAGTTTGCCGAATAATCCGAGTGTAACTCTTTGAGCCAGGCTAGTTTGCCAAATAATCCGAGTGTAACTCCTTGAGCCAGGCTATTTTGCCGGATAATCCGACTGTAACTCCTTGAGCCAGGCTAGTTTGTCGGATAATCCGAGTGTAACTCTTTGAGCCAGGCTAGTTTGCCGGATAATCCGACTGTAACTCCTTGAGCCAGGCTAGTTTGTCGGATAATCCGAGTATAACTCCTTGAGTCAGGCTAGTTTGCCGGATAATCCGAGTGTAACTCCTTGAGCCAGGCTAATTTGCCGGATAATCCGAGTGTAACTCCTTGAGCCAGGCTAGTTTGTCAGATAATCCGAGTGTAACTCCTTGAGTCAGGCTAGTTTGCCGAATAATCCGAGTGTAACTCTTTGAGCCAGGCTAGTTTGCCAAATAATCCGAGTGTAACTCCTTGAGCCAGGCTATTTTGCCGGATAATCCGACTGTAACTCCTTGAGCCAGGCTAGTTTGTCGGATAATCCGAGTGTAACTCTTTGAGCCAGGCTAGTTTGCCGGATAATCCGACTGTAACTCCTTGAGCCAGGCTAGTTTGTCGGATAATCCGAGTGTAACTCCTTGAGTCAGGCTAGTTTGCCGGATAATCCGAGTGTAACTCCTTGAGCCAGGCTAATTTGCCGGATAATCCGAGTGTAACTCCTTGAGCCAGGCTAGTTTGCCGGATAATCCGAGTGTAACTCCTTGAGCCAGGCTAGTTTGCCGAATAATCCGAGTGTAACTCCTTGAGCCAGGCTAGTTTGCCGGATAATCCGAGTGTAACTCCTTGAGCCAGGCTAGTTTGCCGAATAATCCGAGTGTAACTCCTTGAGCCAGGCTAGTTTGCCGGATAATCCGAGTGTAACTCCTTGAGCCAGGCTAGTTTGTCGGATAATCCGAGTGTAACTCCTTGAGCCAGGCTAGTTTGCCGGATAATCCGAGTGTAACTCCTTGAGCCAGGCTAGTTTGCCGAATAATCCGAGTGTAACTCCTTGAGCCAGGCTAGTTTGCCGGATAATTTGAGTGTAACTCCTTGAGCCAGGCTAGTTTGCCGAATAATCCGAGTGTAACTCCTTGAGCCGAAATTCAGTTCCTGGTTTAAAATGTGGCTAACCAAAAAACGGCTAAGTTCACAGCCGGCAATAGAACGTCGGGCGGCGTGGTTGGAGTTTTGTTCTGACCCATTAAAGCCGCAGAACACCTGGTGACCTACGCTGTCCATTATAACCTTCTTGTGCTTCTGTAATATTAAAGTTATGAGTAAAAACTGGAGTTAGTTAATGAACACATCGAGGGTGAACATATCACATCTATTAACATTAATTCTCAAAACAGCGGCTTCATAAAACATACGTTTAGGTACACCATCAGAAGTTTGAACATATCTGCTGTTAGAAAGATATGCGGCGCTCCCTGTGTCTGTATACTTAAATATTGTGTAGCTGCCTTCTAGGTTGACCTTGAAGCTAGCTCACATTGATACGAGTTTCCGGAAACTTTCAAAAATTTTCAAAATTAGATTAAAAAAATCCCGGCCCCGGCATATTTTAGCCAATCCCGGCCCCGGCCTTGGCAACATTTCAAAATCCCGGTTAATCCCGGCCCCGGCTGATTCAACTTGGTTCCGGCCCCGGCCCCGGCCCCGGCTAAATTTCGTCCCCGGTCGATCCCTGAACAGAAGTGGTCTGGAAAAATTACATGGCGTCAGAATTTGTTTCGATAATACACACAACATTCAAGCCAGATTAAAGGATTCGAATAAAACTGCTACCTATTATCTTCAGGCACTGGATGGTGGTGCATTAAGTGAAGTAGTTATTATTCTTTCTAACCATCTCTCTCTCTAGATTGATCGTCTGCTCTGAGATCGTCCATATCGATAAGGTTCCTCCCAGATACTATCTTTTTCAGCCCCATCTTCTTCAACGATTCTCTGAGCTGAAATTGATTCTTTAACATCTGCAATCCAATATATCCGGCTTAACCCTTAATTGTAATAAAGTGGTGAAATTGAATCTCGGTAGATACTGGGAAAACATAGTCTCAAAGAAGGGGACCCCGCCGGCCGAAATTCAGTTCCTGGTTTAAAATGTGGCTAACCAAAAAACGGCTAAGTTCACAGCCGGCAATAGAACGTCGGGCGGCGTGGTTGGATTTTTGTTCTGACCCATTAAAGCCGCAGAACACCTGGTGACCTACGCTGTCCATTATAACCTTCTTGTGCTTCTGTAATATTAAAGTTATGAGTAAAAACTGGAGTTAGTGAATGAACACATCGAGGGTGAACATATCACATCTATTAACATTAATTCTCAAAACAGCGGCTTCATAAAACATACGTTTAGGTACACCATCAGAAGTTTGAACATATCTGCTGTTAGAAAGATATGCGGCGCTCCCTGTGTCGGCCAAGTCTCCAACTTCCCGATAGATTTAACTGAAATGTAACTTGTCTTGGTTACGGAGGTGGCGCAATTTTTGAAGGGGGAGACTTGGAAGTAAAATAACTCCCTCTCTACCCCGGCAACCGGGACAATCAGCTTTCTCATCTGTAACGATACCCATCAGTAATTTGATGTCCGTATTAAGGTATTATACAATGAAGAGGTATTGAGTTTTTGAAAGTTAGCGGAGTTTTTGTTTTTGTTTGTTAAGTAATTTTCAAACGAAAGTACACAAAGAGAAGCAAAATAATTTTACGAATTACGTAACTTTGTTAGTAATGTCAGCAATTAAAATTAGCATAGGCAAAAAGTCCGCTAACTGTAAAAAACTCATTACCTCTTCAAATTTTGATGGCCTAGCACTTAGCAGTACCATTTTATATACTACTATCAATTTTTAATATTCAAACAGGCTTTTATTGCATTTACATTTTCGAGATCTTCGTAGGAGACGGCAAGCGGTTCCCCGGATCTCGCTGCCCTTAAAAAGAAGCACCCTGTCAAGAGGACCTGCCGCGTGGTGGTAAATAAATCACACCAGTTGTCGGTTGGTAGGGACTTGATAGTTTCCGCGAGTTGGAGGTAGATTGGGCTGAACATCATCTGGGTGATCTGTAAAATACCATGTCATTGCATATGATACTGAATTTGACAGATAGTTTTAGGCGTTTTTTAATTAAGTCCAGACAGGGATAACTTACCGGTTTAGATTCTTCTTTGGCCGAAAGTTACCTCGCGGACGGTCAGGATGTCCCGTGAATCCATCATCTGTTTAGCAGAGTGTTCCATATTCTTTTGTTTTTGGAGGTCACTTATGAAACTCTCTGTTCTCTGAAACAATATAAATGTTGATTGTTGATATGAAATTCTTATGTCCTTATGTGACCAAAACAAGTCCAGTATTTCAACTTTTGGTAGGATTTATATCCTAAATCTTACAGACAACAAACGTGGAGGAGTTAGAGTACTTTCGAAACATCATCAGTAAAATTCTCAAAACTGTACCCTTAAAATCGTGGTAACTCAAAAAATATTATGTATTTGCATGTAAACCAGCTTGACGATCTCTGCTATCTGGTGTGTCACCAGACCCTCACATCCTTGCGCCGTTTTAAGGATTCCTTCGAAACACTTGCAACGACCGAGTTGAGTGGCGGCTGCCAGGCCCTGGTCGGAGGAGTGGGATCGGGAGTCCGGGATGACCCCGAGCAGTTTCTGCAAGCCCTTTTCACAGAAAAGATATTGTAGCTGTTCCATCTCCTCCATTTTTAAAATGTCGGGATCCGAGTGTTTCTAAGGTAGGTCGATTTTAATGAGTTTACTTGTAAAATATGCTAGTAGCTGCATATCAGGCAAAATAAAGTTCACGGTAAAGTGGTGATAGCATGATTATAAGTTTCAATAAAGCGCACTAGATCTGTAACATGCTATCCTTAGGAATGAAGAAATCATAATCGTACAAATGTATCAAATGTCGTCATGACAGAAGATCGGTCCGCTTTTATTTGATCTTCTGACGAACTCCGCGGTTTGAAGCTCAGCCATTTATTGACGAGCTTCGTAAACGAAGTGATCTGAAAAGGTATTTGTTCAGACATTATTGAAATGAATATCATGTGCCATGTAGCCTTTTATTCATAATTATTTTGGTCGTAACTCTTGCCAAGAATCGGATAACAAAGGTTATTATATATCAATCACCTCGTCAGAAGATTTCTTAGAGTTCGGTACCTCTCCGCTCTGAATTAAAAAATAAAGATGAGCAATAGAGCACAATAGCACAAAGAGCCACACCTATGTATGAAGCAAACTGAAGCAAACACTGACTGTTTGCCTCCTCAAATTTCAAATGTTATTCAATTTGTTTACCTGTAATTCACAATATACTGAATCGAGAAAACCTATGCAATAAAACCGTTTTCAAAATGGTTATTGGTTACCTGTAAGGTGACCGGGGAGCGAGCATCAAAATGGTCGAACATGTTAGTTTCCAACATGAGCTCCAACATCGACTCTGGCTCTGAGGAGGTTGTAGGGATTTTTCAACATTACTCTTAGGGTGGTGGTTGTGAAACTGGGTCCGGCGTAGGGAAGGGGATCAGAGGATCAGGAGCTGGAGCCTTTATAGAGATCTGGGGGGTTGGCTGTTGTTGTTGCTGTTGTTTTTTCTGCACAACAGACATTAAAGTTTCCAACTTCTTCTTCCTTGTCTCTTCTGAACTGTGTGTCTCCTGGAACAGGTCCGTGTACCGCAACCTCTTGTCTGATGCTATCACCTTAGCAATCTGCGGAGAAAAGGACTGTTAAACAGGGATGCAGCAAGTCAAAGTATAGAAATTATTCATAACTTGTAAATTATTTTTTATTTTGACAATTTCAATCATTCTGAAATTTTCTATTAACTATTCATTAACCTCTTTGTGCACCCGTCTCGCATGTTTTGCAACGTTACTACAAACAATTTTGGTTGAGCAAATTAAACAGTAGCACACATCAACGGATTTATGCTGTGCAGTAGCTCGATAATTACAGTTGTAATAGCGCAAGACTGCGGCGCTATCAAGTTCCCTCTCTGAAAAGATTTGGTACGTTAAGCAAGAGGACATAAAACACGTTTACAAGCGTTCCCGTATAACTTTTCAGAGTTTAAAAATTGAGAGAGGCAGCATGAGTTCACCTTTAACAACGTGACAGATTTGAGTGACATGCCGCTTGATCTTTTTCGCTGATATCAATGTTCTGCAGTCAATGCACTCTTTCTGCTAAAGGAATTTAAAATCAACTATCAAATGGCACTAAGTTTGCTAATTTAAAAAATGTAACATGGGCATTGGGCATGAAGCATTAGCACTTTTAACAAATCAAACTATCTTTTTGAGAATACACAGAAACTACTTTCCAAGATTTCAAAACACTTACTTTGCGAGCTTCTTCAGCAGGAGTAGCTTCTTCAGGGAATAACGTCCGTGATACCTGAATCATCTTCTTTTCTTTCTTTTCCTGGGAAGAAATCTTAATAGTTGACTATAAAAGTATGCATAGAAGTACAACACATTAACCCTAACCCAAACCTATACCCTAACTCTGACCCTGATCCTAACCCAAACCCTAACCCTAACATTCTGATAATCAAGTTTTCCTGATATATTGCTATGAAAATATGATCCTATCCTACTCTGTTAAGAAAAGTAGTAGTAATAGGTAAGTAATAGGCATTTTTCCAAAAAGTTTGTATTTACCCCCACAATTTTGATCCTTGGGTAGTTGGGGCTGTAGACACTATCAGTGGAGTTTGTTCTTACTGTGATGTATAACTAGACTTAAGTAAAAGTCTGAAATAATATACTGCTTGAAAGCTAAATAATAAACTGCGAGAGAGTAGTTAACGTGATATATATATAATATATATAAGCAACATTTGACAGAGCATAGTGTGGAGTGAGCTATGTGCCCATCCTTGGAGAACCCGGTGGATGTCCTTGCTGTACGGCAGTGTTAAACAAGGAACTGAAAGCGAGGGGTTCCGTTCAGGCCCTTCACACTTTGTTTCTGTCTAGTTCTAATGTACCGTCACAATAGTGACTTTAATATATAATCAAGAGTACTAGCCTGCTGGGACAAGCACTGGTGCTTGATTTGCGGATGTTGTGGAGGTGTTTGTTCAAGCCACAATGACCAGTGATGAGGTGCACTGCAATTCTGTAATTTTGTCTGTTGTTGGTGAGTGTAGTGTTGAGATTTTTGATGATGTTGGTGTTTTTTTGTCCGAGTGTCAGTTTGGTGTGTCTGGGTCCATCAGTAATCCATGATTCTTGGTTAAGTCTAGAGACTTTGTCGTCAATCAAGCGTTTGATTTAAGATTGTGGTATAGGGCAATTCAAAGTGGATTCACTGGTTGTACCAATTTTGGCTAGCTCATCTGCTTTTTCATTGCCCCATAATCCGATGTGTTCAACTATCCATCGGATCTCTAGAGTGTTGGTGGATCCGATAGCATTGAGGATGTCATACCAGTCTCTAGTAGTTCTACTCCTCTTTGAGATCGAGGATATAGCTTGTATGGATGAGAGACTGTCAGACCATATGATGATGTGTGTGTTGTTGTAAGTTGAGAGATATTTGCAAGCTTCGATGATGGCAGTGAGCTCTGTGTGGTAAACAGTGCAGTGATCAGGAAGCTTGAAAGATCTTTCCTCGAGGGTAGTGTTGTTATTGTCAGTGGTGATAATGTAGCCAGCCCCGCTACCTAAGTCTGTGCGTGACTTGTCTGTGTAGCAAGTGATCGTCTCACTGGAGATGTTTTCGATGCTGTTTTGAAGCGAATCTCTATATATTCAGTGTTGTTAGCTCCAGGAGTGGTGACTTTGAAATGCCGTTCAAGCATCATGGTTGGTATTGATAGGTCTCTCACTGCTTTGGGTGGTATGTTGAGATCAGCCATGAACTGTTTGTTGATTGTGGTGTGAGCTTTGATCATTGATGGTACCTTTTCTGAAGGCGATAGTTTCAAGGGTTAGGCTACCATAGGCTTGTAGCCTTGGCAGAGCCCTTTTTCTTGGTGTTAGGATTAGAATCTGATGTTAGGACTGTTCGTAGGGGTGTGATGCGAAGGTCTGAAGGCAGGTGGACTTTAGTGAAATGGTGAAGGACATGAGTGGAGCCTTTGCCATGGTTGAGACCTGACCTATGATTTGTGAAGCGAGTTCTAAGTGATTGGATGGAGATGCCAACATACTGGAGAGGGCAGTCAGGATGTGCACAAGTAATTAGGTATACTATACCGGAGGTAGTACACGTCATGGGCTCAGAGATTGTGTACTCCTCTCCTGTTATCAGATTGGAGTAGCAGGGGTCAGTTTTAAGGAAGCCTTGAATGCACATAAGACATTTTCCACAGTCTGTAATAGGACTAGCCAGGGTGGTAATTATGGGGGTGCTAGGGTAGTTACCAGGAGCAGCGGTCGGCGGTATGGGTGGTATGGGTGCGGGAGTAGGTGGTGCTGGACATGGAGGAAGCTGTAAAGAGGGATGTGTAGCTGAAGGAGTAGGAGGTATAGGCGATGGTAGGGCGGGAGCATAAGATAAAACCCTTCCACTGCGGAGCTTCATGAAAACAGGAAGGTTCCGGAGTACAATAAATCACCAGATGATCTATGGGTGAAGGGTAGCGCGATAAATCAGCGGCTACTCTTCAGTATACCTCTCAATGGAGGCTTATTCAATTGACAAAGACTAATAATAAATGCTGCTTAGCACTATAAAGTTGGTGGCAGTATAAACACTCCTTCACCTTAAGGAACCATATATCAGTTGACACAGAACTATTTGATTACTTTTCAAATGAAGCATACACTCTTCTTACAATTTAATACTGATGATGACAATATGGACTCAAGAGTTAAAAGCACCTACATTTTTAGCTATAACCGAGCCAGGGTTAGGGAGAATAGGGTCTGCAGGGGTAGCACTAGCAGTTGTGGGGGCAGCAGCAGGGGTAGCACTAGCAGTTTTGGGGGCGGCAGCAGGGGTAGCACTAGCAGTTTTGGGGGCGGCAGCAGGGGTAGCACTAGCAGTTGTGGGGGCAGCAGCAGGGGTAGCACTAGCAGTTTTGGGGGCGGCAGCAGGGGTAGCACTAGCAGTTGTGGGGGCGGCAGCAGGGGTAGCACTAGCAGTTGTGGCGGCAGCAGTATGGGTAGCACTAGCAGTTGTGGCGGCAGCAGTATGGGTAGCACTAGCAGTTGTGGCGGCAGCAGCAATAGGGGCGGCAGCAAAAGGGGCAGCAGTGGGAGCGAGTGGGGGGGGGGAAGGCGGCAGGCGCAAACAGCCTTCGCACCACCCCTTGGTCAAGGTCACGGCTCTTCTTTGGTTTCATCCTCTTCACCTGTAATATATCTTCATTAAAAATAAAATAATTTCCTTAGTCAAACAAAAAACTTTCAGTCAAACTAAAATTTATATTTCGTTCCAAGTATACAATCCTAATTTATTATGAAAGGAAGGAAAGAGGGAGTCAATCATGTCTAAAGATACCTCGGAGAACTTCCAATAGGTCAGAAAGTTCTTAAAGTTTCTGGTGGCCGTCTCCTGGTCCACCGTTTCGGTGATGCTTCTTTCTGGTGCTGGCTAAATGAGCTACCTCCTCTGTCCTCTGAAAAGTCATAGGGTGTTAGCACTTGTTTCGTGAAAACGCACGATATTCAAGTCAAATAAAAGGGTAAAACGCTCATTGGAAAAATCTTGATCTACAGAGAGTTGATTTTGTGAAAAAGTATTATATTTTGTAACCTTGGCCATCTCCTTGTGGTTCTGCTCCTCTGAAGCGCTCCATACTGACTGGCGGATCATCGTCGGTGTGGGCCGCTTTCTCATAAAGCTGGGTCTGAACTTAAGCGTGTTGGTCAATGCCCAGCGCAGCTGAAATTTAACTATTCTTATCTTCAATCTTATAAATCGTGTGTAGTCCCTGGTATAATGGGGATTTAAAGCAAAATAAATAAAACTAAGTAGATACTAAACACTTGGTTAACAAAGAAGCTTAGAACGGTTAAGTGCACAACTAGCAATAACATTTCCAAACAGCAACTGCAGATTAGACTTACTTCCCGAGCGGCGTGCTTTGACTTTTGCAGACTTTCGTATTTGCCGCAGAAAACCTGCTGGTCGACTGCCCCCTTAATAACGCTCTTGTGTTTCTGAGAAGAATCATTCAGACAAAGTTTCTTGATCTCTTTACATGTTTCCCATTACCCAGAACCTCTTTCTGGATAAAGTCGATGGGTGGTGACAAGAAATCGGTAGTACGCTCGAAAATATATTAGCAACTGGAGGGTGAAAAACAGCGACTTTACAAAGCTTACCTTCAGGTATGCCCTCAGAAGCTTCCACTGTGGGGAGGTTAGAAAGATGTGGGGTAATCCTGTGATGTGAGCTGTTTTCAGCTTCACAGTCTTCTCGTCCACCATCTCACAGCTCTTCCCGTTCAAGGGGGAAACTTGAAAATAATACAGTTTCCGCCCTTCAACATCTAGCTCACTCGACTGTAACAATAAACTCAATAAGTTATTAAATTTTAGCCATTATTATTGACCTTTACTAGTTAATAAATAAAACGGTTATTTAAATCGGAAAATAATATTAATAATACAAGGATTAAGATTAAAATTTTACTAGTACTGATTGATTGAGTGTATTGCATTTACCTTTCCCACTATGTCCCCCCATGAAATACATAGTGGCTCTCCCGCATGTGCTGATCGGAGCATGAAACAAGCAGTTACGAGGGCTCCCCGCACGTGGCGGAATAGCCCAAGCCACTCGTTTTTTGGTAGCTGCTCTACTTTATCTGCTAGATCCTCGTAGACAGGAGAGAAAACGATGGCAATTATCTGTAAAATGCCTCACCTTTACATGGGTTACCTATATATACTATTGGTTGACGAATTAAACATATAGTTTTTAAAATTTTTTAGTCGGGTTCAGATAGGGAAAGCTAAGCAATCAACGATTACTAAATCAATCATAATCAACCTCTCTCATGGACAGTCGATTAGCAGTGGCTGTCATGACATTCATGGATTGGACAGCCTCAAAAACAGTGAAACGCTCTTTTTTCTTTCTCTTTCTCTTCTGCAGGGGTCATCAGGGTGCGGGTGGCAGGGATCCCCGCTTTGTGTCCCAAGATTTAAACATCCAATCTTCGTATCCCCGTACCTAATGAATTCCAATTCTAAGTCACTCTCCATGCTCATTCTAGAGTATACGGATTTGTTAGCTCCCAGGGAATCATATCGAAGACACAGTTTGGATTTGGAAAATCTCACTCTACATCTCATGCAGTTAATTAAGATAAGTCGATCAGAATATTATTAATTTCAATCATGTACTAATGTGAATACAGTATGGATATTTTTAGAGATTTGTATCATTCGATGAAGCAAAAATACTAATTCATTGATAAGGAAAAGCCTTGATTGCTTGACAGAAATTGCTATCAAGGCTTTTTCACCCCATTTACTGTTTTTCAGGCATTAAGACTCGCCGAAATTAGTTCAGCAGGCATATTTTAAGTTCAAACAATTCTAATTAAATGTCAAGGATGACAGGAATAATAAATATTTATGTGGAGGTTTTTAAGGCCCCAACATTAATGTGGCTCTTGCTATGTGTTGGTTCAGCCGAATTAATTATTATATATTTACATCGTATCAGGCAATGGTTCAGTTTAATTATGGTAAGGGCACAGCCTGTCAAAAACCCTTTTCGCATGATCCGTCGACACCGCCTGAAGGTGAATGCATAATAACGGATCATGAACGTACGGAATCAAACGTTAATAAGCTTGCAGCTTCCGATGAAAATGTATTCAACTTTGTGTCATGCTTGAATTGGTTTTGGACCTCTTCAATGCTTTTAATTTATTTATTATTGTTATTTGGTATTATGAGCTGATATGTATATATACATACGGTATCTAAAATTAAGCGTATAGCGAGCATATTTAACAATTTTTAAGCAATAATGTATTGCGAGCAGCTGTAACTTAAATATCGCATAAAAATCATATAATTATAACACAAAACTAAAATTTTATTGGAATCTAGGTTAAACTAAGATAAAATTAATATCAGCCCCTTCGCCACTCTCAGCAGTCAACCAGGGCTCATAAAAGCTTAACAGCGCCTGGGTCCGTTCACCAACTGTGCTAATGTGAGTGGCGGTGTGGTGAAACCCATTTTAACAGCGTGAATATTTATCAAATATAAGCGCGCTAGCTGCTAGCATACTTGTATCATTTAATTTTTAATCAAATTTATTCGGATATATATTTATTGATTATGTATTGAATTGGTGATAAATAATAAAATTGTCTTTTCTCAAAAAATTGTCTTTTCTCTATAATCAAGTTTATTTTTCTCGTTAGTTGTCATCCGGCCAAACATTAAGCAACTTATATTGCAGTACCATTTATCATTTAGTATATCAAAATTTGACCAAAACCCATAATCATGGGTAGAGTGAACCGCTGCCAGTGTCTCTCTTTTCCAAACAAAAGAAAATGATATTAATTTGAGGAACCGTCCGCAAATGCAAATTGATACCGAGAATGAAATCGGTCGCTCGCTTTTCCCATTCAATAAGCTTTATTACAATACGTAAGCCGTGAATGAATGGGAAAAGCGAGCGACCGATTTCATTCTCGGTATCAATTTGCATTTGCGGACGGTTCCTCAAATTAATATCATTTTCTTTTGTTTGGAAAAGAGAGACACTGGCAGCGGTTCACTCTACCCATGATTATGGGTTTTGGTCAAATATCATCTCTTTTTGATTATAATGTCAGGATAATTTACACAGTCGAAACTTAATAAGGAGGTAATTTCAACGATTTCGAAATTTTACCTTTGAAAACGTTTCCTTGTGTTTAGGTAGGCATATCTGTCAATAACAGACTGAATATAGCACTTTTTACTCATTCAAGTTGGCATTAAATTCATATATAATGCCATTTTAATATCGTAGGAAAGCAGAATATATTCGAAATCACGAATGAGCAAAATTCTCACCTTTCGCACGTGCAAACTTTGAGCGGACGTTGCGTGCGCATAAAATATTGAATCACCATAAATTTTTGCATAGTGTTATTTAATATATAGTTTGATAAGCATGAAAAGTTTCAGAAGATTTCAAAAAGAACTTGGATCACAACGGGACTCCAAAGTTGGTAAAAATCGTGAAAATAACAATTTTTAGTGATTTTAGCTATTTTAAATGAATTTGGGCGTGTCCCCACGTGTGCAACTTTTCGATTTTCAACTTTAAAACTAGCCTATAACACAATTTAGACCTTTAGGAAGCAAAATTGAGCTCCACAACCCAAGGGATGGCCCAACACCAGAGAATACTAATTCACAACTTTTGTGTTTTTATAAAATTATTCTTCAAAAAAGCACAAACTTCAATAGCGAATATCTTTATGAAGGAGCAAGGTAGGAAAACTTTCCGGTAGATTTTCAGAATGCTTGAACAATTATCTAAGGTGAAAATGTCCTCAGATTTTGAATAAAATTACTCCTTAATGCTTTAAAATCGATTTGAAAAGTTGTTATTTTGTCAAAAATCAAGTTTTAAAAACACTTAAATTGATGACGTCATCAAGTGATGATGATGACGATAAATTATTTTTCGATATAATGTAAACTAAAGTATAAACAATTATCTTTAAAACCTGTGGTTCGAAATGACTGTATCTTTTATACTTTTGAATCTACGGACACTTAAATGTAGGCTACAATTTACTGCAAAAGCGTCTATACATATATATATATATATATATATATATATATATAGCTTCACGACAATCTGTTGTAAAACAGGGGTTCCAGAAAACCCACTTCCCGATACTCCTGCAACATGAAATTTTTTTTACAGTCGATTTGGACAAGGTCTAGACGCTCTGCAAAGTTTCAGATCTCTAACTCAATTTTAACATGGTTTTGAAGGCACCTGAATATGGCGATTTTGGGTTTTTTACCTAATTTCGTATAACATGCTGGCGCGTATTTTGCGCAAATTTCTTAAAAACCTCCACATAACTATTTCTTATTCCTGTCATCTTTAACATTGAATTAGAATGTTTTGAACTTAAATATACCTGCTGAACTTCTTTCGATGAGTCTTAATGCCTGGAAAACAATAAAGGGGATATAATAGTATAGGGGGTACATAGTGTTGTGAATATAAGGGCAACGATTATGCTTGCCAGCATTGTGATATGTCATTGTAACTTTGCATGGCTGAAATGTAAAAATACGTGCCATGCCAGTACGAGCGGCTAAATCACTCTACAGTCGATTGTTCTAAAAGGGCCCCCGACAGTTGAAACCAACTTCAATCGATGTATTTTCGGACGCTGATTCCGAATCACCCCTTATGACATAATAGGGTTAATATGCTCCCCTGACGAGATATTGACGAAAAACTGTCTCGATCACGTGATATGACCGTATAAGGAAGTTAGTCCAATTTCTCGTTAGGGTTAGGGTTTCAGCATATGCTTTTGTTAAGGATTGGGTTAGGGTTAGGGTTGGGATCAGATTAGAGGGTTAGGGTTTCGAATAGTCGTTCAGGACCAGCTAGAGAACGAGTTGAAAAAGTCACGTGACAGTCGAGTGTACAGTGATTAATCATCATCCAGATTCGGCGAAATGACTTGTCTTACGTTGTATGACCCGCCGCGCACGAGTGCGCGGCTCCCCTCTACACTGCCGTTCCCTGAGAGAAGGCAGTGAGTCCATTTTTCGAAATTTTGAGATATTGGTACTAAAATTTTCAGGAGAAGATTCTTTACAACTTAAGCTATGAATCACGTTATAAAAATACTGTTTTAGCTGTCACGAAAGATAGTAAGTCACTCAAAACTTGACAATTTAGCACGTTATCTTAACGGGTGATACTCGTAAAATATTTGTTCCAACTCGGCGCGCGTCCTGGTAGGTTTTAAACCTACAACACGTTATCCCAAAACCTTCCCTGAGAAAAGGCAGTAAGTTCAGCCTTTATTTGCAGTTTTTATAGTTTTTGGCCTATAACTTCCACAGTTTTAGTTATTATCTTAACGGGTAATACTCGTAAAATATCTGTTCCATATTTTGGAACAGGACCGTCGACGAGTCCAACTCGGCGCGCGTCCTGGTAGGTTGTAAACCTACAAGTTGATTCACGATGTCAATCCTTCGCATCTCGCCGATCTGTGGTTGCGAGAAGCATTATTGGATGCGCGCGCGGCCCAGTATTGCATCGCGCTACAAACCTACAAGTTATATCTAAATAAATTGTATGTGGTCGTAATTAGCTCAGCAAGCAAAAAATGTTGGTACTAATATTTCAAAATTTAAAAAAATATTATTTTTAAAATTATTCATTATTGAACCTGAACACAAAAGTCAGGTGAATGAATTATTGGAACATTTTTTGAAAAATTTGGTGCTTTAAATAATGTTCAAATTTTCTAAATTAATTCGTCTGACCGATGCTGTAAAAATTATTCCAAAATATTCGATATGTAAGAAGTTATAGGCATTTTGAGCGAGAAATTATCCATTTTTCGTCAATATTACACACTTGCAACACACAGGAGGCCCGCATAATTATATCGCAAGGATATGATCAAAAATATAGAAATGTTGTATTTTTTGTGTTGACTTTATTTGAGGAAAAGTGTACTTACAGCCTTTCTAGAGAGGAAGATCGGTTGAAATCGATCCTGATAAAAGGCAGTAAGTCCGCAATTCCCTCAGAAAAGGCAGTAAGTCCAATGCAGATGGGAAAATAGTTCAGTTATTCTAGAGAAAAATGGTTTTTTATTGATTCACGATGTCAATCCTTTGTAGGTTTATATGGAACAGATATTTTACGAGTATCACCCGTTAATCAATCCTTCGCATCTCGCCGATCTGCATATACATTATACGAGAAGATGCGCGGCGCGGCCCAGTAGTGCATAGCGCTACAAGGTTTTTATAGATCAGTGTTGGTGAATTTATGCTTTTAAGCTAAAGCATGTTTACAGTTTAGCTGACATATGACAATAATTTATTTACACATAGATGTCAAAATTAACTCCGTTTATGCGAATAAAATTACCTAAAAAACGACAAACACGTTTGTCCCCTTTTCTCAAAATGACATCGATGTGACTTACTGCCTTTTCTCAGGGAACGGCAGTACAGTGAAACGTTGTATCACGTTGTGACACCCACGGTCGTTTCATGTCCTGACGATACAGGGGGAGCCGCGCACTCGTGCGCGGCGGGTCATACAACGTATGACAAGTGAAACGACAGTTAATGGGGTAAGTGGGGGTCACGACGTGATACAAGGAATGACAGTGGACAGGCTGAGCGCGGCCCAGTAATATTTTTGGACGCTGATTCAAAATATCATTCCCCATGACGTAGGGTAAAAATGCTTCCCTGAAGAGTAATATGGGCAAAAAACTGTTTTGGTCACGTGACAGGCTAGTTAAAAACACGAATTTGATTGTTTAGGGCTCGGATTAGGGTTGTAGGTTTATAACCTACCAGGACGCGCGCCGAGTTGGACTAATATATGGAACAGATATTTTAAGAGTATCACCCGTTAAGGATTAGGGTTGTGGTTAGGGTTATGGATAGCTTTGGGGTTATGGTTAGGATTTATGTAAAACCGCTTTGTTCGGGTTTGTAGGTTTACAACCTACCAGGACGCGCGCCGAGTTGGACTCGTCGACGGTTCCAATATATGAACAGATATTTTAAGAGTATCACCCGTTAATGTTCGGGTGCAAAACCATAAAAACCAAAGTCTCGTGATAATTTTGGGCGATCGGATCAGTAAGAGCCGGATGGGGCTCACTGCTCAGTAGTCAGTATTTCATTTTGTCATATCTTCGATCGTCTTTATGAACACAAAGTCTGAGGTAAGATTAACATGATTATTTACAGTTACTATGTTTAGTGTTTATTTATTTCCTTTCTTCATCATATTATTAAGTCACAATTTTGTTTGGTTTGACTCCCATCTAGAAGATGACCTACTTTTAAAGGATCGTTCACACGTTATCTAAGTTAGATTTCGACTACCCCTTCTCCCTCTGTAAACACTTTTACACAGCTGCTATTGTGTAGAAATTATAACTAGCTTGCATTTTAAATTCCAATCCCCACTTAGGCTGCTTACAATTAACATCTGACCAATCCCAAAGAACGAACATCCATTATATTAACCTGAGCGAGAACAAAATAAACGACTCCTTAAATTCATTCAGATTTAAATAAAAAAGTGGAAGTTTTAAAAGAGGACGTGGGAAGTAAATATATCAAACTGTCACCAATATATAGTTGAAACTTGAGAACTTCAATGTGGGATTCGATGAGGAGTTTTGTAACACGTGGGTATCAAGTAATACAGTCACAATAAATGCTAAGCAAAGCGTAGTCGCACACACTTACATCAAAAATATATTCTAAATTTGTTATTCGGTTCTGTTCAGTTAATCAAACAATTTAATATACATTACAGAATCTAACAGAAACGCCGAGATTCCCCACTTACCATGTGACATGTTTCTCAATTCCTGTCAGTCAAAATTTTATGAAAGATAAAAATTAAGACTCCTATATTCACTAAAATTAATTTCAAATAATTTATATATAATTATCTCGCTGCTGGTTGGGGAGCGTGTCTGCATTACTTTCAGTACATGTATAATATATTATATAACGATTACCAAACTCGAGGCTCACTTCTCTTCTCGTCCGATCAGGAAAGTTGTAAGTTCCTGGTATATTACCTACTGCAGTGTTCACTCTGTTTGTTCAGTACAGCGAGCATAATTTACAAGAACTTGATCGTCCGATGACAACGTCCTACAGGATCACATCATGACACCACCATACGTGCCCACGTGTGTGCGCGGCACGGCAGATCACGTGACTTGTAGTGTGATATCACGTGACCGTGGAGCTGACTTTCTGTCGTTTGTTGAGAGGGGGTTCGTCCTCTTCATCACTGTCGTCAGCGTAGTCGACAAGAGGTGAGGATGCTGATATCACCTTGTCCAGTGCAGGGAGGGAAGCGGACATAACTTTGTCGAGAGGGGTGGTAATAACTTTGTCGAGGGTTGAGCTGATGTTGGTGATCACCTTGTCTGAGCTGGGTGTTATCACCTTCTCCAAGGGAGTCGTCATCACCTTCTCCGAGTTGATAACTTTGTTCGGGGGTGGTTTCGTGTCCAGGACTTTGTTCTGTACCACCAGGGGCGAGTTGTACAGTGGTTTGTTCATGTCGCTTGCATCTTCATCATTGAAGTAGTTCTCCTCATTTTCGTCAAGGTCCCTTGCATCGCGTCTGAAGCGAGCCGAATTATCGAAATTTTTGGGCCCTGCCATCGTGTCCCCCTTCTTAGTACTCTCCCTCTCTAACTGCTGCTCAAACTTTGTTCTAAGAGCTTTGAAAGTAGAGCACTGCTCTACAGTTAACAACTTAGTGATGTGCTTTTCACACACATACTTTATCAAAGTCTTTATATCTTCACTTTTTATGAATTCTAGCAGTTCCAAAACTGCTGAGTTTAACATGTTGTGCTTTAGTCCGTTCTTCACGAACGCGTCTATAACGTAAGACATTAGGTCGAATTTGATGATGTATCTGTTGTAGAACTCGTCCTTGAGGCCCACTATCTTCCGGAAGAATTTCAAAGCGTTAAGGGCAAGGAAGGAGTACCGAGGATTCATCAGCAGTAACACCTGGAGTAGCAAATGGGTGAGAAAAATGTGAACTTTACGTTGAAGTTATACGATTGAACCAGAAATTAAACTAAATTTCGGAATTAAACTCACAAAACACAATTATATCTTGACATTACCTTTTGGAAGATTTCTTTTGACAAGATATAATTCTTGACATGATAAGTGTGATTTTCCACTGCGAAGGAGAGTACGTCCAGAACGCTAGCTACAAGGGACGAGTTCTCTGTTTTGCTGACGTATTTTAAACACTCTGTTCCGTGCGTAGCCAGAATAATCGGCTCCGTCAGTCGGTGCATGGCGTTCTGTTTGCAAGAATGAAGTTAATATTTTGAAATTTAACTAGGAGTTAATGATTAAAGGCGCTATGATAGTTAGAATTTATCAAGTCGGTGCATGGCGTTCTGTTTGCAAGAATAAAGTTAATATTTTGAAATTTAACTAGCAGTTAATAATTAAATAAAAGGCGCTATGATAGTTAGAATTTATCAACAACCCCTCCAAGTTTTTATTGAAATCTATAATTTTTCAAATGAATTAACAAGAATAATTTCTAGTTAACCACAAAAACAAAGGTAATACAAACCTTGTAAAAGAATTGCAGGAATTCGCTTTTCTCAAGTCTGTTGAGAGAGCGGTGCATGTTCTCAGGATCAATAAGCGTCCGGAGAAGGCCGAACAAGGTACCCTCAGCATTGCACCCGGGATGGTTTACAACCCTTTCTATTACAATGTTCACTAAAAGAGCATCCTCGTCATGACTTGTCGCTTCCTGGTATAGGAGCAAAGTTAGTCTCTTAATTCAACTTTTAACGTGAACAGTCAGATTGTTCTATTCAGATGTACTAAAGGTTGCAGGTGGTCAGTCATCTAAGAGGATGATAATAAAACATCAAGTTTTCAAGGTAAATCATAGCAAATAGCGCCCACCTGAACCATGAAATCTCGCACAAGAGAAGGGTTAGTATCAGTAGCAAACGAGAGAATATCGGCAGCAACAGACCATATCTCCTCGACATCAATAGCTAGAAGAAACTCAAGTGTGGGAAATAATCTCTTGTTTGCTAGAGATCGCAGAAATGAGGTTTTTCCTTGCACCTGCAATGGTAATAAATTATTTAGAGGTTAACGTGACAGAGAAATTAATTAGAAAGTTTAGAGAAATTAATTAGAAAGTTACAGATATATGGATACTTTAAAAAATTATTTCATAAAACGTATTGTAACAAACCTGAAGGGTATTAGAGAAATTGCAAAACTCCCGAAGAAGGCAAGCTAAATCTATCCGCCGAGCTATGTCTAGATTCTCGTCTTGAAGTTGTTGGAACAGCTTCGTTAAAAATATCTGAAATTAGTGTTCATGTGTCAGGGCATTTGAAAAGTTTTAATAATTCCCAGTTGTACCTAAACGAATGTTTAAGTTCCCAGTTGTTAAAATTGGATTCGTTGTATGTTACTTTGAAATAATTGGTAAGCTATCAATGAGAAAGAGCCCCTCTGACGTAGGCAATAACTCCATTTAATGACGAGGACAGTCCTTTGGTGATATATGAGCGGTCAGTGGGGTTTTTCAATTCATTTCATTTCAAAGTGTTCACGAAAGGCTCCGAGAAAAACCAGTCCCAAATGCAATCAAACTCGGGGTAATTACTTATCGCTTACAAATACGAAAATAACTGATAATAAGACACATTACCTCATCTTCTTGTAGCATAGAGACGATATCTGCTTTGTTGAGGAAAATAAAAGAGCTGAGTGTGGAGAGCATGTTGTCTTCAAATACACTCGGTGTAGGAGAAACTATATCCTGCGGAAATTACTGATTAGATCATGGTTAAATCACATATTGAAAACATTCATGATGGTATGTAGACAAAGGAAACAAGCACTGATGTTTTTTAAATGAACTTGATATCGAGATATTATCGGATTGAAGTCTACACTTGGATATTAATCTTTAAGTTCAAGCCGAGGGATATGACCAGGTACCTGAATATATTGAACTCTGTAAGTCTGATGAATTTTGTCAAGGAGGGTAGGGTTGGTGAAAGGTATGCACTCTTTGAACTGAGCTCTGTCTCTGATAAATTGCCGGTGACCGGCTGGCTCTGATAGTGAGGGGTCGTATTCTAATATTCCTAACACCTGAAAATGGCAAATTATCGATCATCAAAGTCGGTCACATCAGAAATCGATAGCACCATCCATATGGATCACCGCTATTTGGCGATTATCTTTTTTGGATAAATTATAATAATGACAATCATCCCTAAAATTCTAAAATTTCATGAGGAGACGTAGGTAATTTTTGAATAAGATATACAACTACAGAGGATCAACCAAAAACCCACAATTAAGACGTTTAAAATAAAATTCTTACCTCAAATATATAATCCTCTGTAAACATTATTTCGAAGATAGCGTTTTTGTTAAGCATGAAAATACTCTTGAAGATATCGAAGAGCATGTGTAAATCCTCCGTATTTTCAAGATCTTCACAAACATGGAATATCTCTATGCATTGCTGAAATAATTAATTAGTCTTTCTATGAAGCATATCATAATTCATAATAACACAATGACAATCGACATGGGATTTTTCGAAATCCAATCGGTATTCAGTAAGCACAGGATTGTAAATAGACACACTGCATTCCCACAACACTAAACATCAGCAGGTTCCAAACTTACCGGGATATAGTTTTCTGATTGTAAAGCAACAGCTAATCTTTCTCTCCTGATGGGACTGTTCATTGCGCCCTCAATCACTTCTCGTATCTCAAACAGCCTGCTCAGTTCGCAAGGGGGGAGATCTATGGGCATTGCTGCATCTGGAATATCCTCAAATCTCTCCTCCTCTTCATTCTCCTCATTGTCCATTTCTTGAGTTATCGTGGTGGTTTGGGGATCCTTGCCTTGAACCTGAACGGGTGTCAGGTTACAAATTAATTGGTAGTTACATGTGTTTACCACACAGTTGGCTTATAATTTAGCTCTACCAGTATGTGTTAACCACACAGCTTGCTTTAAATTACAGACCCGATACGGGAGGAGAAGGGTGTGCCCCCCCCCCCATCTGTAGTTAATACTGAGCCCCCCCCTCTGTAGTTAATACTGCGCCCCCCCCCCCCATCTGTAGTTAATACTGCGCCCCCCCCCTCTGTAGTTAATACTGCGCCCCCCCCATCTGTAGTTAATACTGCGCCCCCCCATCTGTAGTTAATACTGCGCCCCCCTCCCATCTGTAGTTAATACTGCGCCCCCTCCCCTCTGTAGTTAATACTGCGCCCCCCTCCCCTCTGTAGTTAATACTGCGCCCCCCCTCCCCTCTGTAGTTGATACTGCGCGCCCCCTCCCATCTGTAGTTAATACTGCGCCCCCCTCCCCTCTGTAGTTAATACTGCACCCCCTCCCCTCTGTAGTTAATACTGAGCCCCCCCCCCTCTGTAGTTAATACTGCGCCCCCCCCATCTGTAGTTAATACTGCGCCCCCCCCCCCTCTGTAGTTAATACTGCGCCCCCCCCATCTGTAGTTAATACTGCGCCCCCCCATCTGTAGTTAATACTGCACCCCCTCCCCTCTGTAGTTAATACTGCACCCCCTCCCCTCTGTAGTTAATACTGCACCCCCTCCCCTCTGTAGTTAATACTGCGCCCCCCCTCCCTTCTGTAGTTGATACTGCGCGCCCCCTCCCATCTGTAGTTAATACTGCGCCCCCCTCCCCTCTGTAGTTAATACTGCACCCCCCCCCCCTCTGTAGTTAATACTGCACCCCCTCCCCTCTGTAGTTAATACTGCACCCCCTCCCCTCTGTAGTTAATACTGCGCCCCCCCTCCCTTCTGTAGTTGATACTGCGCGCCCCCTCCCATCTGTAGTTAATACTGCGCCCCCCCCCCTCTGTAGTTAATACTGCGCCCCCCCCCATCTGTAGTTAATACTGCACCCCCTCCCCTCTGTAGTTAATACTGCACCCCCTCCCCTCTGTAGTTAATACTGCGCCCCCTCCCATCTGTAGTTAATACTGCGCATTTAAAAAAAAACAGGATCAAGCTGAAGAGAGATTGGCAAGCCCTTAAAGAAACGTCATATATAATGTTTGGCAGTGGTCTTGAATATGACTTCAAGAATAGCTGACACGCCATATAAGGATTAAATGAATAATACTCGAAAGTCGTTTAAATTTTGCGGATACATTTAGATTAGATAGGTAGGATCACATGCAACCAAATTTGATCAGCTGATGCTAAGGCCTAAGATCACGGTAAATTGAAGAATGGAACATTCAATCGGTTAAAAGGAACTTTTCAGCAAGAATTCTAGAAATGCGATAATCGTTATAACACGCTGTCATACCACATATTCCAATTACCGCTAGGTTCTTAACTTAATAGAGTATGATTATTTGTGAGAAAGATCAAGCGTAGTCTGCATTCACTAATTGAATCTCCATAACTCGGGCACTGCTAACAGTTTTAGAGATTAACTGCTAAGTAAGTAGGAGCCTCGAAGAACAGTGTTATGAAACATCTAAGAAGTGTTAACTGTTAAAATACTGTCCACAATGACTGTCTGGGCCTGTAGTGATGAACAGGCAAGGGGTTTAGAGTACTGTGGTGTATCTAGTGGTAGATATGACATGTTTGAGATAAAGGACACTGGAAATGGCAGGACACGCCAGAACACATGAAAACAACTTTAAGAACACAAAGAAATCAAATCATAACGATGAAATTGGAAGTCGTCCTTGCCCAAAGATTGATGCACAAGTAGTCTAAGGATCCATTATTCATCTGTCTTGATGTTAGATTTGAAAAAGCCAATATTCTTTATATCAAAAAGTTAACAACCAAGATCAAAGATTCAACCGAGGCAGTTGAAAGCTCTCTAATTAGTTCATCCGTTCTTCAAGCCCGTTCAATCAAAATGGAAAAAGTTGTGAAAGGTGACAAGATTTAGACGATCATCTTGAACAAAAATTTTACACGGATATGGCGGAATTAATCTTAGGAAGCTGTACCACTGCAGCACAAATGCACACTATCAATCAAGAATATGATGAATTGCAGTCTGCTATATCATGTTCAGCAGATTCAGTAGTGTTGCATGTAGGGCGCGCGCGCAGCACTACAGTAAATGTTTTCAATGAAAACTCTTTACGATTTTGGTGCTGCGCGCTGACAACTGCATACTCTACTATATTCGCGCGTTGGCAGAATATCAAGCTACTCGGCGAACTAACGCCGCCCATCTGCCAAACTTCAGAAAATCATCCATTAATTTGTGCACACATTTTAATTAGCACCGGAAATTATTCCATGCTCGTTGGGATTTAGGAATTGATACGACTTAGTCGTTAATCAAACTGCATGGTTAAGATATGCACGAAACATGTCTACTGTGGACTAATGTGACTGCAAAATGGTATGTGATTTATCAGCAACTCAAATAATAATAAACATGAAACAGTATCAAGATAATCAACATATTGGAAATCCAAGATATAAAAATAATGATAGATTGAAAGAACTAAGAAGGCAACTCCTCAAGAAGCGTAGACATTTCACAACTTTGTCAATAATTTGAAGTCAATTTTCCCGCTTTTTAAGTTAGTCAAAGCATATTTACAAAACAAACCGTTTTAAAATCACAAATTATAGCAAAAAACCCAAGTATTCTTAAAAGTAACCAAATGATGAGTGAGTAGTTACCTGACATATTTTAGCCCATATTTCGTCACACCCGGCCCGCTCTTGAAAACTAAGCGCTAGTTCCGTAGTATCGTTTTCAGACCACACAATCAGTGTCTCCTGAAATATGAGAAATATTATTTACAATCTTTATCAACGCTGAGAGTAGGGAGACGTTTCGTAAGGTATAGACAGGACTAGGGAAGATGATTTAGGGTGATTTTATACCAGGCGGAAGGTAAACACACGTAATACGATTGATGTAATACATGGGAGCAGCGCACTTTCACATTTTGGGTTGAAACTAGATATTAGCATTACTTTTCAGCACATTGTTGACATTATATCCCCTCGCTCACACGATTATATATTTACTCAAGCGGGATAGAGCGTAATACGATTCTATATTTCAACAGGTTAAATAAAGGCAGTGTTCTCCCTGGTTTTGGAGTGGAGCCAAGATGAGGTAACTGCAAGGTGCAGGTGTTTGTACAATGAACATTATACTGTTATGTAGGGCGGTGTGGAGGGTTGTTATTGTGATTAGTGGTCCTAAAAGTGGGGGCCTGGCACACACCACACGTACACATGCTGTACACAATGACATGTAATAACTTAACAACTAACTGCACCTGCAGCTAGGTTAAGTGTGCCCAGTATGGCACCTTCAGGTTACGCTAATAGGGCAGATTATTCTGCAGATTATTCTGCAGCTTATAAGTGAGTGTTTCAGTTTGGAACGTGAAAGTAACCGATTATCTTATTTCGATACCCAATTTATTGTGCTAAAAATACATGCCAAATCCAGCAATTTTATTCTTTTGTCAGCGTATGACGTTATGGACGACTCAGTTATAGAACTTTGGCGTAAAACCCAAAAAGCCTAAACTAAAAGGAGTACCCACCTAAGGATTACCTGTTAAAGAAATAAATGTCCAAATTAATTTTATGAATTTACGAACTTAATTAGTTTACGTTACATTTCATTGATTACCAGAATGGCATTAGAATAGTGCTAGTTCTTGCAGAGTTTGGTTGGATTTCCCGCCGCTCTTAATCAGTTTCTTTGAAGGATAAAACTTTAAACTAATCTGAAAACTGACCCTGTGAACCGTTCAGGAGAGGCGGGAAGAAGAGAGTACTGATTGTAATCTCATACAGATAGGTTACAATTTCATCTACAATACTGCTCTACTCGGAGGTTCCCTAATCCCTACTCGGAGGTTCCCTAATCCCTACTCGTAGGATCCCTACTCGGAGGTTCCCTACTCGGAGGTTCACTACTCGGAGGTTCCCTACTCGTAGGATCCCTACTCGGAGGTTCCCTACTCGGAGGTTCCTTACTCGTAGGATCCCTACTCGGAGGTTCCCTACTCGGAGGTTCCTTACTCGTAGGATCCCTACTCGGAGGTTCCCTACTCGTAGGATCCCTACTCGGAGGTTCCCTACTCGTAGGATCCCTACTCGGAGGTTCACTACTCGGAGGTTCCCTACTCGGAGGTTCACTACTCGGAGGTTCCCTACTCGTAGGATCCCTACTCGGAGGTTCCCTACTCGTAGGATCCCTACTCGGAGGTTCCCTACTCGTAGGATCCCTACTCGGAGGTTCCCTACTCGTAGGATCCCTACTCGGAGGTTCCCTACTCGTAGGATCCCTACTCGGAGGTTCCCTACCCGGAGGTTCCCTACTCGGAGGTTCACTACTCGTAGGATCCCTACTCGGAGGTTCCCTACTCGGAGGTTCCCTACTCGTAGGATCCCTACTCGGAGGTTCCCTACTCGGAGGTTCCCTACTCGGAGGTTCCAGAACTTGGTAGAAGATTTCTGAAAATCAAGTAACACTTATACTGATTGGATATGTCATATGATGGTAGCACTGGTTGAGCCAACAACTGCTTGTATACGACCCGGCTAGCGATACTACTACAAACGATCCTAACATAACAGCTGTCTAGCACCTTCTTGGTATTCCCCGATAACAGAAAGAGATATCTGTCACACTTTATAATACATTGATATGTGGCAGTGCTAAAAATTAGCACTTTTGGCTATGATTCATGGAAACCGAAAGTGTTAAATAACGGTACAGGGGACAACATGTTGCACAATCTAGAGGAACAATCTATTAAATCCCGCTATATAAGATCTGCTATTTCATTACATTGTTCGTAGTATTTAGTCGTATTAAGAAAAAGTTGCAGAAATTTCTCATCACCGCAGCTCAGGTAAAGGACCGACCGATAAAAGTTATCATAATTTAATTTAAGTTATTACATTATTTAAGTTACTGAGTTGTGCGTTCCCCATCTTACAGGGTTCTCAATTAATATTAATTAGGAGCAAGTATACTATTAAGTAGTATCAAAATTATTATGATTATTTAATAAACGTAAATATCGCTCAGCATTGACTCCTATACTACTGTTGACTGTTCTCAAATAAACTAAACCTATAAAACCTCTAGGAACATTCCCAGTGTGACACGTGACAGTCAATTATTTGTTTTACTGTAAGCTGATTGGTTAACATTACAGTCTCGTTGTCAAAACAAAGTTCCCCGAACAAACATTAATCTACCATATAAACCATACATATATATATAAACCTTTAAGTAAGGAGGAACATAGCATCTTAATTGATGGGCAGCAGTTAATCTTAAACATTACGCTACAAAACATCCCTCTTAAATAGCTACTACAGGAGCCCACTAAATTGTAGGATATATAACAATTGTAAGTAGTGTAGTTGTGGGGAGCAGTTACACACATTACACAATGGTAGTTACTATAATAGGAATTTGTCTATAATCTATATCCAACACAGCTGCTCTTTATTTAACTACAATAAAGATAACATTTTGTGTCTGTGTCAGCTATACTTGGCACGCCACCAAGTTTAGATGTTGAAGTATTGCCATGTCAGAGCATCTATTATCATGTTGGGTATCTGCATATTATAAAGCCATTCAGTTGACTAAACGTAATGAACTATTAGTAAACATTTTAAATTGATATTTTGAAAACTTACACATTGTTTGTGGTAAGCTGTGTCAGCTTGAACTTTTGATTCGAGTAGAAGTGATCCTGAAATGGAATAACTGTTAGAACAAAAAATACAAAATAGGGGGAAATCATGTCATTTTAATCTCTTTTGGTTTCTCTGTTTAGAAGATTTTCCAAGATTTGGTGCAAAGTCAAATCTTTTAGATCAAAGATTTTTAACATAACATCTATTTAATTGTCCAAAAATAAGCCGCAGCCCCATTAAACGTCATCGTCATTCAGGAATTTTCAGGGTTGGGATGACATTAAATGACATTTCTATACCCATATCATGTACCTTAAAAGGTCAAAGTTGTAGAATATAACATCGCTTCGTTGTACAACCTAATCTTTCACAACGCAAACTTGCCACTTTAATTGTCACATCAATTATACAAAAAACCATATTGGTCACTTTGGTCTCGCAAGATCGGGAATAAATGGGGTTCCACGAAGTCCTGGGTACTGCGTATACAAGCAACGAATAGGCCGGAGCGCCAACTGGTCTATGCAATTTACAACCCAACATTCTCAACCGATTAGTGTCCACTCTCACTAACAATGGTTTACTATTGTAGCGCTTGTACACGTTTTTGTTGGACATGATGAGGGGTGTTTCAAAATTTATCGAAGCTGACGAAGATTAACGACATTTTATTCGACATTTTATTCAAATAATGTATAGTCATACATATCTTATCTAGTGCAAGACTTTTTAGTAAACAAAGCGAGTAAGTTGCAGTGAAACTGGTAACTTTTGGTGAACATGTACATGGCAAGTAAGGTACATCACATGAACCAATGGCACCAAACATGTCTACCAATCCACCATGTATGCCCCAACAAACTTCTCTTGTTGACAAATTACTTACTATTCGGTCTTAAAAGATGCTGCCAAAACAGTTTTAATTGAAAATTAATCTCTGAACAAAAAAGCTTAGAAATTCGTGACAAAATGTCATTAAATGTTATTGTCATTTAGAGGTAACAAACGTTAAACAATACTTATATACTATGTAGAAGTAATAAAGAAGAAACAAACCATCGTCTTCAGCCTGGACAATAAGTGTGAGGACAGATTCCTCCAGCAACGTACTACTGACATGTCCCGTGCCCTTGTCGTCCCATTGACGTTCCTCGTTGAGCACGTACACCTTGACGCGGCGCCTGTTCTCAGCCATTAACATTACGCCTTGCAGTCAAATCATGCTGCTGGGGAGTTAGCTGCTCAGGTTATAAGATTTTAGGGAAAGGTTTATTTCTCTAATCTGTTCATTATTATAACATATAATATAATATAGCGCATGAAATTATCATTTCTAGGAAATTCTAGGAAAAGGGAAGGTTTATCCAACCAAAAATATTACAGAGGGGAGGGGGGGGGGGCGGGAGTTGTTGCTTTGAGAGTTGTTGCTTTGCAGATAGCATATTGTACCTACTTGTTAGAGGATTCCGTTGCCAAAATTTTAAAATTCGGATATTTAAGACCACGCCTATTCAATATTAAAACACCTATATTGTTCTCTCTGGACATGCTGGACACCTAAGAGACGGTAGATTATTTAATGATGCATCTGATCTAAAAAAATTATGTGAAACGGATTTGAAATGAATGAGTTATCAAGCATTTAGTTTATCTTGTTAGCAAAATTGATTGGGTGATTGTGACACGACACCTTAATTGGGCTACCTTCAAAATTCCTATTGTGTAAATCTGATATGATGTAGTACATGCCATGCTTTTAGCGTGCTACCTGAGCCTTAGCAATGATCAGAGAATTTTGGCGGCAAATGAATAGTGAAACAAAACTGTTGCAAAAGGATAACTTTATTAAAAATATGCTCACAATAATAAACAACGATAAATCTACAGATAATTCTCAATATGACCACCAGTTGTGGCTGTTGGAGTCTCCAGGCAATGGGAAGATGTGGGTAAGCTCTGGACTGTTTGAGGTGTATTTCATTAGGTCTGGATAGATATCTTAGCTGTAACTGTTTTAGCAAACCAACCCAACTTTTCTCCAAGTTTCTTTGTATATCATGAACAAATAAAAGGATTGAATCACGGGTTTGGCCCAAACAGGAGACTTGTATGTCACACCGGACAGCTCTAAGTTGATGCTTTTTAAATTATTTAAAGGAGACCAGCTTGAATGTTTCATGTCTGATAGTTAGAGTTTGTGCAACTTAACAAATGATAGATAAATTAATATCAAAGCACAAAGACAGTGAACTATGGCAACTATAGTAGAGCACAGCAAGGCAGACCAAGACGAAGCTATTTGTCTATGTTACTGGAGGAAGCAGGCATGGCTCCAGCTCTTTGGGGGTGGGTGCAGCTCTGCACGCGGAGCGGGAGGGGGGGGGGGAAGCCCCCTGGAACATTTTGAGATTTTACCCTCCTAAACGTATTTCAATATCTTTCAAAACAGTCTCAATTGAGTAGAAGTCTGAAGAAAGTAATCAAACAAATTAACAGATTAATTTGACAATTTTGGTGTAAACATTTTCAAATCGTTTGGGAGGGTGCAAGTCCAAACTGAGTGGGTGCAACATCCTTTGAGGTGGGTGCACGGTGGAGCCATGCCTGGAAGGAAGTTGAGTCCAACTCTAAACAGAAACTGCAAAGGCTGGTGCGGGACAGGGATATATGAAGGGGGTTTTGATCTGTTAAGAAGTACACTCATTGCACTGAGGGGAATCAGAGGAAGGTCAACAGCCCAGCATCTTGAACTGCAAGACGTATCCTTCAACCTCATCCCCCAGAAGACGAGCTTTGAGGTCTCCTAGATTTGTTTATGTAAATTTTGTAGATATTTTACTTTACTATTTTATATATCTGACTCAGGCGAACTTAGTGCCCCCATCATAAACTCATGCTTAATCAACCGGTATGATGGACTGACCAGCTACCTCCCTCGCCACTCTGATCGTGAGATCACTATCAATCCTCTATATTAACTCTATCTCTTGGCCAATCATGTGATATAAAGTTTATAGAGAAGTTAACAGGTGTTGAGACAACATTGGCTTGTCCAAACAGATCACTCTACCATATGACCCGTAGATCGCAAGAAGTATTTGATCATATGATAGATGTAAATTCAATTGATGCTGGAATCAGATATAGCTTAACTTTTAGATCTGTAGATTGGAGAAACAAAAACTCCACATGTATTATGGGCGACTCTAACACAGGTATGTTACGCTTCGGATCTTGCAAGAGGAGCACGTTTGGCGAGCTTATGCCAGGACGGAAATTCTGGTCACCCAGAATTGATGACATTGATCCCAAATCCTGCATGGGTTACGCTAATGTTGTTTTGTTGTGCGGGATCAACGATGTGAAGCAGCCTGATGTTAAGAGTCAGTCTGATATTGTTGATATTTACCAGAAACTAAAGCTGAAAGTTAAACAGATACAGAAACTTAGCCCTAACACTTCTGTATCTGTCTGTAGATTATTACCCACTAAGGATATGTTACTGAACGAAAAGGTTGATACATTTAACAGGGCTATTCACTTCGACTTGCCTCAGACCTGTAAGGGTGTTCAGCTTGTTGATGGTTTTATGCAGTTTGTACAGAACAATGTCCTTGCCTGGGAACTGTCTAAGCAGTTTGACAGGCATGGGCAACCCGACATGCTGCACCTAAATAGGACTGGGGCTAGAGTTCTTGCAGGGATAATTAAACAATCAATATTTCTTAGACTAAATGGTGGAAAAGACAAGAGAAGACGCTCTGGTAGAGTGAATGGAAGACTATACAGCAATGTGGCTAAAGATAAACTGCTATATTATTATATTTTTGTACCAATGTTCACCTAACTTAACGTCTCTCACTGACACCATCACCCGGCAACCAATTTTAAAGTAAAATTTATTAACGATCTGACTACAGACTGGCGGTCAACGTTCCCCGTATAGTAGCTCAACGGAGGGGGTAATCAGGGCTCGTGTTAATGGAAAATGTACGTGTCCTTCCACAATCCCTTCTGTTGGGTCACACGTTATTGGGAACTGAGATCGCTATCGTGTAACTAGAAGCAGTATATGCAAAGTAACTTTGGTGACAGGTGATGGGCAATATGAAATTACACATCTTACTTTAACTTTATCCCGTCACCCATGGACTTATTAATTAACGGCTGGTGGTGGTGTCATCGTTTGTCGTACTCAAAACGTTTCGCGGTTGCGAATGCCGGCCCATCGAGGAAAATCTTTTTACTTTGTATTTTAACCATTATAAAGTATGATTAGTCGGATATAGTACTGAGTTCAAACAGTCCCCGAAACGAAAAAGCAAACATTTGAATTTTGTTTCGGGACTGAATTGTTGATGGGCCGGCAAATATTTGTTGTCGAGTAGTGTTGAATACTCATATTAACATGATTATTGATTTAATTTAGGAATTGTATATAACTATCTTTGACCAAGTTTAATTGTTAATGAGAATGCACCCCAGCACTGGGCGTGCGCGGCGGCTTTGATGTTAGCGGCTACAAGCTTGAAGCTAGGCAGCTGCAGAAAAGGCGCCGCGCGCTCACAGTTCAGCGTACGGCTTTTCGTTTTTGATTTTACAAATGACAAAGCAACTTTTAATGATTATTAATGGAATTATCGGATATTTAAAATTCAATATGTATTGATTCTTCTGTGGAAAATAAAAATTGTATTTTACTTTAAAAAATTGTATTTTACTTATATTGTATACAATTTTACAGACGAAATGATCCCAGGGGGACTCCCAACCCACCGCTTCGGCGGGTAGTTAATGCACCGATCACAAGCAAGAGTCACTTTGGTCTACTTGCTGTGAGGTGTCTCAGCTACATGGGTTGGGGGTCCCCCCTTTTTTTGTTTGTTCTGACTTATAATAGTACTATGTTTTACAGTATGCACTGAAGGGGTATCCTAAGAAGTTTCTTGAACTTTTAACAGGTACCCCTCCTCATTTAACCCTCAATTAAGTTTCCTATCATTCGGCTGAGTCGACCGAGGAGATCACATAGATCCAATGGATCCTTAGCTACTCCCTAGACTAGGTGACACTGGGATGCGAACCCTGAACCTTCTGCGCAGAAGGCGGATGCTCTAACCACTAGGCCACCTAGTTCTGACTTATAAATAATAGTAGTTGTTGGTTGTGGCGGGGATTATCACGTACTAACTCGGCAAGACAATTGATGAGGCTATGACGAAATGAATGCTACCAGAACTGACATTTAGGTTAATTTACTTTCACTACACACTGGATACCCTCGACAAATGTAATAGGTAAATTCGTAGTGAACATTTTTCTTTAATGATAAATTTTTAATTGTTGTTACATACATTTATCGTAATAAGTTTAATTTTTTTCATAAAAATATCTTAATAATTGGGAGAAATTCAAACAATATAAACATAATATATCAATGACCCAATAAAAATTAAACCCTTTGTAATAATATATAGAATCCACAAATTTACATCACAAGAAAAAGCAGTTTATACCCCATCCAACAAGCACTCCATAACCTTTTATAGGGTTTATAGTTTATAGGAGTGTTGATCAGTTTAACGTCCAAATCACTTATTGCCGTGGGTGGAAGAGTTCTGGTAACTCTGTACCCCCTGTAACTGTAATGAGTTTAATTATATTCTCTGGTGATAATTAAAAATGCTGAAACCATACGTAATTTAATGTATGTGGTATGAACATTACAATCTCTCCAACTAAACATCACAATCTCTCCAACTAAAACATTAAAATCTATCAAATTAAGTAAAACAAAATTAAGTCACTGAATAGTGTCCAGGGTCACTCCAGAGCCCAGAAATAAATGATTATAAAATTCCATGTCGTAGGATACAAGGATACAAGGATACAAGGATACAAAAGTGATAATTACTTTATTGAGTACACAATAGTTGTAATTCTGAAATAATTTAAGTTACACAATTCTAATTATTTACAAGTGTGTAGGGATAATTTAGAAATGTTATATAATGCTAGTTTTAGAAAAATAGATAAATCGAGTTTGTATGGTTCAATCTTATTTTAAGGTCCTATAGCATTATGCACTTGCCAGTATTTGAGTGGAAATCTGGGCTCTTATAATAGGCTGTATAATTTTCGTTCACAGAGAGAATTGAATGGATTGCTCTTGCTGTGGCAGTGAGTGTGGTAGGATCTAGAGTTTTGTTGGAGAGCAAACCGACTAGGTCAGTAATGTTTAGGGGATGGAAATTGAATTTTTCCCTAACTGAGGAGTAGAGCAAACAATCAATCAATACGTGACTTTCGTCCTCAATAGGCTTGAGCCCTTTGCTGAAAAAGCAGTAGGTGCACCAGCAGCAGGTGTCGTATATATCATATTCAATATTGTGTACAGTTTATGTAATTAGCGTCAAGCATCAAAATGTGTCGCAAAATTTGTTCCTCTCCGATTCTTATAAATTTCAAATTTGCTACCCAAAGTCGCATAGAATATAAATAATTTTTTCCCAAGATTTTTGCACATTAGTGATGCAAATAAAATCTAAAACTGATAAGCTAAATATAAAACCCAAGTAGTCTCTTTTGTGTGATTTTTTGTAATATTTTCCAAAAATTAACTTTTATAATATTGTAATTTGTATAACATATAACAAAAGTTATATTTAATTATTAAACGGCGCTCAGCTTGTAATTTTGCATTTTGATTAATGATAAAATTATCGTCCAAATTTCTTCGAAGTAGCAAGCGCTGCATTTTTATTTGTCCTCGAAATATTAGCAGGAAGCTTTGAATTCGCGCGCACCGGGTCAAGCCATTAACATGTAACAAATTGACAACCTGTCATTCCACCGCGACTTTTTATGTTTAAAACATTATTATGTATTGTATCACGTTGCGACCCCCACGGTCGTTTCACTATGGTGACGATACAGGCAACAGGGGTAACCGCGCACTCGTGCGCGGCGGGTTATACAACGTATGACAAATTATGTATTAGCGATCATGTCAATTTTTCAGCCCGTAACTAATAAGTAGCTTAATAAAGTATATTTACAATTTTGCAAGATCAAGATCAGTTACAAAATTTAGTTACGATAATGTTTACTGGGCGGCGCTCAGCCTGTCACACCCCCGAATCTTTATTTGAGCTAAGTGAATTACGACTTCCATTGCACTAGCAGCTAGAAAAATATGTTCATCTAATCGCTCATGGTGCATGGGAAATTAGTGCGCGTGTGACCACTGACCAGCATTCACGGATGCGATTAAATTTTTACCGTTCTGTTAATACAAAACGTACACAAAAAAGTGGTGCCACGTCAATCCTTGGAGGACTTCGCCGCATCGAATGCGATCGTTGCTCTGCGTTGACATCGTCAATCAACATCGATTCATGGCGCTTATTATTACACTGATTAGTTTGTAGTTGATCACTATCATCCTTTAGCACATAACGAGTCTGATGATGTGCGTGAATGGTATATGGCATTTTCCTTTTACATTCTATAAACACTTTTACAATTTGCACGTTACCCAGTTTTATTTACTGGTCAACGGTCTGCATTTTTATATTTTACGTAAAGATTGTGACATAAAAAGAGTGCCGAGTACAGCGCGCAAAGATTATGAAGTGTTGTTAAATGTAGTTTGTTAAAATCAAGCGCTAATTTGTTTAAAGGATGCTACACATTGTATTGATTAATTGTGCACGCGAAGGCTGCCGCGCGCTTTTCGCGCGAAATGGGTTTGCAAAGTGTGTAAATTTAAATGTGATAAACGATTTATTTCCTTCAAAAGTTAAGTATTTTGATCCCCGTGCATTTTTTCGTCGTCAAATACAATTTCCAACAATTTTTTAAATATTTCGGACAGTCATTATTCTTTATATTGCAAGGATCGAAAGAAGATTCGTCAATTACGGCGTTTTCTATGGACATATATTTTTAGTAATTACTATTGATTAACGTAAATTGATCTATCCTGTATCCCATTTAACATTTTTACATAAATTTATTGTTTTGTGATACGTGCATGTCAAAATCTTAGCTCAATAAGGAATACAAATTTTTAAGGGAAGTGGTGCATTTAAAAAATCTTGTGTGAGACTACTAGTGCATCATTAGTTTAAAAAACAGTCGAAAGGTAGCGTGTTTTTTGTTCTGTTTTGCACATTTTTGTTTTGTTGTATTAAGATTTGTTTTAAAGATGCTGCACCTACATTCAATGAAGTTAATTCTCGCATGGACGCGTGATGGCCCCCTGTTAACGTCAAAGGTGTAGATTACCATCTACCATACTGTAAGTTGGTTAATTTGGTCTTTAACAAAGGATACGAACCAATTACCGGATATACAGAGAACATCCTGTATATATTATGTTACAATGTACAGGGTGGGCCAAAAGTCAGTGCCCATAAGTTGGGTCTTATACCAACGCCGTGTTTTATATTTGAGAGTTGTTGCTTTGCAGATAGTATACTGTACCTACTTGTTCGAGGATTCCGTCACTAAAAATTCTAAAATTCCATTTTTGGGGGCCACACCCAATCAACATTGAATTGCTTATACTGGTGTTTTTGAACATATTACAATAGGTCATTTAATTTTTTTTTTTTTTTTAGAAAAGAATATTCAAACAATATACACATAATATAGCAATGGCCAATTGGCTGACTATAAGGTCATGGCCTGAACAAACAATTTTTTTAAATAGTCAAGTGATGCTAAAGCAGAGCACAAATGTGTAATAAGTTAATAAATAAAAATACTGATTCAATGATTAAAATTATAGCTGTGAGTGTCAATAAATTACTGTGTCATAACAAAAAGGAACGGTGTACACGTGATCTGAGATACCAATATCTCAATATCAAAAGGATCATTTAAATCAAAAGGTCATTTAATTCGGAATATAATATGAAAAAATGGTTCGAAACGGATCTAAAATGACGAAGTTATCATGCAATTTGTTTATCTCGTTAGCAAAATTGATTGAGTACTCAATGATTACCCAATTACGACACCGTAATTGGGCTCTCTGCACGACTCCCATTATGCAGATCTAGCCTCGACCCAATCACCTGATCACACGTAATGAACAAACTCGTTATGCGTCATATCTCGGTCATCTGAGAAGCTAGAACTCTCATGTTTTCAGGACAAAGGTAATTTAAATGGCCAAACACCATTCAATAAAATTTGGCTTGATCCGACTGTCCAAACTATCAACTAAATGCGAAAATGAACCTTCATTTGAAAAAAATGAACACGAATATTTTTCGGTTTGACAAATTCCTCGAACCAGTGGTGGTAGTAAGTCATACCAGAAAGAATTATTTCAATTGGGCACTCAGTGACTGAGCTATTAAGGCCAACGTATGGGTACTGACTTTTGGCCCACCCTGAATTATATCATTAAATTACCCAATCACAATATTATGTTCTTGACAATACCATCCGAGATAGTCCAGGACCATGACCAGCACCTACCATATGATAAGGCCTATTGGGCAGTGCCCCTCCGAAAGATACTACCACATACCCAGTCATCGGTCTAGCTCTCTTTGTTGGGGAGCGAAGATCTGAAAATCTCTGCTTAAAATGAGTTCTGAGTGGTGTTTTAGAACTTAAATTTATTGCTATTGATAATATGGGAATCAGGAAGAATGTTTTTAAATGTGGTTATGATGTTTATGTATTATTATTGATTAAATTTGACTTTTTTTACTTAATACATACTGTAGTAGTAGTAGTTGTATTAATCTTGAAGATTTTGTTAAGTAAATCGAATGATAATGGGTATCCCACTTAGGGGTATGGGAAAGAAAAAACGAGCCGCTTATGTTGAATACGCAATACACCATAGAAAAAAGTATGGAGCAAATAATGGGAAAAACTTGAGCATCCCTGAACTTGTCAAGCTCGCCAATCCTGATTGGCTCAATGAGCCTGATGAAATCAAGGAGCACTGGAAGGCTATTGCAAAGGGTCAAACTCCTTCTAGGATCACTCAAAGACATGAGACATCGTGCCAACGTATGGACACTGAGGCAGCGGTTATGACTGATATGTCCTTGTAAGTTTCGTTAATATGAATATGAACCAAAATTTCCATGTAGTCCACCACTTGATTTGTTGACATCAAAGATTATATAAAACTGTTTACGGAAATTTCCCTTCAAATTATTCTGCTTCTGAAATTTTGGCTCTAGTAATTAATAAATGTGCAATTGTAAGATAACAATTGAATAGACCCTGCACGCGGCACTTACAGCCGCACATAAGGATTTCTCAACAATGTGTGGCTGTGCGCGCTGCGGGCAGTATATATATATGGGTGAAATTCAAATTTGAATTTATCTATGATGTATGAATTTATAACATAATATGTATTGTTTGTTTTGTGGTAAATACAAATTTTGTTTTTCTCAAAGAAAACTAACCTCTAGCTCTCGATTCCTAGCCAAAATGATTGTTTCAAATACACAGTATACTCTAGTAGCAGGGTGTAGTTGAGTGTGCACTTCGATGTGTACTATTTCTGACAACACAGGGTTGTTTGTTAGGTCATTCTAAACCAAAATCGTTTAGGTGGACAATTCGTTTCGCTAGAGACAACCCTACAGGGCAAATTTTCTAAATTACCCTCAGTCGCGTATACGGGATTTCCGTATTTCGGCTCCTGAAGGTCGGAGAGACTTAATTTTTAGCTTAAAATCACCGCAATGGCCACATTTATATACAACTTACTAATCAATATATGGTCTAAAATTGTTTGTTTCCGAGATATCTGCAAAAAACTAATTTTAAGTTCAGGCGTAGGCACAAATTTCATCAAATTTGTATCTCCGCTTCTGAAGGTCTTAGAGACTCAAACTTTGGCTTAAAATGACCGCAATGCACATGTTTATATTGACACAATAAAGGTCATAAAGGCCCAAAATGCTTACTTTTGGAAAAAATCCAGAAAAACTGATTTTAACTGGGGAAGTGAAAAAAATCTACTCTAGAAGCTAATTGAAATCGAGTATGCAGTTTGGTGTCTACAACTTTTCTTGAAACCAGGTCCTTTGTAAGGTCATTCTGGATCAGAATTGATAAGGTACGCAATTTCTATCAGTAGTTCCAACCCTAGGGGGGAAATTTCTAAATTACCCTCAGGCACAAATATATGACTTTTGTATCTCGGCATCTGAACGTTGTAGGGGCCTCTCTTTTAGGGGCCTCTCTTTTAGCTCAAACTAACTGCAAAGGCCACATTTACATACAAGCTATAAAGCAACATAGGGTTTATAGTGCTTAGTTTTGGAGATATTCATTAAAAACTGTTATAACTTTCGTGCATCCTAAAATAGTAACATCAAACATGTACTTAATTTTGGTATCCCGGGCTAAAAAAGTCTTACAGGCACTTTACTTGCAGCACAGCAAAAGTTCAGCATGAACACATTCAGATAATATTTATGAAGCAACACAATTCAGTTTCAGAAGCTCCTTCCAGCTATCTTGTGTTATCCCCAAATGTATACGTCTAACCATCTCTCTGGTTACTTCGAACTACTTCAATCCCCAAATTTATACATGAACATCTAACTATCTCGTACTACCACAAGTTGGGCTCTCTCCAGTACTGTTTGACTATTATGGCTAATCAACTTCAGTCTTCAATCCCACCTCATGAAGTAGAATCTACTTTTAGCTACCTTTAATTCTGCTACCACCAACACGTTATAATTGTAGCTCTTTCTAGCTCTTTCTAGCCCGAAGTAGCTAGAAGAAGCTAAAATTTGTGGGTACTGTTTGCTAGTGTTAGCTGGATCATAGAGCAGAAAGTAGTCTGAGGTTGCTGGAATTAGTGCTAGAATTTGAAGGTGCTGGTGATAGCTGAACAGAGTAGGAGTAAGTCTGAGGTTGCTGAATAGGGCTAGAATTTGCAGGTGCTAATGGTAGCATAACAAAAATTATTGGATGTTGGTGGAAGCTAGATAGAGCAGGAAGTAGCATTCAGAGATTGCCAAAAAATCGACTGGGAAAAAGTGCCAGGACCGGGATTAAGACCGGAATTAAGGATCGGGATTAAGCCCAGATCCCGGTCGCGGTCTTAACATAAGTTGGGCTCTCTCCAGTACTTTTTGGCTATTATAGCTAATCAACTCCAATCCAACCTCATGGAGTAGAATCTACTTCTAGTTTCCTTCAATTCAGCTATCTCCACTCTAGCTCTTTGTAGCAATCTCTGAATGCTACTTCCTGCTCTATCTAGCTTCCACCAACATCCAATAATTTTTGTTATGCTACCATTAGCACCTGCAAATTCTAGCCCTATTCAGCAACCTCAGACTTACTCCTACTCTGTTCAGCTATCACCAGCACCTTCAAATTCTAGCACTAATTCCAGCAACCTCAGACTACTTTCTGCTCTATGATCCAGCTAACACTAGCAAACAGTACCCACAAATTTTAGCTTCTTCTAGCTACTTCGGGCTAGAAAGAGCTAGAAAGAGCTACAATTATAACGTGTTGGTGGTAGCAGAATTAAAGGTAGCTAAAAGTAGATTCTACTTCATGAGGTGGGATTGAAGTTGATTAGCCATAATAGTCAAACAGTACTGGAGAGAGCCCAACTTGTGGTAGTACGAGATAGTTAGATGTTCATGTATAAATTTGGGGATTGAAGTAGTTCGAAGTAACCAGAGAGATGGTTAGACGTATACATTTGGGGATAACACAAGATAGCTGGAAGGAGCTTCTGAAACTGAATTGTGTTGCTTCATAAATATTATCTGAATGTGTTCATGCTGAACTTTTGCTGTGCTGCAAGTAAAGTGCCTGTAAGACTTTTTTAGCCCGGGATACCAAAATTAAGTACATGTTTGATGTTACTATTTTAGGATGTACGAAAGTTAAAACAGTTTTTAATGAATATCTCCAAAACTAAGCACTATAAACCCTATGTTGCTTTATAGCTTGTATGTAAATGTGGCCTTTGCAGTTAGTTTGAGCTAAAAGAGAGGCCCCTAAAAGAGAGGCCCCTACAACGTTCAGAAGCCGAGATACAAAAGTCATATATTTGTGCCTGAGGGTAATTCAGAAATTTCCCCCCTAGGGTTGGAACTACTGATAGAAATTGCGTACCTTATCAATTCTGATCCAGAATGACCTTACAAAGGACCTGGTTTCTAGAAAAGTTGTAGACACCAAACTGCATACTCGATTTCAATTAGCTTCTAGAGTAGATTTTTTTCACTTCCCCAGTGAAAATCAGTTTTTCTGGATTTTTTCCAAAAGTAAGCATTTTGGGCCTTTATGACCTTTATTGTGTCAATATAAACATGTGCATTGCGGTCATTTTAAGCTAAAGTTTGAGTCTCTAAGACCTTCAGAAGCGGAGATACAAATTTGATGAAATTTGTGCCTACGCCTGAACTTAAAATTAGTTTTTTGCAGATTTCTCGGAAACAAACAATTTTAGACCATATATTGATTAGTAAGTTGTATATAAATGTGGCCATTGCGGTGATTTTAAGCTAAAAATTAAGTCTCTATGACCTTCAGGAGCCGAAATACGGAAATCCCGTATACGCGACTGAGGGTCATTTAGAAAATTTGCCCTGTAGGGTTGTCTCTAGCGAAACAAATTGTCCACCTAAGCGATTTTGGTTTAGAATGACCTAACAAACAACCCTGTGTTGTCAGAAATAGTACACATCGAAGTGCACACTCAACTATTCCCTGCTACTAGAGTAGTAAGTAATTTGTATTCTTAAAATATTCTTAGTATAGTGCACTGTGATAATATTCACCTAGGCCAGGAGTACCCCATTGTGTTACTAAGTATTGATCTGAACTCTGAATAATTATTTATAGTGATATGTGACTTTTTCAGGGGTAACAAATGGAATGATAAAAAGTGGGCTAAGATAAGTAAAGGCTCTCAGTCATTTAAAGAATCAATCTTGTCAGTTGATTCTATCATCGATAGACCATTGGGTATAATCGACTTCAGTGCCCATGTAGAATATATGGATGGCTTCACTGTTCCAGCCGAGTTTTCACTAGTCCAGGGGACCATAAGAAATGGACTTGATCATACATCAATTTACAATGAACTTCTACGCATTGATCCTCTAAACAAAAAGTATGACTAATTTAAATGCAATTGGTGAACAAATTTTTCCTGAATTGTAATTTTTAGTAACAACACCTTAACTATTCATTTCACTGGAAATTTGATAATGTATCACATTTTTTCATAATTTTGATAGTTATAAATTAACACACTTTCTTTCCAGCCACTTACGAGATGGTTATAGAAATGATTTGAAAGTAAACTGTGAAAGAGAACACGGAATTGACATTGACACGACACAGAACCTCGCAATTGATCTGGAAGAGTTTTGTTCAGAGGTAATGTGAAATGTCCTGTTTAATTGATACACTTTCTGATTGAGATTAGAATCAAATACGAATTTAATGTTTATGGATGAAGTTTAGGATTTCAGGAATCTTAATGGCAGAGTACCACAATGAAAATACTCTTAATATATTTCTATAATTAGATAACAGAGTTGATAACAAAGCCGAAAGACATGTTGTTATTGTGCAGAAAGGAGGACGTTTCTAGGGTACTAGGGTCCTGGTATTGGTTGAAAAGAAGATATAACCTTCCTAAAATACAGGTACGGTCAATCAAGGCCTTTCAACCACTAGATTTTACTGGAGTAAATATGAGTCTTACTGAGATTTAAGTTATGCAGTGGATCTAAATCCCAAACTAAAGAATAATTTTGAAACAATGTTAATTGTGATGTGAAAAAGTATAACATTTTTAATGCTCTCAAGTTGCATCTTTTTATTTTGGATTTCTGATGAAATATAGTAAAACAAAATGTTTAAGGTGATAACTTTGGAGCAGTTTGTGATTATCATAATCAATTACCTGATTGACGAACTTGGTCGAGTAAGTAATAATATTAAATGCAAGTGATTGATAAGACATTCATAGCACGTAGATTGATTATATTCATCAGCTGATTGATGGAATCAGCTGCGAAAATCTGTGCAGCAATCTCAATTGTTTTTATCTTTTATCGATGATAGTTATTGGCCAACCGCTTTTTGTTTCTTGTCTAGCTTCATTGCAAATTGAAAATGCATTTGTGATCTTTCTTAAACGCTATGATATTGTATAAGAAAATTTCACACAGTTAATTGCAGGGTCAATGTGGGAACAAGTTTAGTGAAGCATCTCTTACTGATAAATTTAGTACGACATTTCGCGACACTGATCCTGAATTCCGCTGTAAATACCACAACACTGATGAAGCGTGTGAAAAACGCAGCTGTACCAAGAAGAATGCCAAGAAATATTTTTACCTCCTGATGCCTTTGCTGAATGATTTTTTACCGGAAGTGATACTTGAAGAGGGAAAACACTACTATGATCCCGCACCTGTTGGCTCAAAGAAACGAGCAGGACGACCTCTAGCACCAGCGAATACACCAGCACCAAGTAGCAGATCACCTGAACCTGAGCCCAGATATCAAGACTTCCGAGAGGAGCCTGAAGTGAACAAGCCAAGACGACCACAGGAAACCTATTCTTCATCTCAGAACAAATGCTCCAACAACAATGAACGATCATCACCGACCTGTGACAGTGGAAATTCCTCCGCTAGTAGTAACACAGATGGCCTTGTAAATGATGGCATCCCACCAGAACGACCAAGACGTCCCAAAACAAGTCTGAAGAAAGTAGACGATAAAACCCTGACGAAGAGTTCGCTGAGTTATGATCCTGTGTACCAGCAGAACGGGGCAAGCGCTGTGGAGGTTTCGCTTGGTAAGTGTAGAAATATTAGCATTATTATATCTACTAGAAACCCGCTAGTCGAAAGCTTTGTTCGAGGAAATTTAAAATTAATGACTATGTTTAAATCTATCTAATCTCTAATCATCTAGCTCTAAGCTCTGTAATATAGAAAGTATGGATTTTATTTGACAATGACGACAAAGTTGTAAGTATCCAGATTCCCTAAACAATACATTTAATAATAATATAGTTAATATTTAATAGTACTATGTTTACAGTATGCACTGAAGGGGTATCCTAGGAAGTTTCATGAACTTTTAACAGGTACCCCTGGCCCTCCTCATTTAACCCTCAATTAAGTTTCCTATCATTCGGCTGAGTCGACCGAGGAGATCACATAGATCCAATGGATCCTTAGCTACTCCCTAGACTAGGTGACACTGGGATTCGAACCCTGAACCTTCTGCGCAGAAGGCGGATGCTCTAACCACTAGGCCACCTAGCCCTAGTGGTTAGAGCATCCGCATCGCAAAATATCAATCACAACCAAAGTTATAAATAGTGATATCGTGAGCATAAATGTGAGCTAGTTAAGACGTATCACGTATCACGTATAAAGCATGGCAACGCGCGTTGCTAATCTGTTTTTGCTCTCGCATGTGCAATCTCTTGATGTTGCTAAGCAACGATGCAGGTAACCGTCGATGAAATGACGCCATTATTCTAACGTTTATTTTACCTCACGCCGACGTTAATTATAAAAAATCTAAAGCCTTAATCAAAATTCTAAGAATGCTATATATCCTATTCCTATCCTTTTTTTACAACCCTGCTAAAAATGTCGAGGTTTCAACTCCATTTGCGAGCTGAAATTGGCCACGCCATAGGGTCGGTTTTTGGTCGGTTTTCAGTGTTTTTTTGTCTGGTGCCTGGGGGATTTTGTCAAGTTTAAAATATAACATAGATAGTTAAATAAATATTTTACATTGACTAATGACTGATGCAGTTGTGTTAATTTAATCAGTGTTACAAATAAAGTTGTCGATCATGAATCATCTGATCGAATTCTGTCTACTATTATTATCACAAACCTTGGAAATAATAATCAATTACTTAATACCTCAATGTATCAGCACTTACATTGATCGCACTTTCCAGGCAGGCAAGGTTTGAGCGGAAGAGGACGAGCTCGCTACAAATCTTCCTCCCCCTCCCCACCACCAGGACACCCCGCTCATCCTAGTTGTGCTGCTCTAGAACCTGGTGTGAATCCACCAACTCTGTCTGCTAAACAGGGTAGTTACGGTAGAGGGAGGCTGATGTTTGCCGCAGCACAAGTACCAACCATGGTCTCAAGAACTGAAACTTTATCTGTGTCCGACCAAAAAAGATACAGCCATGATTAGACTCTAGATTAGAAATGTAACTGTTTATTTTTTAAGTAATATGTGTTTTGTTATTTTTAAACAATTCATAAAATCCAATTCACCTTTAATGTAGTTTAATGTAGTTAATTGTCTTGTATTTTCAAAATTTATATTCCAAAGCATTTCCTTAAAATTATTGTGTGAAAATTGTTTACTCAATTGAGTGTTCACCTATTATATATGATTGAGGAGTCGTATTTACTTGGGAAGGAGCACAATCCTGCAAAGCAAACGAGCTAAAAGTAAAGCTAAGAGTGGTAACTAGAGTCGACTCTAAGAGGTGCTTCGAATTTCGAATTTATGCCATGTACATTGTACATTATATTTGAGATAACAAAATCGGTTGAATCCCCATAGCTGTTTCAAGATTCTTTACTTTTAGATCAAACTTTTAGCTCTCCTTTTAAACTTTTAATTTTGTTACAAATTTTTAATAATCACGCTTTGTATTTGAATTTTATCATCAATTGTATTTTCGAAATTTTCAAAGAACTGTCCACATGCACAGTATGGAAGGTTTTTAAATTATAATTTATTGAAACATATTGAACAATTAATGTTATAAGTAAATTTACTTGATTAAATCTTTAAATGGATTTCGAAAGTCTTTTACTTTTCACTTTTCTCTCAATAGCCATATAATAGACTGACCTGAATTTTCACTTTTTCGTCCGATCATCTTGGAAAGTTTTTTGTACATCCCCATAGACGTAAATAGTAACCAAAAAAATTATTTTTGAAAAATTCGGAAATTTAGGTGCTCCCCAAGCCGTTTCCATGACAACCGCGCTCGCGAACCTCAGAAATCTGGAAAAATTCGATATCTCAGGACCCATTGCACCTACAGAGCTAAAATTAGGCTTAAAAGATGCGGAATCAGCACATTTATATGAGACTTATTAATAAACATATAGCCTAAAGTGCTCACTTTCGTCAAAAATTGCAAAAAACACATTTTTGTACATTTCCATGGCAACCGCGCCCTAAAATTTGGATGTGCATCTCTATTTTTCAGTCAAACTATGAACAGCTCAGAACTACAGGTAGATAACTACAGGGGGAGAACTAGAGGGGAGAGAACAGCTCAGTACTACACCTGAGGAAGAACTACAGGCGGGAGAACAGCTCAGAACTACAGGGGGGGGGGGGGGGGGGGGGTTTGGGGAGAACTACAGGGGAGAGAACAGCTCAGAAGAACTACAAGGGGAGAACAGCTCAGAACTACAGGAGGGAGAACTACAGGGGGAGAACAGCTCAGAACTACAGGAGGGAGAACTACAGGGGGAGAACGGCTCAGAACTACAGGAGGGAGAACTACAGGGGAGAGAACAGCTCAGAACTACAGGGGGAGAACAGCTCAGAACTACAGGGTGGGAGAATTACAGGGGGAGAACAGCTCAGAACTACACGAGGGAGAACTACAGGGGGAGAACGGCTCAGAACTACAGGAGGGAGAACTACAGGGGAGAGAACAGCTCAGAAGAACTACAAGGGGAGAACAGCTCAGAACTACAGGAGGGAGAACTACAGGGGGAGAACAGCTCAGAACTACAGGAGGGAGAACTACAGGGGGAGAACAGCTCAGAACTACAGGAGGGAGAACTACAGGGGAGAGAACAGCTCAGAACTACAGGGGAGTGAACAGCTCAGAACTACAGGGTGGGAGAATTACAGGGGGAGAACAGCTCAGAACTACAGGGTGGTAGAACTACAGGGGGGAGAACAGCTCAGAACTACAGGAGGAAGCACTACAGGGGCAGAAAAGCTCAGAACTACAGGGTGGGAGAACTACAGGGGGAGAACAGCTCTGAGGAACTACAGGGGAGAGAACAGCTCAGAAGAACTACGGGGGAGAGAACAGCTCAGAAGAACTACAAGGGAGAACAGCTCAGAACTACAGGAGGAAGAACTACAGGGGGAGAACAGCTCAGAACTACAGGGTGGGAGAACTACAGGGGGAGAACAGCTCAGAAGAACTACAGGGGAGAGAACAGCTCAGAACTACAGGGGGAGAACTACAGGGTAGAGAACAGCTCAGAAGAACTACAGGGGAAGAACAGCTCAGAACTACAGGGGAAGAACAGCTCAGAACTACAGGAGGAAGAACTACAGGGGGAGAACAGCTCAGAACTACAGGGGGAGCACTACAGCGGAGAGAACAGCTCAGAAGTACAGGAGGGAGATCTACGGGGGAGGGGGGAACTACAGGGGGAACAGCTCAGAACTACAGGGGGAGAACTACAGGGGGGGGGGGGGGGAGAACAGCTCAGAACTACAGGAGGGAGAACTACAGGGGGAACAGCTCAGAACTACAGGAGGGAGAACTACAGGGGGAACAGCTCAGAACTACAGGGGGAGAACTACAGGGGGGGGGGGGAGAACAGCTCAGAACTACAGGAGGAAGAACTACAGGGGGATAACAGCTCAGAACTACAGGGGGAGAACTACAGGGGGAGAACAGCTCAGAACTACAGGGAGGGAGAACTACAGGGGCCGGAGGGGTAACTACAGGGGGAACAGCTCAGAACTACAGGGGAGGGAGAACTACAGGGGAGGGGTAGCTACAGGGGGAACAGCTCAGAACTTCATGGGGGAACAGCTCAGAAGAAACTACAGGGAGGGGGGAGAATAGCTCAAAAGAACTACAGGGGGAGAACAGCTCAAAAGAACTACATGGAGAGAGAACAGCTCAGAAATACAGGGGGTGAATTACAGGGGGAGCAGCTCAGAAGTACTATAGGGGGAGAATTACAGGGGAGAGAACACCTCAGAACTACAGGGAGAGAACAGCTCAGAACTACAGGAGGGAGAACTACAGAGGAGGGGGAGAACTACATGGGGGAACAGCTCAGAATTATGTAGTTCTAAGCTGTTCTCCCTCCTGTAGTTCTTCCTCAGGTGTAGTACTGAGCTGTTCTCTCCCCTCTAGTTCTCCCCCTGTAGTTATCCCCCTGTAGTTCTGAGCTGTTCATAGTTTGACTGAAAAATAGAGATGCACATCCAAATTTTAGGGCGCGGTTGCCATGGAAATGTACAAAAAATTTGTTTTTTGCAATTTTTGACGAAAGTGAGCACTTTAGGCTATATGTTTATTAATAAGTCTCATATAAATGTGCTGATTCCGCATCTTTTAAGCCTAATTTTAGCTCTGTAGGTGCAATGGGTCCTGAGATATCGAATTTTTCCAGATTTCTGAGGTTCGCGAGCGCGGTTGTCATGGAAACGGCTTGGGGAGCACCTAAATTTCCGAATTTTTCAAAAATAATTTTTTTGGTTACTATTTACGTCTATGGGGATGTACAAAAAACTTTCCAAGATGATCGGACGTAAAAGTGAAAATTCAGGTCAGTCTACCATATAATCGCTATTAATGTCCTAGTTCAACTTCTCAATATAAATGAAAATGAACAAATCATCTCAAATTGGCTTATCTTACAATAAATATTCAACACAATGTAACCTAACCATTTAAACCATTCATTCTTATCAAGGAAGTATATAGTAAGCCCAATGAAAGTTAAGACGACCCCCTTCCTGGAGTATTGCTATTACTACCAGCAAGAGTATGAGCGTGAGGTTGGTCGGCCTCTGGTTCTATTCGAGTTAGCTGCACTGGCCTTCCCAGACTACTGGCACCATGAACCAGCTGCAACTAGAGAGTACTTCAGAGTACTTGCAAAGGGAGGCATCCCGGACCAATGTCTGAGAGATCATCACTCTCAGATTTCCTGTCAGCGTCTTGATAAAAGACAGAGAGGGTTAGTCTTAATTATAATTATAACTTAATAATAATCTTAAATTTGATCCTTCGAACAGCTGTTGAGCAATGAAACGCAAACATATGCATAATCTTAGCAAAAAACTTAATAATAATATTATATTAATAATGATAAGTTAACAATAATAACTTAACTAAGAGAAGCAATCATTTAACTTAGAAAACTTTCTTTTGTAAAACTTTAGATATGGAGTAAATGGGTTTAAATATTATATGTTTCGTTTTCATGATTTCAGTGGTTTTGTCTGCTCTTTTTTACAGATATTACTATTTTCAGGGACTCTCACGCACCAAGCTTCTTCTCTTACGCACCAAGCTTCTACTCGAACGCACCAAGCTTCTACTCGAACGCACCAAGCTTCTACTCAAACGCACCAAGCTTCTACTCTTACGCACCAAGCCTCTACTCGACCACACCAAGCCTCTACTCGAACGCACCAAGCTTCTACTCGAACGCACCAAGCTTCTACTTTTACGCACCAAGCTTCTACTTTTACGCACCAAGCTTCTACTCTTACGCACCAAGCGTCTACTCGAACGCACCAAGCTTCTACTCGAACGCACCAAGCTTCTACTTTTACGCACCAAGCTTCTACTTTTACGCACCAAGCCTCTACTCTTACGCACCAAGCGTCTACTCGAACGCACCAAGCGTCTACTCGAACGCACCAAGCTTCTACTCGAACGCACCAAGCTTCTACTTTTACGCACCAAGCCTCTACTCGAACGCACCAAGCTTCTACTTGAACGCACTAAGCTTCTATTCTTATGCACCAAGCTTCTATTCTTACGCACTAAGCTTCTACTCTTACGCACCAAGCTTCTACAGTATCCAAGATCTTACTGACACAGATGAACCCAAGAAACTAAATTTCTTGTACAGTTCTACATATCCTGCTCCGAACTCTTTCGAATATGTGGACTTTCCTTGGGCTGGACAGAACATCCATACAGGTACAAAAAGCTATTTATATCATCTCTAAAACTGAACTTTCGCACTATTTTTTGTGTTAAATATTCACAAATGCAATTTCTTGTCTCCCAGACCTAAATTTAACAACAGCTAATAATTTGGTGAATTCCTCGAGATTACTCCTTTTTTCCTATAACAGGTGCTGGAACCGGGCACGAACTTGGCGTGAGACCTTCTTTCTGTCAGCAACAGAGCAAACCATCGTAAGTTATTCTTGATAACACAAAACGTAACTTTTGAGGCTAACAACCCATACTGTGTTCTTGTCTGTAAATTTTTGTTTTAACTTATATTCAGCTTGTCGGTCTACACTCTACAAGAATCCATATATTCAAATTTCTTTAATTTTATCGGATCAAGATACATGTCGCACAGTTGGAATGTGGGTTTAACTTTTCCACTGGGTATACATAAACTCTTTTACTCGGGTTTTACTTTGATTCTAACCTCCAAAATTTCAGGTTTCTATCTTGCACTGAAGATAGTGATTACACCAAAGACTCGAATGCACCAAGCTTCTACAGTATCCAAGATCTTACTGACTTTCCTTGGTCTGGACAGGACATCCATACAGGTACAAAAAGTTATTTATATCATCTGTAGGGTAGTTAAAATATGAGCTCATGAAATGTCTTTACCCTCACACCTGCATTTAATGACTCACTGCTCTAATTGTTTTATAAACGCTCTTCGAGATTAAGTGATACTCCCTCTTTTCCTTTAATCTTAGGCGCTGGAAGAGGGATTTTCTGTCAGCGACTTGATCAAATATCGTAAGTCATTCTTCAAAGCATGAAACTTAACTTTTGAGGCTCATAAAAGATTCCATGCTTGTAAATGTAAATGTGGTCGGTTCAGCCTTCTCTCTAGCTTGCCAGAGAAGAAAAAATCTGAATACTGATTTCTATATAATACTATAATGATACAATTCTAAATGTCCATGTTCCGCTGGGTTCACACCGGCTCTTTAGCCTTTAGCCCGAATATCACTTCTTGCTTTTGAGTGGCCATCATTTCAGGTTTTCGTCCGCGTTTAGCTCTGATGATTTGTCTTACACCAAATGTAACTTTCACGGAGGTAAGAATTGTTATTAATATGTGACAGCTCACAGTTTGCTGTAAGATTAATATTATAAGTTATTGTTACGTTTATGAGGCCTGTGTGAGAAAACACATGCAATCAAAACTTAACCGAGTCAGTGGAACAACTTTAATCGTATTCAAGTTATCTGACTCTAAGCAGTGGAATGCTGAGTTAACAACAAAAGAAGGTGAAAATGTTGATGACACTACATTCAAGTTTTAATATCTGGAACAATTCCGTTTCAAATATTTAGGCTACCAATTCTATTAAAGCATTTTCATTCCAATTCTTCATCACACCAGGCAAGGGGCGGGGATCACCATGTGAACCAACTGAGCAGTACGGACCGGATGATGATAACCTTGTGGACCAGCTACTACAGGACATGGAGACTGAACTCACGTAGGTTTTATCTTTGGTCAGATGTCAGAATGATCGGGCTTCATAGAAATTTTATTGATAAACATGCACTATTTTATCTTTGTCGTTAATAACCCTTAATAACCCTCTTTTTCTCTTGTCAGGCCCGATACATCTAGTGGACCAAACAGCTTCCTGGCCCGCCTCATGAGAGGTAATAATACTACTACTACTACTACTACTACTACTCCTCCTACTACTACTCCTACTCCTCCTGCTACTCCTACTACTACTCCTCCTCCTACTACTACTACTCCTCCTCCTACTACTCCTCCTACTACTACTACTACTACTACTACTCCTCCTCCTACTACTACTACTCCTCCTCCTACTACTCCTCCTACTACTACTACTACTACTACTACTACTCCTACTACTACTACCATCAGCCCCTCTGATAAACGTTATAGGGCTGCTCTGGTGGAGCGAAACAAAACAAAAGGTAGATATTATAATATAGTACCACTAGGCCAGTGGCCTGTTGATAACAGGCCAGATTATTGTGGAGTTATAGATGGAATGTAGTGTCAACTTAAGATTCAAGTCGTTCCACTGCCTAAGTTTCGATTGCATGTATTTTCCCACATAACAGGCTTCAGGAAGTTACTATCCTGTCCGTGTAGAAACTGTAGGTATCCGTCTTTCTCGAGAACATTTAAATCAGTAGAACTACTTGAATAACTCTGAGTGTGACGCTCCCTTTGTTAAAAACTAATCAAACAGGGTTCGGCAGAGGACGGGGACGTAGAAATACCACAACACAGCAACGAGAAGTTGCGCCGTTAGGCAGCTGCAGCACTGAGACCACCGGCCTATAGGGATACGCGGGAACTTTTTTAACTGTGGGAGTGGGTTTTAGTTTTTGTATGGTGAAAATTTATTAAATTTGGTAAATGTATTATATTATGTGTTTTTAGATAAAAACTTATTTTAAAATGTAAAATGTTACATCACTTTAGTTATGGCTGCATTGGCCGGTTCCAACCACGCCCATTTAATAAACTCCCACTAATCAATGCCACCAAATACCATATTGAAACATTCCACATTCCAAGAGTTTTTAATAGCTACATCTTTGGATTTTTTAGAACCTAAATACTAGTGCTATGAAGCTCTCCTAAGCATCATCTCTATCAGCTGCACTGTAGAGACTGTAAAGACTGAAAGACACTCAAAGTTTCTCAACTTATGACAGCGATAGTTTAAATGAGCCTGATATGTTTTACTTTGGGACAATATGTTTAAAAAAAATTTTAGAACCTCTTTTATTTTTTTGGAGCTGCAATGACTATTAAAATGACCGGTAAATCAAGAAAAAAAGAGCAAAAGGAAAAAAATGAGTTGTCAATATTTGTTGCAGTCCCCATTTTTGCACTAAATTTATTATGATTTATTTTTGTAAAAGCTTCTTTTCGGGTTATCAGCTCATGTTTCTAGTTTGGGAACAAGCCTCGGTATCAAGTCGCTGACAGGAGGTCTCAGCAGTGTATGGTCGGGATCACATAGTGACCATATAAGGGCATCACGTGATCCCGGTCACACACTGCTTTTGAAGTATTCTCCAACAAATTCTATTTTTAGAAAGTTCCCATAATATCAACCAGTTCACTGAGGCCTTCTGTCAGCGACTTGATATCGAGGCATTATAGTAAATACTAATCATACTAAGTGATTACTGACTAAGTGACAAGTGATTCATGATGCAGGTCCCCAAAACACTTTGATGAAATTCTGATAGACTCGATAGAGGTTTTTCTCTGACCGTTTCAAAACTGAGGCCATTACTTAACGGTCAGTTTATATGATTACTCTTTTTGATGGGATAAATTGTACTGGTATAATATATTCTGGGTTAAAGCGGTTAATTTATTTGGGTTGTGTAATTTATTCGAAATATTACTAAAGTTAGCCCCGGTATCAAGTCGTTGACAGGAAGTCTCAGCAGTGTATGTCCGGGAGCAAGGAATCAGATCTTATTCTGGTATTTTCCTTGTTCCCGGGCACACACTGCCTTAGGTCTTATAAACATGCCCTAAAATATCATCCCAACTCCCGTGCACCTGAGTTTATTGTGCATATTTTATTTAATAACAGAGCATAACTGAGACTTCCTGTCAGCGACTTGATACCGAGGCATTTTAAGGTTCCTTTAATTACAAAGTAGATTAAGATACGGAAATTTCTTTGGTAACGGGGGTCCTCGATATATTACAGCAACCCGTTGAATAAGCTTGATAGAAGTCCCTCTATAATACTATGAACTTTTCTAACCGAAGGTTTTACAACTTTAGGTTTCTTTTTTGAAGTGTGATTTTTAAATTTTTTAATCATGTCTTTGTAGGTTACGTCTTAATTTGTAAAACTGTTGAACAGCTTTGGTATATTTTTAATTTCCCATTAATTTCCAAAATTGTAGCTAAATTATTCGTTGCATTACTAAAGTTAGCCCCGATATCAAGTCGCTGACAGGAAGTCTCAGCAGTGTTTGGCCGGGATCACACAGTGACCATATAAGGGCATCACGTGTATGGCCGGGATCAAGTCTCACTCTGATACTTTACTATTCTGATCTCGGTTAATAAAAATTCCAACAAATCTCTGTCTCTAACTCAACCACTTTCCCGGTCACACACTGCCTTTAGATAAACAGTTGCAGCTAAGACTAAGTCACTTTTTCTCCAAATCCCAATGATGAATGTGGCACTTTGGGTATTGGCTTCAAACAGCTCGCTGTTAATGTTATAGCTATCCCAGTTCTCACAATCTGAGGGTTTTTGATTAACTTCCAAAATGTCACACTCAGCCGATAATTTTCCTAAATAACAGTAGCTAATTGAGACTTCCTGTCAGCGACTTGATACCGAGGCATTTGAAGATTTTATCGATCATACAATATATTCAATATGTCTATTCAATTTCCGATTTTCTCTATTTCCCGAAAATACCGAATCTTTATCTGAGTTACTAAATATTTACATGACCTCATGTCGTCTTTTCAAAATTTCAAAGATCTTCACCTCATTGTTTGAGCTTTTTATCTCAAGAAGATCCTCCAATGATTGATATGACATATATCATTCTCAGTCTAAGTAAATTATATTTATAGTGAGGGCCAGAATATGTTTAAAAACATGGCAGCCGCACTGTTGCCAGAATGGTGCCTACGTGTGACTACGATGATGAAACACTTTAACTGCTTCCAACCGAATCTGTCCAGCAGCTCAGTGTAAGCATAAATAGTATGATTATGTCCTCCATCTCTTGATATTGATATTAATTAGCCAATCAGTTACTTTAGTGAATTTAAAATATTAATAGATACAAGATGGCAATATAAAATTTCATTAAAATTTTGTAAATTTTGCAGACGTAAAGAATATGGTAAATATTATCGTTTAAAAGATCTGTACGCTACATACCTACATATAGATACGGGTGGTAGAAAGTCTATCATACCCAAAGCATTGGACAGTTCATCAATAACCCCTTCTTACTTTTTCTTGATTTTCAGCAGCTCACTCCCGCAAGATCCCGCTACATGTAAGCTGACAGATATTTATAGTTATAATTTGCAGCATTATTATTAAACCCTTACCTTTATATTAACTGATTTCTAAAGGTAAATGTTGTGAATATCGAATAAGGTTTTGAGCGTTTAATAATTATTCTGTCTTCCAGGTAACAACAAACCACCTTACCAATACCTTGGTCCCGGACATACACTGCTGAGACTTCCTGTGAGAGCACCTGGAATAGACCAAACCGGCAGAGCACCTGAAATAGACCAAACCGGCAGAGCACCTGAAATAGACCAAACTGGCAGAGCACCTGAAATAGACCAAACCAGCAGAGCACCTGGAATAGACCAAACCGGCAGAGCACCTGAAATAGACCAAACCGGCAGAGCACCTGAAATAGACCAAACCGGCAGAGCACCTGGAATTGACCAAACCGGCAGAGCACCTGAAATATACCAAACTGGCAGAGCACCTGAAATATACCAATACCTTGGTCCCGGACATACACTGCTGAGACTTCCTGTGAGAGCACCTGAAATAGACCAAACCGGCAGAGCACCTGAAATAGACCAAACCGGCAGAGCACGTGAAATAGACCAAACCGGCAGAGCACCTGGAATTGACCAAACCGGCAGAGCACCTGAAATATACCAAACTGGCAGAGCACCTGAAATATACCAATACCTTGGTCCCGGACATACACTGCTGAGACTTCCTGTGAGAGCACCTGAAATAGACCAAACCGGCAGAGCACCTGAAATAGACCAAACCGGCAGAGCACGTGAAATAGACCAAACCGGCAGAGCACCTGGAATTGACCAAACCGGCAGAGCACCTGAAATATACCAAATTGGCAGAGCACCTGAAATATACCAATACCTTGGTCCCAGACATACACTGCTGAGACTTCCTGTGAGAGCACCTGAAGTGGACCAAACCGGCAGAGCACCTGAAATAGACCAAACCGGCAAAGCTCCTAAAATAGACCAACCCGGCAGAGCAATTGGAATAGACCAAACCGGCAGAGAACCTGAATTAGACCAAACCGGCAGAGCACCTGAAATAGATCAAATTGGCAGAGCACCTGAATTCAGAACGGAGACTGATAGTACGGATGATATCCCATGTTACCGAGTTTTAGGCCAAGAACCGAATGTTAGCAACCGTCGGTTGAACCCTCTGAATTCTTTTATGGACACTACCTCTAGCTCTCAACGTAATAGAGGTAATAATCTAGCTAATTTACCATCTTTAAAGAAAAGTTTAAATCATATATTCTTTTCTATACACGGTACCTTCACTTTGCAAGACACCTTGGCTTTTATTTTTTACCGCACTCCATTTTATGTCTTGATCTCTACCTTTCTAGGATCTGTTTCTTTCTTTATTGATTATGTCACTGTACTGACCTTTATTGTACCTACATGTATTGTATGGTTTCTGCATCTGTTTAGTTTAGTGTCGTTTACAATAAAAGATGTTTTAATTTTGTCTTTGCCTTATACTTTGCTATACTTTTGTTCACTTTTACACATGATTTGATTACCTCATTTCATTTCATTTCATTTCATTTCATTTCATTTCATTTCATTTCATTTCATTTCATTTCATTTCATTTCATTTCATTTCATTTCATGCTAAATATTCATCGTTACAGGATGTTCCGTCAAGTAACGTTATAAAACTAAGCCGCATATTATTTGTGCCATCACGTCTAGTACAGAACCAATCTGCAACACAACGTTTTTTAACTTTGCCTTGTGTCTCAAAACTTCAAAAACAAATAATTTTTGTCTTTGGGCCCGCAGCAAATGTTTATTATTGGAGACTGCTTAGCAGTCACTGTTAAAGAGTCACTCATATCATCATCTCATTTATAAATTCACTAAATAGCATGACTCAGTGACTCACATTGTTTTGATTGCCACCAAGTTAAATACCGTACTGGTTCATGTTGCAAGCGTCTCTGATTTTAAGCTGATTGAATACAATATGATGTATCAGGGGAATGGGTGGGACGAGGGGTTACGAGACGAAGGGTTACCAGACATACAACACGAACAGATGTGGACCAGAACTACAGGAAGAAAACCAGAGGTAAAATTATCTAGTTTAATGTCCCCATTCTCGAATTTCGTGCTATTTAAATGTGTTTGAAAAATTATGAATAAATTTTAATCTTAACATATTGGATTAATTTCTAAATTCCAGTTTAGATTAGGTTTAGTTAATCCTGCTTTGCAGTTTGCCCAACATTCAACAGTGAGCTCCATTTTCAAAATTTTCTAAATAAAACGTTTTTATTTAACAGGTCGACGAGGGGAAAGAGGTGGTTCTCGCACGGTAAATGCACTCAGGTGCATCGAGGCATAGGTCAGGTGGCATAGGTCACGTGGAATTTTTTAAAAGGGAATTGTTTAACTTTATTTTTTTAAAGGAAATTATATATTTTTAAAAACATTTAATGTTAAAAAAAAGTAAAAAACCTAAGTATTTAAAGATATTTTTGTTTTTAATATGCCTCGGTTCCCTTTTTATTAAGTTCCATAATCCATAAATCATATACTTTCTTGTGGTGCTAACTGACTAAACCTGTCATTTAAACAGAGAATAACCGTCCTTCCTTCCTGAAAAACCAGATAGCCACATTAAAATCTTAACAGCAAATAGTAGGCCCTTTCATTTAGTACCTGTGTACTACACAACATACATGCTACATGAAGAGGTCTCCTCCTAGTCGTTGGAATGGCCTGCATCACACACATTTCTTTTACGGTGTAACATGACATGTTCCTCCATTCCACTCGTTTTAGAGCTAACTGTTTTACTGCGTCTCTGCTGATGTTATCGACACCTGTAAAGTCAGCCGTATCCTCGAGTACACAGGCCATCCTTCTTAAACGTCAAAGCCGTAAAGATTTTCAAAGACATAGCATAGAACAAAGTTTGCAACCTTTAACAAACAAACGCAAGTAAGTGTCCTGATATCTAAAACTAACTTTTGACAGTCAAAATTATAAGGTTTTACAAGGTTTTGTATTTATTCAGCGTATTTTCCAACGGATACTAACAATATATAGTGGAAAATCCTTACAATGGCTCAATTACAGTTTTATTTACACCCAATGATATTGAGGATAGGTTTGTCATTTCATATCAATACTTGGCTAAAATACTTGATTAAACCAATTACCAAAGCTTCCAGGGTTCTCAACGTATGACGGCAATACATGATTTATAAGTAATTGAGCCTGATAGGGGTCCCCGGTCCCTCTGTATGCTTTCAAACACTTAGGCTTTCCATCAATAATATGACTGATTTGGTTAGTTCGTTATCTTAAATTATCCTTATTATACTTATATTGTATCTTTTACTTTTTTGTAGTTAATACTGATTTTAAATATATTCATAATTCTTTAAATTATTAATTATTATTGGGCAGTGTAAAGCTATTTATAAATCTGTTATACAGCATTGAAAAAATTATTCGTTTCGAATACGTGTTATGGTGCTGTCGTTTTCTGACAGGGATTCGTTTTCTGCTTCAGGATTTTGGTTTATCCAAATTTCTTTTTTGGGTCAAAAACTGTCTCTGAAAACCATCAGAACAAATCGCCGGCCCTCAAAAACCTCTGATTTTTGAGTTCACCTTTGTCAGAAAACGGCAAAGTGCAAGTGGTTAATTTGTCGACCTTTAAAATATTAATTTTTTCCGTTATTATCAGGGTAGAGAGGGGAGGGTGAAGGGGGTGAAGTGGGGGGGGGGGGGTGGATGGATTTGTACTAGCCAGTGTGTTAGACAGGTTCACGGACTGAAATTATGCGGCTATGCTTTCTTATTTTTTAAGGAACGCTACTTTTTTAAATTAAAAAAGACTTATTCAAAATGTTTATCATATAATCTATAATATGTATTTAGTTGATCAAGATACTCATATTATACAGCATGACATTGTGTTCCGCTTCTATCTCATTGTCTATATTATTTGAAAACCAATTCAAATCTGAAAACTGCGCTTAAGGTGAACCAGAAGTTAAAGTCAGATAATATTTTGAGTTAAAAAAAGAAAAAAGAAGATAATATTTTGAGTTAAAAAAAGAAAAAAGAAGATAATATTTTGAGTTAAAAAAGAAAAAGAAGATATTATGAGAGCTAACAGACAAAAGTTGAGATCTTGTAAGATAACAGCAACTAATATATCGAATAGCTCTACAATGGAGGTCTACCTACCGAGATCTGCTCAGCAACCCTATGTATTCGGGAGACACGAGACTTCCAGTCAGAGGATGGACACTGAGGCTCCTATTACTATGGTCATGGCTATGTGAGTATCCTAACGAGAATATTTTGGCAAAAAATGTATTCTTTTACTCGTTTGAACCCCATATATTTATTTCATACAGGTTAACATTTAATTAAAGTCTCCAAGAAAATAGCATTTGTGTTCTTTTACTTAAAATTGTCCAATTTACCTAAACTACTGTCAAAGCGGTCAATAAATGAATCAAAATTGCCGCTAGAAGATCTATAAATAAAATAGCAGTGATTTTTTGACTAAGAGCAAATGTATGTTATTTCAGCGGTGATCGAACTAACAGTCTGAAGAAACAATGTGCTCGTACGGAGGCAGAACGGTACAGAGAGCGCATCTCCTCCCTGACCCTGGGCCAGCTCCTTCAAACGGAGGTGGCAGTCCTAGACTTCATGTCTTTCGTGGATTACGGGGACGGGTTATCCCTACCTGCAGAGGTGGGGGTTGCTAGGGGGTGTCTTGAGGATCTGGAGCTGGAACGGTGCCAGTTTTATGGTGGAATTCCTAACATTCCTTACGGAGCTCAGAGGTTTGTTACTATAGTTAAATACTGAAGTTACTGTAGTTACTATAGTTAGTTACTATAGTTAGTTACTATAGTTGCTGGTAGTGTAGTATAGAAGTAACTAGTTCAGCTTCTTGTTAGTAAAACAAATTTTAGTAAAACAAATTTTATTTTATACCCACAATCAATTCATATTTAGTTCAAATATTTAAAGTCAAAATAACCATTTCACATAAGTGGTTATATTATAATAAAATAATTTGTGATAAATTAATAAATTAATTTACACTCAAAAATGAACAAAATATACACAATTTTTACCTAGTGCAACACTGGTTCAGCGCGCGGCTGATCGATTTAAATTGTATTTAAAGAGTCAAATTACTAAACAAATAAATCTGACATATGCCACACTTAGGACAACTAAATTCAAGTAGATACGAACAAAAATTAATTAGATATAATTGGAACGATCCATATTCCTCTTTGAAAGAAATAATATCCTTTACAGTAATCATAACCTTTTCAGGAAGGGGTTCGCTGCAGATGCTAAGACAGCATGTGAAAGGGTGCACGGAATTGATCTACATGAAAACAGGACCAGCAAAATACAGCTTGAAGTGCTCTGTCAAGAGGTTATTACAGTTTATGAATTGATAGCTTGCATCTAATATTACAAAGTTTACTCCTCAGCAATAGCAGCAAATCTGGGGAAACTTGGTGGACATTGACTTTTTTCACACAATTTGAGTATGTTGACTTCAACATTATGTTGCAGCTCATTGTGGTTAATCTCAATGTTGGAGTGATGTTTTTCTGGTGCACAAAACACTGCAGTACGGTTATGTTGAATAATTGTGGTTAATGGGTCATATATGTGGCCACTATGGTGGTTAAAATACCAGTTTTAGGTTTAACCACCATTTTGAGATATGATATTATAAACTGAGTAGTCATTATATTGAGATCATATCATGGTGCAACTATCACAAAAGTTTTCAAACCTCATGGGGGGCATTTTGTGGTCCTAATGGTGGTTAAATTGAAGATGAACGGTGAGCTATAAATATTGCTCTGATTATAGATGTATAACTGGTGGTTGTTCATTTGTGCATGGATGATAATTTTTTATCACAAATGTGCAATTTAATAGTATGGTTGATTTGAGGTGGTTAATATTCGTAAAAAGTGCTAAAAAGATGGTTAACATGTCAAAATTTGTTGTTAACCACCAATCAAAACATTATTAATGATTTTAGTCAACATTTTATGGTCAACAAAGGACATTTGAAGGTCTTGATAAAATTTTTCAAGAAATGTTGTCATAAAAGTGGTTAAAAGGGCTATATTACTTGCTAGGCTGTTGAACAAGGCATCTATTAAAGTGAAAATTAACCACAATATGAACTTCAGATAATGGTTTGCTATCCAAATGAGTGTATATTTGTTTGCAAATGCATAATTGACCCCAAGTTCATGCATTCCGATCAATGTGCAGCTAAGGTGGTTAAAATGTCTCGAAAATACCCTATATTTGCACTAATTAACCATTTTTAGAGCACATATTAGCTTTGTAAAGCTATAGCTGGCTATGCTACATTATCTAGATATAACTACCTGCTCATTTATATGACCAGAAACATTGCTGAGTCCTATGTTGCGTCCATCATGGTTAATAAAGGTCTAAAATTGACCAAAATCAGTGTTTTTGGTCGTTTTAACCGCCATACGGCCACACATTTTGTTGCATTATCTTTAAAATCACTTATTATCCTTCAGCTATCTCTCATAATCAAATATCAAAACAAAATAAGGCACCAAAAGGTCAGATTGTGCTGAATAATGGTTAATTTGTGATGGCTTCTGTTGACCGAAGGTCCAAAATCAACATGTTTTAACCACATTATGGCCACATCTAAGGTTTTATGGTATTGGGACCATAGCCAAAAGTTTTGGGCACCTGGATGGTGTACTCTGCTTTTGGAATTATGGTGATATCTCAATGCTGTGCCATTCCAGGTGGTTAAGTACGCGCGCGCGCGCACGCATACACTTTTGGGGTTTTTTGATATACCACAGTTGGTGGTTAACCGTTTTACATTACACCTTCACTAAAAGTATTGGGCACTCTAGTGGTGACATAATATATAAAGAAATTAAGCATAAACTAAATATGCTGGCCTACAGATGGTTAAGTACGCGCGCGCGCGCACGCATACACTGTAACATAAACACATATAAACCACTCCACAGACCACATTTATTAACCTTTTTAATTTCTTTCTTCAACTATGTGTCAAAGAACCGTTTCTGTTCAATAATGACCATCAATTTTAACTGTAACACTCATATCTTCAGTGAAGTAAGGGTTTGAGTGTTAGAAGTACAAAAAAATGTCCACTAACAAATCAGTCATATTTCGACTACTTAACCACCTAACTCAGCACCAAAATGTTCTGGGATTTATTTCGTTGCACTATCATGAAGCTATGACATTTTTGGACCTATGTAAATTTTCAGATTACTAGAATTCATAATTTGTGATTTTTAAGGGGTGGTAAAATGCTTCAAAGTGGTGTATTTCAAAGTTTCCCCAGATTTGCTGCTATTGCTGTCCTACATATAAATTGTTTTATCATTTCTTAAAATCCCAACATTCTTTTTGAATCATCCTGCATAACGTAAGCTGGATTTAAAAAGGATTAACAATGTATGCGTTGTTCGAATTTCTCAAAGAAGTTCATCTTTAACTTTTTCGGTCGGCTCATCAAAAATATGAATTATTGTCCCTTATATATTTTTTGTATAGTCGAGGAGCAACAACTCAACAAAGGGGTATTACAGTTCAACCAATCAAATACAATATCACCACCTCACCAGATAAGAGCATTTTGGTCCATTCTAAATATATCATGATGTAGCGATTCTGGTCTTATTTGTGATATGAAGAAGAGAATTTCAAGAGCTCTTCTTTGAAGTAAATACTTTAGAAATCCCTCCCTTACTTACGCAGTAGTAGTGTTAGGTTCGAACAACCTTGCCGCATAGGTCCGGGACCACTAAAAGTAGATGCCTAGGCCACGTGCTAGTTTTACTAGTAACTAGAATAATAGAATATGGGACATACTTGATACTAAGCAACAAAGGAGAATGATCTTAAAAGTAAATCAGAAGCCACTTGAATCGAGTTAGACAACCAAGAACTTTCTTGGTTTTAAGGAAACTTAGCAGGACACCATTGCCCATTTTTACCTCAGCTTATGTCCAAATGGGCATGGGCATTGTGCGTCGATAGGGTTGCCCTCCCCCAGATTGAGCTATATGACTAAACAAAGGACACGTTATTGGAATATAATATCGAAGGAGAATCAGCACCGCACCGGTGCATCTGCCTCCTAGTGTTCTAGCAAGAAGCTGCAATTTGAATCATAAATTCATTTAATCGATGAGAAACAAAATTTACAATATCTTGAGCATTGGGCGTTGATAGGGTTGCCCTCCCCAGATTGAGCTATATAACTAAACAAAGGACACCTTATTGAAATATAATATCGAAGGAGAATCAGCACCGCGCCGGTGCATCTGCCTGGGGGGGGGGGGGGGGGGGGGGGCCAATGGCATAAATGGAGAAAATGGAGAATTACTCATAGGTTTTTCCATTTTCTCCATAGAACTATAGAAATAGTCTCCATTTTATGCCATTTTATGCCATTTTATGCCATTGAAAACCTGAAAAATTTAGAATTTCGAGAAAAATTATTTAAAAAAAAAGATATTTTCGGCCAATAATGAACAGGGTATCATGAAACATGGAGAAAAGTGGTTTTCAGAAAAACTTTGAAGATGTTGACTTAGAAAATGTTCGGTCCGAGTCATTTTCGATACGTACCTCCCGTATTCAGAGCTCCCGATTCCGAGCTCGTGTTGCAAATGGGAGGCCTGACTTCCGAGATCGAATTACCTCGAGTCCAAAATTGTGTATCGAGGGGAAGGTGTGGACTTCGAAAAACCGAAAAAATATTTTCGGCAAATAATGAACAGGGTAGCATGAAACGTGGAGAAAAGCGGTTTTCAGAAAAAATTTGAAAAATTTTGACTTAGAAAATTACCCCTCGATACACAAATTTGGACTCGAGGCTTCCCCCTGGTAATGCGATCTCGGAAGGCAGGTCTCCCCTTTGCAGTGCGAGCTTGTTTCGACTTTCGAGGATGTAAGTCTCACTTATCAGTGCAGTGCCTATTATTCATGGCATAAAATGGTGAAAATGGAGAATTACTCATGGGTTTTTCCATTTTCTCCATAGAAAAAGTCTCCATTTTATGCCATTTTATGCCATTGGCCCCCCCCCCCCCCCCCATCTGCCTCCTAATGTTTTATCAAGAAGCTGCAATTTGAATTATAAAAGCTTCTTTTAATCGATGAGCAACAAAGAACCAATGGAAATTTGCAATATCGTGAGCGTCGTGAGCGTTTTGGTTCATTTTTAGCGATGCTCATCTTATTTGTGCTATGCTGGTGGGAATATTAACAGCTAAGGTTTTTCTTCTATTTGTCACAGCCAATACTCAGCGAATCAGGATAACTACCCAACTAACACACCTGGGTGATGACGCTGCTGGTCAGCCTCAAATAGAGACGGACCAGGAAGATCTGTACAATACTTGTTTAGAACAAACCTTGCTGTTCTTTAAAAGGGATCGTTTGGGATCTAAATATCTAGAGATTACCGAGGATGGTTCAAAGGATGACGACCAACTTATTTGTGATTTTAATTTTGATTCCTTTCTTTCTAAAACACACGGGAATCTTATCATGGAAGACTTTTCACAACTTCTTGGTTTTGATGTTGACAACGTGACTTGGTCTTGCAAGCTGATGAGCTCGGCACAAATCTGTGATGGTGTTTCGGTATGCCAAACCGATGAATGTAATTGTCATGGTAACGACCATGGTAACAAGACGGAGGTTTTCTACTGTGCAGATGGTTCGGGCTGTATCGCACTGGATAGTCTTTGTAACAGTGTCCAGGAATGTGCTGATGGCTCTGATGAGTGTTTTTGTTCTGAGTTCGTTGTTCTTTCCTCCCTACAGACCACTGATAAGATTTGTTTGGAACCAGAACAGTATTGCGATGCTAAAATTGACGGAAGAATTTCACCTGACTTCTCCTCTGAAACGGGTTATCACAAATGTGAAGATCCCGAAGATTATTGGGACGTGTTGAACCCTATTGATTCCTGTTTGGAAGACGCTTTTTACAATTTGGACACTTCAACTGACATCGCATTAACAGATCTTGCAGAGTATTGTCGAGTCAACTGCAGTCAGGTCAAGAACGGTTGGGAGAGGTTCTGTAGCCACATCGTTATGGGATACCCTCATCCCTATGAATTCATTTGCGACACGGAGGATTGGACAGAAAGCTATTTCCTGCGCAAACTCTGTGACGGAGAGATTAATTGCGGCAACCATGCAGACGAAATTGGATGTCCAGGAAGATTTTATTGCAGTCCTAACCTGACGACTGAGTCGATAGAAGAGGATAAAGTCTGTGATAACGTGAAGGATTGCGCCAATGGAACTGACGAATGTGGAACCTGCCAGACTGGTGGGTTGTCTTCTTCTGAATTCCTTGTAAAATCTAATCTAGTCTTTGCTACTGCAATCATCATAGGAACCGTGACCATCTTCCTAAATATTAGAGAAGGCTACAAATGCTCCACTATGGCATGTAAATCAAAAGTCAAAGAGATCGACAAAGTGTTTTTGATTCATGTTTTCTTTCATGATACCCTTACGGGAGTCTATTCGTGTTGCATAGTGCTTGCCACTTTAGTCCTTAAGTTCGAGGGTGACTACTGCCAAATTGAAAAAATTTGGAGAGCCAGTCCATACTGTTCTTGCCTGGGGGTCCTGTTTTCCTTCTCATCTCATGGCTCACTCATGTTTATAGCTTGTATGAGTATCACAAGGTTCCTGTCCTGCCAGGGCATATTGGTTGATATTAAAAAGAGGACAATCGTCATATTGTCCATATTTATAAATATCTTAAATCTACTACACTCTTTTCTTCCTTTGATGCCGGTCACAGCGATTAAAGACATTTTCAGAACAGAAATCTTCTTCACGCACTTAGGTGAAAATCCTTTCTTCAGTGTAAATCCAATCAACAGGTCCCGCCTTGCTTTGGTCCACAAGGAGATGCTCCACAAAGAAGATGATGATATATACAGAATGATCAGCGACCTGAGCAAGATTACGTCTAAAGGGCATATCTTTGATGTCACGGAGATTAGCTACTACGGGAATACAGGCTTGTGTGTCCACAACATATTCAAATCTCAGGAGAACTACAAGCTCTACAAACTCCTCTACTGCACCATTCTCGTGATCCTACTTGGACTGGTCAGTGTTGCATACATTAAGATTATTCTAAAGCAGAGAGATTATTCTAAAGCTGTAGCTCCACCTGTCGCGGGGGCAGAAGGGCCCAACTCGGTCACATCCCAACTAACACTGAAAGTAGCACTCATAATCGGATCGCAGCTATTCAGCTGGATACCGTTTATTCTCAGTGTTCTGTATTTCGAGTACATCGCCTCGAAACCAGCTTCTGAGCTGGTATTTGAGATCTTTGCACTGGTGGTGATCCCAATGAACAGCTTCCTGAACCCTGTGTTTCACAGCAAGCTTTACAAGAATGTAATGCAAGCAATGTGGGTCAGGTGGAGACAGTTTGTAAACACCCTCACTAGACAGAATACAGAATAGACAGAATAATACTATTGTCAGTAGACAGGATGACAACGAATCTTCGGACATTCAGTGACCTGATTAAAAGCAACATTGCTCGAAGTATGGTTATATGATGCTATCAGGAAGACAAATGAAGTTGAGAGAAAGACCAACTCATTATGTCAATGAAAATTTTAAAAAAAGCTGAGTTAAAATATTGATATAAAACACGTAAAAAAAGGGGAAAAGAAAAAAGAGATCAACATCTTAGAATAAGCGTATCCGAGACACTATGTCAGATATTTGTTTTAAACATGAAGACAGGAATTTGGACACACCCAAGGATGTGATGAACGTTTATTATGCCTTTGTTAATTAGCTCTTTGTCAACTTGCTCTTTGTTAACTAGCTCTTTGTTAACTAGCTCTTTGTTAACTTGCTCTTTGTTAATTAAATCTTTGTTAACTTGATCTTTGTTAACTTGCTCTTTGTGAACAAATTGTTTTCGAGTTTGCACTTTTTAAAGGGAGGAACAATTATATACGCAATTATTATGTTTTGCTGGTTTACTATCGCATTTTCTTGTAAGTTTAAAATTATAGACCGAGCTAGGTGGGTAACAAGATCTGGATCTGGATTCAGATTCAGATTCTGGATCTATTACCTTGGTAACCTTAGTTACCTTGGTTACCTGGTTACCTTGGTAACCTTAGTTACCTTTGTTACCTTGGTAACCTTGGTTACCTTGGTTACCTTGGTTACCTTGGTTACCTGGTTACCTGGTTACCTGGTTACCTGGTTACCACTGTTCACAGGACGTGTTGAGATCTCAATTGAAATGAACATTTTGTTAACTGTAGCTGTTGTTTTCTGTTATTCATGTTACTTGCTGATTCTTTTTCAATAATTATGAGTTTCAATTCTATCATTATTTTATTATAATACATTGTACGGCTACAATTTCAACACTATCAACTATTATCAACACCCACATTCCAGTATAGTACTGTGTGTACACTTTCTCACTAATTATCATCTCAACGTGTTGAGTCAGACACTTTGGTCACATGCTTATCATTCCATAATACATGTATATCGTATTATGTGGAATAAATTTTACTGTTAAAATAAACGTTTACCCCTTATCTTGCCGTACTGCTGAGTAAAGTTATACATATTATACTAATTCCAACCGTAACCATTGAAAGTAAAAAGTGCATCTCAAAACAGCTTTATCACGTACACGATCTATGATAATTACTAACAAGCCTGATACTTATACCTTCTAAAACTGAGCAGTGCCCATAATTACATCTCTAACTAGACAAGTGCAGCTGATACACACAACACGTGATACACACGTGATACACACGTGATACACAGTTACACGTGAACATGTGCTAATAACCGGTTAATGACCAGTTAATGGCTGTCTAATAACCGTTACTGTTCCAGGTGAAGAGTGAGTTAGAAGGGAGTCCCCTGTTGCTGTGTAGGTCGGAGGATCTGAACAGAGTGCTAGGTTCTTGGTACTGGCTTCAAGACAATCCTGCTGGACAAATCCTCGCTAACATTGGGGTTAGTTTCTTCTTTATAGACAGTACTACTATTTTGCATTGTTTCTAGACAGTGATAATATTTTATTGGTTCTCCAGTATATTGCTGTTTAAAGTTACTTATTTTCTGCTGGCACTTAGCTACTTAGCCCGGTGAGGGCTCCCATCTGAATAATAAGGTGATCTTTTATTTGCTACTAAGCTAGTCCAGCATTTATTAAGCTGTAACGTGCGTGATACCCGAGATTATGCAGAAATATTTTAACAAAGCCGTATTCAGTTACTGGGAAATGCTGTATAAAATTCTTGCACCCGCTAGATAATTATGGGTTATCTTACATTTTATATTATAAGCCAAATGGAATACTGGAGCTGAGGGGGAGTGACGTAACTCTTATCTCAGAATGAAAATGAACATTTATTTATATATTCACCTGTAGTCGAGTTCATTAGAACTTTAGAAGCGTAATCTAGATCACGAACCAAACTGTTCTATTTTTAGAAAATAACATACCTAACCAGGTGTTGATGGTGGAAGATTTCCTGGTACACACACTTACCAGACTTCATCAACTCAGCGGGGTGAGATTATTTACATTACTCGTTATATAATAAGTGGGAATAAGTCTTATATCAGTTCTCAGAAACATAACATTAATATAAAATCGTTGAGGATGTTATTCAATTTAAAATTTAATTATAGCCCTGCAAATGGCAGCAGGTAGAGTTATATTACATACACCCGTATGCGATTTGAGAGCCAGTCTGATTTAGAGACAATGGTTATTAGCCCCCTCATAGACATAAGGGTATCACTCTTAACTCAGCTCACAGCAGAACCATAGTTATGTGAAAATGAATTAACATGTATTATATTTAAAATAGGTTACGTCACCGCTCTCTACAATTTAAACCACAAGATTAAATCATCGTAAATGTCACATGCAATGTTACCTTGGTAAGCATCGAGCTTCCAAAAATAGATAAATTTAAATGTTTGTTGAACAGTCGCGATGACCGCTTCTTCCTAAATATACCTGAAAAGATGTCAAAGTATCAAATTTCATCATCATACAGTAAGAATGTATGTAATGATTAGTGAGGCATCATGTAGCCGGTGGGCCCGACATGATACGACATATCTTGACACGTCGGGGTTTGTCGGGATTTGTCAGGGTTTGTCGGGGTTTGTCGGGGTTTGTCAGGGTTTGACGGGGTTTGACGGGGTTTCCGGTTTGTCGAGCCTGGAGGCTTTTTTTTTTTTTTTTTTTTTTGAGTCTCAGAACAAAAAGCCGAGACGGAGTCATCAAGCTTTACGTGGAAAAACACTATACAAGAAGGCCTCATGTAGCCGGCGGGCCCGAGGCAAAACCCCTCGACAAACCCCGACAAACCCCGTTTGTCGGGATATGTCGGGGTTTGTCGGGGTTTGTCGGGGTTTGTCGAGCCTGGAGACTACATGATGCCTTTAGTGTTACATTTCATCAACCACGCTTATAGAATGTATCTTCAACAGTGTTTTTACAGGTTCTACACGGAGGTGTTCCCACATTCTCCCAGTTCACTACACTACTCACGCGCTCCGCTAATGATCTCAACGCACACTTCAGGTATTATGTTGCTAATTATGCTGTTAATTATTATGTTGCTACTTATACTGTTAATTACTATTATGTTTCTTCGCATAAATACATTTATAAAACCCCAGTGGAACACGAGAAGGAGTTTAATTGAGTGTATCTAGCGGTTTATATGTAATATATATTTACATGATTGAACATCCTAATGATATTACAAGCTCACACAACATTTCACTACAGGTGCGAGTATCACAACACTGTAGAGATAGCGTGGGATAAGACAGGGTGTGCCCGGAAGAATGCGATGAAGTACCTGGGTACTGTATCAGACTGTCTGTCTCCAAGCATTGCTGACTGTAGAAGCAAAACCCGCACAGTTCCCTCGATAATCTCGCCTCTAGGCCCAGTTACGAGTGGTCGTTCAGAGGTTCAAGCGCAGAGCATACATTTCTCTAATCATTCCGGTCATCATTCCGGTCACATTTCACGACCAAATTCCAGAGACGGGAGCATTCTATCCAGTAGTTCCGGATCCTCCTCCCACTCTGCTTACATCCAACTCCCCGGAGAATCCTCTCAATCCTCAGCTCGTCCTAAATCCAGAGGGCGGGGCCGGAGCTCCCCTCCTAGCAGTGTTTCTCAGTCCAGTGCTGGGAGCAGTTCAGGAGCTGCTAGAAGCAGTTCAGGAGCAACTAGGAGCAGTTCAGGAGCAACTAGGAGCAGTTCAGGAGCAACTAGGAGCAGTTCAGGAGCAACTAGGAGCAGTTCAGGAGCAACTAGGAGCAGTTCAGGAGCAACTAGGAGCAGTTCAGGAGCAACTAGGAGCAGTTCAGGAGCAACTAGGAGCAGTTCAGGAGCAACTAGGAGCAGTTCAACAAAGAGCAAAGATAACCCTCTTGGGTTACTAACACCTGACTTCTTCAAGGTGTCCAAAAACCACTCCAATACCAGTGAAGACAGTGCATCTAACCGATCTTGGTCCCCTCCCTCTGCGAGACTGAGAGTCAGATCACCACACTCCATCCCTCCTCCTGTAGAGGAGATAACAACACCACCTGGTGTACAACAGGACACTTTCATACCTCCCACTGTTCCAAGACGACCTGGGAGCAGCTTCTCGGCAAGAAAATCCTGTTTCGATTCCAAGAAGACGGAACAACCTTTGCGACCTTCTTCAGGAGTCACCAATTTAGCCTTGGGCTTGCTGCCTGGCCCGGTCACAACCGGGCTTTCTCACCAAATCATTGGTTCGACTCCTGAAGATAGGGAGACTTCCTGTGTCACCACAAGTCGTCCTAGGAAACCAGTTTCCTTCAACAGCAGAGGGAAAGACGCTCATCTCAAACAAAATGGAACTTACAACGGAGTTATCTCTGTTCAACAGACGGAGAGGAAACAGGAAGAGGATACAGAAAGATACAATTCTCAAAGGAATGCCAGACATGGCAGCCGCTCAGGTACCAGTACCGTACCATCAGGTACCAGTACCGTACCAACAGGTACCAGTACCGTACCATCAGGTACCGTCCTAGTTCCAACCTCTGTTACCTCTAGCTCCATTACAACATTACTCTCTAATTATGGGAGTTATGGTAGAGCTCCAACAGTGTCGACTTCAGTTCCAACAGCGCAGACTTCAGTTCCAACAGCGCTGACTTCAGCTCCAACAGCGCCGACTTCAGCTCCAACAGCGCTGACTTCAGCTCCAACAGCGCCGACTTCAGCTCCAACAGCGCCGACTTCAGCTCCAACAGCGCCGACTTCAGCTCCAACAGCGCTGACTTCAGCTCCAACAGCAGCTGTCACTGCTTCAAATCTAGATGCTATAAACGCAGCGTTCTCATTAGCTTCTGCAGCTCAATCTGCTACAAACCGCACTCATAATGTTTCTGCCGCTGCCGTTCTTGCAGCCCAACCTGCACCCCCTCACCCTGCCTTTCTTCAAGCGTTCTCTGCTGCTGAGCCTACATCACAGATAACTCCTCCGCAAGCGTTCTCTGCTGCTGAGCCTACATCCCAGATAAATCCTCCACCTGGATTTGGTCCTGTGCCAATGTACCGTACAATTCCTTCCGGGTTTGAGGTCGCACCCATCCTCAGCCGAAATACTCGACTTCGAGCTAAACTGAACGAGAGTGTTTCGTCAGAGGATGCTGAGAATTGTTGTGATCCTGAAAAGAGGGTTAAGCCTGTCAAGAAACGTGGACGTAATTACCCTAATTACTAATTACTAATTACTAATTAGTAAACTCAGGACATAACAGAGACAAATAGAAACAAGTGTTATCACAACTATACTAGTCACGTTTGGGAGTGAAAAAACCTTCGGGAGTAAAAAGCAATATAGAGAAGATGAGTCTCTGCGTGTGAATCTCCTAAAAATGTACATTAATGTGTCTTGTCAAAGATTTACCGATCAAATAATGACTCTTAAACAATTATTATTATCTGTTTGGTGTGATTAATGTGAACCGTTAAAACTTGCGATGATCTTATTCATGACGTAAAGATACCCTAGTTTATTATTTACAGTGATTAATTATGTTATCTGCAGTACCTCGTGGCTAGATAAAGTGTGTTGTACAGTGATGATTTCATCGCTCTGGATGTAACATATGTATAATTTAAAAACATTTTTCTGAACATTATAAAAACCTTAGCTAGTCGAATATTTGAGAATAGCACAGTACTTCATGACGTGTTATAATGACAGTTTTTACATGCCCACGTGACACGTGTAGGGACTACGGGTGGAAGATGAATAATTGATATTCCAACAGCATCTTGTTCCCTGCATTGTGCTGATTCCGGGAAGCATTTTGTTTACGCTCTCATCATTCTGTAGGATGAGATATCGTTCATTTAAAATTGGGTAATTATAGGCCTGTCAAGGATTTCAGCCTAATTAAGAGCTGATCAATTGCAGCGTCATGTGTGTAATCAGTGTCATGTGTGTAATCAGTGTCATCAATTGCACGTCATGTGTGTAATCAGTGTAGCTTACGTTGCAAATATCGAGCTCTCTTATCTTTTGTAAATTTGCGATAAGTTCAGTTTGCTGCTACAGCGTAGTTTACCTTTGCGTGTGTACTTGTACATTACTATACAAGTACACTATGGCGGATGACCCAAGTTTGACCCGATCCCAGGAGTTAATCAAGGAGTTCAATTATGATGAACAGGAAGATGTGGAAGGCTGTGTTGCAAGGTGGTCCAGTCAGTTAGGAAAAGACCTGCACATGGACTACAGTGACATTGATTACGAAAGTCGTGAAAAGATCAAGACTAAGGATAAACAGACTCTGTCAGGCTGGCTTGTGAATGCAGTAGACCTTGTTCGTCGGCAGAATAGTCAGTTGTATCTCTTGAAGGAGATCATCGAGTGCTTCAAGACGGAAGCACTAGCAGACAAAGAGAAGGTGATCAGACTGCAGGGCCAACTGCTTGTGCAGAAGGATGAACAACTTCAGTTGCTTAAGACGTCTGTTGAGGAGACAGTCCAAACAACGGTGGAGTCAGGGATTCAGAACTATAGTGCAGCTGTTCAACAGAACAGTGCAAGTGGTACGGTCTGCAACAGTAAAATCCTGAAGAAGGTGATGAAGAGTGTGGCTGCAGAGGAGGACAGGAGCAAGAACCTGATCGTGTTTGGGCTGAAAGAAGAGGAGGAAGAACAGCTTCCAGCGCTAGTTACCACAGTTTTGGAGGAGATCGGGGAGAAACCTCACTTCGAAGCGACTAGAGTCGGTTGGAAGAGGCCAGGTAGTACGGCTATCCGACCAGTCAAGATCACCGTCCCAAGCTCAACAGCGGTTCATCAGATTCTGATGAAAACAGGGAGACTGAGGGAGACGCACAAAGATGTATGGATATGTCCAGACAGATCCAGCGAAGAACGAGCAACAAGGAAGCATCTGGTCACTGACCTGAAGAAGAAGAGGGCGGAACAGACTCATCTCGACCACTACATCCGGTACGGGAAGGTATGTAGCCGTGATAAGAAGTCATCATGAGTTACACTCTCGGACAATGATCAGTATATGAAGGAGTGATGATTATTTTAAGAATTTTCAGACGTTATCTGTATTTAAGAGACAACTATATATTTTGAATATTTTATTATTTGATTGTTTCACACTTTTCATATTTCATAATTTTATTACTAGGTGGAGGTGATGTTATTGAGACTTTGGGCGGCCATAAAACTCCTGTTTTGAAAGTTGTCCTCTGTACTTGTTTCACTGACCCACGCTTTATAGCATTTATACATTTCGGCCCATTTTATATGTTTGTTCGACTTGCTGTACATTTGTATATTTGCTATTTTGTAAAAGTTTCAAATAAAATCAGCTAGTTGTGCCATATAAGGGATAACTGAGGTCACGTGACATTCAGTCCTATCACGTGACCGCTAATCCTATCACGTGACCTTGATTCGTAAAGCCTCGGGCACGTGATCACATTCGTAACATGTCGTATGCCGACTAGGAGATTTTGTGACGTCACCAGAGCTGAAGCTACTTGATCAGGCCTTATATGGAATAATATCGTGTATCGGGTGTAATTGGACCCAATTAGAGCAGCTGAGCGCTCAATTATAGCAGCATCTGGTACCACCTTCTGAAACCCAGCAGACAGCTGGCCCAGAGAATCGAAATTAGAAGGATTTTTTATTGATGGAAATCAAAGCGGAAACCTTGTAACCCTATGTTTTCGATGACGCCGAACAAGATTAAACAGGTTATAATTGTCATACTCTCGTGTAAATTGCTCTAAAACGTGATTGAAATTGTAATGATGCTATCAATTGTAGACGGACGTGACACCCCCCCCCCCCCCCCCCCCCCCTTTAATAAATCATTTCATTAGCTTTTTGAACTTCCTCTGTTTTCCTGGATTTTGTTGCCTCTCCTCAGAGACAACAATGTGGTGTCCTGCTTTCATGTCTTTGTTAGCACACTTCAGCTTTGATTCTGTCATCAGTGCCACCGCTCTTTTGACTGCTTGCTGGTGGCAGGGATATTTCGTCACCAAAGGTGATTCTATGAACATGTCGAATTGATCAGGATCAGAGGGATGCACCCTTACTGGTACTGTAATGACTTAATATCAAACTTGAAACCTCGGCCAGCATTAAATCGACATGAGTCGCATGGTTTTCCTTCCTCATATAGCGGTGTTACATTGATTTTAGTTACGTTGCAATTTTACTCGACTCTTATCAGTTCACTTCTTATCAGCGCGATCGCAGTAAGTTTTACTGTGTGCAACAGTTACATAACTGTAACTGTATAATACACATAACATTAACTCTGTAATGCACTTCAAACTGCAGTATAAAGAGTACGCACTTCGCACAAATGACAAGAAGGTAATCTAGTAATACGATTTTTGGTATTAATATCTTTAATATTAATAACACGGCTTGTTCGATTCAAGCCCGTTCAATGTGGTCAATACCTGATGTGCGGATCACAGGCTTCGTTATTTACAATAGCTGAGATTAGGCAGATATAGCGGTTCCAGTCGTTACCTGGGGACCCCAGGCTGTAATATCCAGATAAATTGAAGCTGCGGCGGAATGACAATCTGGGATGAGTGCGGCCCAGGAATGCCAGCCGTTACGCCGCTCAGCTTAATGTAAAAACTGTATTACAATTGATAGCATCATTACAATTTCAATCACGTTTTAGAGCAATTTACACGAGAGTATGACAATTATAACCTGTTTAATCTTGTTCGGCGTCATCGAAAACATAGGGTTACAAGGTTTCCGCTTCGATTTCCATCAATAAAAAATCCTTCTAATTTCGATTCTCTGGGCCAGCTGTCTGCTGGGTTTCAGAAGGTGGTACCAGATGCTGCTATAATTGAGCGCTCAGCTGCTCTAATTGGGTCCAATTACACCCGATACACGATATTATTCCATATAAGGCCTGATCAAGTAGCTTCAGCTCTGGTGACGTCACAAAATCTCCTAGTCGGCATACGACACGTTACGAATGTGATCACGTGCCCGAGGCTTTACGAATCAAGGTCACGTGATAGGATTAGCGGTCACGTGATAGGACTGAATGTCACGTGACCTCAGTTATCCCTTATATGGCACAACTAGCTGCAATTGATCAGCTCTTAATTAGGCTGAAATCCTTGACAGGCCTATAATTACCCAATTTTAAATGAACGATATCTCATCCTACAGAATGATGAGAGCGTAAACAAAATGCTTCCCGGAATCAGCACAATGCAGGGAACAAGATGCTGTTGGAATATCAATTATTCATCTTCCACCCGTAGTCCCTAGACACGTGTAATCACGTGATCCCACACGTGTGTGGTCACGTGTGGCGTGTGCGATCACGTGTGACGTATACAGTAAACCGTAAGACCTGTCTTATGACAAGAAATGTGATTTATTACTTTATTTACAGCTTGTTGAATTTTGATGAGGGATATTAAATAACATGAAAACTTGTGCAAAATTATTGTAATTATACCTATATTATGTAGATAAGATAGATAAAGAGTGGAAGTGTTGTCACACGTTGTAGACCTGCCGCGCACGACGTCTTACAATTCAAGTGTGGATTTAAAACTATTCTTTATTGACTTATATTTTCGGTGTGAGATTATCAACATTGTCACGTGACACGTGTCACGTGACAACTATTAACGAATATGATTGGTCTCTACTAGAAGCTGATTAGTTTTGCTTTTATCAACAACTTACCCATCACCTCCCCACAAATAGTCTGTTAACCACCAGCTCGAATACTTACTTTGAGATGATTCACCTGCAGTGCTGTAACAGGAAGTGTGGCTCAAGTATTACGTAATCACTATCTGGCTAACTCCCTCCCCCTCTGTGTTCAGATTTACACATAGCTACACATAGTTCAAGTATATTACGTAATCACTATCCGGCCAAATCCCTCCCCCTCTGTGTTCAGGTTTACACATAGCTATTGTGTCAAAATAACACAAGATTAATCATTTAGAAACCCCCTCCCTCCCTCCTCCTCAGTGATTACGTACTATGTGAACAACCCCTAAAAATATGGAGAAAATTTACCTGAAATTAACTATTTTTGCTGGATTGGTTTTGGTACCGTAGTATGTAATTAGTGTAAGTATTAAGTATGTTGAGGCAGTAGAGTTTTAGAGTAAATGCCAGTGAAATTGTTGGTGTGTGGTTACTGGTTAGGTTTTATTCTTACTTAGTCTTCCTTTAGATGTGGATTCTGTTAACATTTTGTATCTGCTGCTCTCTTAATCGTAATTTTTCTCAACATTGTGTCATTATTTCTCTACACTAGATACGAAATAATATCGTATTGTTATTTTAATTGTTTGATTGAAGCCAAAAGTTTGATTGTCCTTGATAAAATTACCGAAAAGCAATGAAAAACGCTATCCCAAAGTCAAGAAATATAAAAATCTTCATCTATTGTTAATTGTAATAAATTCAACAATCAACAAATTCATGATAACAAACTATTACAAAAAATAACAAATAAAGATATGAGCGGAAGCTAAATATTCCCATTGTTTGTATTAAATAAACTAAAGAAATGTATCTTTAAATAAACTAAAGAAATGCACTGGCTTTATAGGGAGGGAGATGGAGATATCATTACCAGGGGAACAAGTTATGCCTCTCCCCAAGATGGGCAACAGGAACAAGAAGAACAACCAGAAGAACAAACCTAACGGCTTCATTTGTTTTGCTAATGCTCAGAAACCTAAACTTGCTCCGCAGTATGATATCAGAGGTTTGTTTGTCAGTTTTAGCCACCGTTTTTGTGCCTTCTGAGGCCAAGCCTTATAATATAAGACGAAATCTAACTTTAACCTACACTGGCGGACTATCTAGATGGTGAATGTGAACCTTCCCCTAATTGTCTTGCCACCTACTTATGGAGCCATTCTAGTGTCTACATAATAATATATATATAAGTTTTGTGTAAACAAATTATGTAAACAATGATTCATCCATTGGAGCCGATGCTACTCAACTGATATTTCTTTCTGGTGTATACTGGATATTATATTATTTGGATATTACATGAATCTACTTGGTGTAGTAAATAAAGCCGTGCAGTGTTTATCAAGAATTTCTGGGTCACTTATTATATTACCTCCTTATCACCTCCATGTTAAATAATTCAAGATAAAACAGCTCAAACAATATACGGTTCTTTGATCAGAGGCAGCGTATTCTTAAGAAACTGGTGCACAGTGTATAATGCATATATTGAGGAATTTAAGTAGACTAATACAGAGTACTGGTCCTTATCACCGTATTACACACCCTGCAATACATAATGTATTCACACAGAGGCATAAAACCACATATCATTCATTATCATTGTGTCCTATTCTACCTAAGTGCATTAAACTCACTCCATATAAACGAATGCATGTTTACGATATTACTCATAATTTTGCGAGAACTATTTTCTTAGGACACGTAGGTCAGTGAGATAGCTGCGCTTGTCCGCATTTTCTCACACCAAACATAATATATAATACATTTCCACATTCCACATATTATATAATGACTTTCTAGTCTAATGAAACGGTTTCATAGATAGAAATAATAGTTTTTAGCTTGTGTGTTGTTCCTATGACCAGTCATGCAACTTGTTGTCTGTATTTCACTGTTGTTTTCTGACAGCCTTCCTGCCAGCCAAACTGGTGCTATCGAACTTGTCATAGTTTGATCTGTAACGCGCGAAAGCCATTTTGAAATACTCTATTTAAAACAGTATAATATAGTCGATCGCGCAGCGCGCGAGCGTCTTGTGAGCTGAGACAGTTAACGCGCGATCAGTCGATCTAAACATGCCTGAACAAGCTCAAAAATAATGGATCGGAACTGCTAGGTTCAGGAAAGATGTTACCTTAAGCAGTGAGCTCGAATGAGTGTTTTGCTTATTCTTACTCAAATCTTGATAGATAGCTTATATAAGAGATTTTCATATCGTCGAGTTCCTGTATCCCTTAAAACTTACAACAATCTTCAGAACTTTTAAAATCCTCCTCTCAGGTCCCCAGATGCTTGTGCAGTTGTGTGACCCACTTTGGAGGAAGCTGACCCCGGACGAGAAGAGGATGTGGAACCAGAAAGCTAAAGAAGAACATGCCAGACAGCTGGGAAGGAATGTGAACGGCGGGGACCCGTCTCTCAGGATGGACTGTAACAGGAAGTATATCTCTGAAAGGAATCAAGCTGAGAAAGCGGAGTCATCTCGTCGAGAACGGGAGAGGCAGGTTGGAGTCGCATCAAATTATTTGAATCCAAATTTTAAATCTTTTTATTTAACTCCGACTTTCTCATGAATTTCTGGTACCCACAGCGCATTCACTGTATTTCATCTTTTTTAGTATATTTAATATAAAATATTTAATATAAATTATTAATTGGATATGAATTTTGATTTAGATTATTAATTTGATATAGCCTGTGCTCCCTGCAGTTGGTCCGTGATGAGCTAGAACGTTGTGAGGAAGTAATTGACAAAGAGTTTTATGTGATAGACGCTCTGTCAATAGTGGACTATCTAGATGGTGAATGTGTACCTTGTGAGATAGCAGTCATCAAGTGTTCAATTAGGGGCGGAATTTTGGGATTATATCATTTCTTCCCTGATCCTGGTCCTCTTAGGTTCGTTTGACATTCAATAAAATGTTATACAATTTTCTGTTACAATTATTGGTAACAATTGTTAAAAGTCACGTGGTCTCGTAGCTCAATGTTTGAGTTTTCTTCAATATAACTACTTACTTATGTTTTAAGCGCTTATTTTTATTTCAGACCTGGTCACTTTGCAGAGGCTCTAGAACGATGCGAACTAGAGCACGAAATCAAGCCAAAGGATTTCCCACTGGCTAGCAGTGACTATGAGGGAGATGTCAGCAAGTTGGTAACATTAATGAGAGCTAACAACCCCAAAAGACCGCTGGTATTTGCTCGATCGAGTGAAGCCAAGAAAGTTGAAAGTTGTTTGGCATGGCTGGGGTCCAGGGTAGAGCAAGAATTCAAAGTCAGGGTATTTGAACTCGAGAGTTTCATCGAAGAACTAGTAAAATTTACTAAGAATACTCCACCGACCTTTGCTCAAATCAGACGACTCCTCTTCGAAACGAAGTTCGATTTTGTTCAAGGAAACAGGTGTGACTTTCATTGCCAAACGAACAAGATAGCCTGCGCTATTGGGAACGTCAGAAAATACTTCTACTTTCTCTCAGAAATAATGTACGATTACTACCAGTATGATATCGCAGAGGGTCACCACTACCCCAGAGGATTTGATAATAGCTGTGCAGCCTCCCGCGCTGCTTCTACGTACAGTGTCATGTCTTCAGTTGCAGGAGACAGAGATCAAGACTTTGAGGATACCACCTCAGTAGCTTCAAGCTTCTCAGTGGGATCCTATCAGCATAAGAGAAATGTTGATCCACCCCGGAGACCAACGTACGATACAGGGTATTCTGCCAAGCAAAAAATGGGAGCAGAAACCCCCGAACTTTTGAGTCAAGTTAGCAACTTCAGCATCGGTTCCAACACCAACTCCTTCGGCTCCGCTAACAGTTTCGTTACAGCCAACACTCACTTTTCCTCCAACCACTCTGAGAACTCCTTCTCCTCGGCTAACTCACCCGGCAACTCTGGAGCCTCTGCCAGCCACTCTCACTCAAACCCCAGACGTCCCAATATCCCTTCCAAAGAAGATTTTACTTACGATAAGCCGTATAATGAGCCCATCCCCAAGTACAACAACTATTCCACCCCTGTTAACTCGTTCACCTCTTCTCCCAGTACGGTGAGGTCTATGTCTCCTCAATCAGTTTCTAGCCCTCCCCAATATCAACAACGTTCATCCCCCTACAATCAATCATCTCCCTACAATCCACCATCTCCCTACAATCCACCATCTCCCTACAATCCACCATCTCCCTATAATCCACCATCTTCGTTTAATCAGTCAAATAACCCACCTAGCACCTCGCCCCAGACTTCACCATTCAGGCAACCAGGTGGTATGGCTGGAAGTGCAGCACCCTCTGTGGGAAGGAGCAGGGCCAGGGGCTACAAACCTGAGACTGAGGATAGGCCAGTAGTTAGTATGGGACGGGGTCGGGGTCGGGGGACCGGATCCTTGCCTAGTAGTACTACTGGTATACCTCGTAGACCTAAGACTGCGTATGAGTACGGTGTAAAGAGTAAAAATAGTAAATAATAAACTTTAAATAAATTATGTTTTCGAAAGTTGTGCTGTTTGAACCTTGTAACCGAGCGTAAAAGTAAATGGATTAAATTTAGCAATTGTTTGTTAATAACCTTTAACACTGGATAAATCTGCTGTTTTGCTATTATCTCTTCAGATATATGACTTATATTATGGATTGTTTGAATTGTTTTGTTCTTATAAGTTATGATGTTATCAGAAGATGTGTTTAACTTATTAGTGCGAAAGTTCAGAATGAGACACGTAAACCTAGTTGCGGTAGATGTTTAAATACTAATGCTATTTCATAAAAAGCAAAATATCCTGAACCAGCGTCTAGATTATAAACTCTTTGCCCGTCCCCTCTTTGCCCGTGTTCTTTTGCAGGATGTAAAAGGTGAAGTAAGAACGCTACTTGGCTATGGTCGTTGTTATCCCAGCTGGGGCACAAATTCCCCCTCAAAAACCTCCCAATCCCTCATGTAGGAACTTGGAGAATTCCAGCTATTCCACCGACACTTTGAGGTAACTTGTCAGTTTACAAGGACTGCGATGAAGTAAATTTAGAAGAGTTTTTAACAATTAAGGAATAACGATGGACCGATATCTTACATTTGAAACAAATTTAATTTTCTATACTGCTTTGCGTCCGAGGCTAAGAGATATCTTCAGTTTGACTGTGATCTAAATACAAACTGTCTCCAGAGAGATGGTGGGTAGTTTCGTCAGTACACTAGACGAGGCCAGCGCCTGCAGCACCCTCCTCTATACCCTGAACATAGAGTCAGTCCTGCCTCCCCACCTCAACCAGGAACCAACTCCTCGGGAGATTGGGGTCGTCAAGTTCTCCCTAGATCTGGGAGTCTTGGATCAGAAGTATCATTCCTTTATTGATCCGGGCTCTCTACCTAGAGGTGAGCGGGCAAGTTAAGTTTGGTTTGTTGAACAGTTGAACACAAACTATAATCCAGTTATTTTAAGATTGTAATAAGAATTGCAAGTGCATTTTAACAATCAACATACCAAAGAATCTTCAGCCATTATATCTTTGAGAATGAGCGGGTATTGATTAAATTCTAAATTTTACCCAAAAATATGCGTCAGGTTTTATGCACGAGGCCCAGTTTCACTCAGAAACGCACAAAATTCCAGTTCTGGATTTCCAGGAGAAGACTACAGATTGTAAAAGTGTGTACAATGATATCATCAACTTTATAGATTCTACCAACGTGAGTAAAGCTTAACAACACTCTCCGACTGAAAAACTGATAAGGTAACAAGTAACGAATCTAACCAATGTTAACTGCACTGAGCCTCCTATGGCTGGCAGAGTAGCGCGCTGCTAGCTGCCAGCTGATCTGCCAGCTGATCTGCCAGCCAAACGGATATAAGTACCATGCAAACAGTGTATATCTTATTACCTAAAGCTTTAAATAAAACTGTTTAATAATATTTCCCCTCTTGTGTTACAGGTGGTGTATACCCATTCAAACCTAGTGACTTACACTCAGGAGGGTTTAGACTGGATAGCAGGAAGCGCGGGTAAATATAACATTTTACATTATTATCATTTTACAAGTTTAGTAATGTATCTAGATTACAGCTGTTCACCCCATTGTTATTTTTCCGTTTATTTTCCATTTCCAGAGATTAATGAATCAATCCCCACAGAAACAAAGCCCCGACGTAAGCTGATAGTGTTGCCTCTGGAGAGTCTGTCCAGTGAACTGATACTGCTAGCAACTGGGGAGATAAGTAGTTCTCTCAGATTGAGGGACGAACTGAGACCGCAGATTCTGGAACATGTCACACATATTGGATGTGATTATCACGCAATAAGAGATCTTCCCATGTGAGTGAAGAGCTACTTTATATTTCAAAACTCCGCCTTTTATAGTGTTTTAAACACTATAAAGGCTAATAGCAGTAAAGATTTTCTAGGATGCAGTGTTTGAACTGGTCACACTGACATGTTTAATTAGAATTGGGAGGATTTTTTCCGGAACTAAATTGGATTTCGAGTAAATCGCTGCAATTTCAGTTGTGCGTTGAGTACTAGCCATAGACAAGCTGTAGCAACACATGGACTTCTTCAGAAATACTTCTGGAATCATCTGTAAGTAAATCTTTCCAGTACCATTATTTGCAACCACGTTTTGACTTCACTAATTAATCAAATTATGGATTGTTAGTTACTATTGTGCAGTTCAAAGTAATGTAAGAAAGAAGTTGTATTGAAGAATTTAACCCGGCATGACCTTTCAGAACGAAACTAGCCCTGAGCCCAGATCCTACGCCCAGAATTCTTTTAAAGAAGTCAATGCTACATTCCTTCGAAAAATGCAGCCTCGCTGAGTCAGATTCTTCACATAGTAATCACGGGACTCCTCATAAGAATAGCCAACCAGCGGAGAGAAAACTATCACCTGATAAACAATCCAGTAGAACTTCTGGTGACTCTGACGATGACGACAGCGTGAATTCTGTGTTCACCCTCCCCGAAATCTTCCAGAGCAACGAAACACAGATATCTAGCAGGACTAACTCAGAAAACAAGCACTTCAGTAACTCTCAACCACTACGGAGACCTCAGTGTTCAAGGAGTGACCATACTGAAAGACAAACTAACCCGGATCAGTGCAGTAGGGAGCAAACAGTTCAACAAACACGGACAAACAGCTCGCCTTCGCCTCAAACTCAAACTAATAAGCAGACCCAGGAATCAGACAATATACTGATCAGGAGAGTGGGTCTAGGACGGGGTTTTCTTAAAACAGCATACAGGACACCTCCAAGAAAACCTAATTCATAAACTGTCGCATTTAAATTTGTTGTCTGGTGTAATGAACATAACAAAATAGACTTTCTCGTCAGTGATTTTCAGAATATTCCTAAAGTTATGTGCAGAATGCTGAGAGCATTGTTTATCATATGACCGAACTGAGACAAGTGCAGCGCCTCGCCCCACTAAAGGAGGCTGCTCTCTACCGTCTCTTAATAAGCATCTTGGGTGTGTGCCAGCATTGCCAGCTTCAGTGCATGACTGTTTATGTCATGACTGGAATTCGATGTGAACATTCTATCTTGTTCTATAATAAATGTTGAGTAACATAAGACAGAATCGTGGCATAGTCCCAAGAACGCTGTATTGATTCGTTGACAGCATACGAATTCCTGTATTATTATTAACTGATATCATAACTCAGAACGAGAAAATCACGAACAGCGCTTTGGCCTGGCCACTATTTAAATAAATGTGTTGATTTGTCCCATCTGGCGGTTTCTTCCCTTGTTTTTACCACTCTAAACTTACCACAGATCAATCTTATCTCACTAATTGTGCATGATTTGTATGAACTTGGAACGAAATTTATATTATTAAATAATAGTTCTAAACAAGGGGTAGTTAAAAACAACGCCCTGCAAGTCTGAAAACGCCCTAGTCTGACATTTATTCATTCGTTTAGGGAAAGATTAGACAAATTTATACTGTTAATTAAATTGTTTTAAATCGAGTTATTTTTGATATTTCTGGGTTTAATTTTTAAGGGAAAGTTTTAACATTTATTTTGTCACTATTCAGCTTCAAGTTTAACCCGACCCCCTCCACGGACAAGTTTTGAGACACATATTTGGCCAGTTTCCAGAAGTCTTACTTCAATTTCTACAGACAATAATTACAGTATTCCCTGTTAGAGAGCCAAATTTGTGCATTGCACTGTTGTTTCCGGCACGAGCAGATATTTGACCCCTTTTACCAAACAGTCCAGAATATCCCAGAACCTTTGCAGCAGATTTTATGATCCCATGTTTTAACCACAATTGTGTAAATTGAATTTCCGAATTATCAATGGTGACAGTGAATATTAGTGTGGTGATTTGTATGCGTTAATTCCCGCACATATGACGTTTTCGCTTCAAGCTGTAGTAATTATACCGGATCACATGGGTCGTATCTGTCATCGACTATTATGTAGTCCGGCGAACTCGTGATGCCTCCTCAATATCAGCAATCAGCATCCCAGAGGTCGCGCCTTAAATCCGCTCCTTCTTGTTAGTGTTTGTTAATGAGCTTACTGTTTGGTTGTTGGTCTGTCTTTCTTTTAGGATCAATTAATAATGGGATGAGTACTGTGTTATAGTATAAGGTCCAGTATTTGCAACATTTCCACTGCAATGGTAATCTATTACAGAACTTAGTTAACTGTCAGTAGTGGTTTGACCCGTGCTCTTATTTTCGTCCGCCTTGTGTTTGCCACATTAACAGTTTATCAAAATAAACCATGACATAAACATATCCGCCATGTAGTATCTTGTATTATTAGAGCAGCATAGTTTGGAAGCTTGCCAGGCCTTTTCCTGTCGTACTTGTGTGCAACTTGTTCATCAATATTCATGAATTTTTAAGCAATTTGAAACCATCCATAAATTACGTCGTCAAACAAGGGGTGGGGTTTTCGGTTTTATGACTTTTGGTAACAAAAATAAGCCAAATCCACCGACGTAATTTATCGATGGCCCCTAATAGTAATTAGCCTGAAAGTTAAGCCATACCTCATCTATGTGCAGCGTTCCCAAAAACTGGAATCATATTGATAAAATTTAGATAAAATTGAAGTCTGTTCATCTCTAACACTGTACTTAGTAGAAAAAGAAACAGTTAAAAAAGAGGAGAGCACCCGCCCACCACCACCCCTCTTAACAGCGCGGGTCGCTACTAAACTTACAGTACATGGTTACAATACGGACTCTCTCGGACGAGCTACTTGTTAAAGTATTTGGCTACCTCTCCCCTGTGGTACGTAATGTGGTTTGTGTGTGGTTTGTTATGCATATTACTTGGTGGTTTCGGGTGGTTAATATGGGGTTTGTGGTGTTGTTTGTATTCTACTCACCCTACCTCAACAATTAAGATGAGCACTATAAACGCTAGTGATGTGCTGTTTTTAATTTTTGTGGTGTGTTATCTGATGTTATTAATGTGTGAAGTCTTTTCTACAAAACCGACTAAACATTCCGCCACAAACCCCCTCATTTAAAAACAAGCTCCCAGTTAATCGAATAACAATTGGTTCCAGGAGTTGGTGGGTCAAACCCCTCTAGTCTGCAGGAAATGGAGGAACCTCTCCTACGACTCTAAAGTATGGGACACCTTGGATCTTCACCATCATCACGAGGTAAAAACATAGCTAAATAAAGAACCCTTCTTACTAATACTACACAATGTTTTCAAAAAGCGTATACCATTCGCTGGAATTATGCATTCCATAATAATTTACTTTATACGACCATTATATTATTTTGACTATAACGATTTGACTATAACAATTTGTAATCCTTGAGGTATCTGAGAACCAGCTCAGGAGAATAGTGTGGCTTCACTGCTCCACAAGGAAACTAATTCTCAGATACAGGAGGGACTTGAGTGAGAGAAGCATGATTTGGTGCGTGTTTCATCTCAAGAACCTGAGAGCGCTGGATCTGAGCCATTGTCCACAGGCAAGTTTTAAACTCTTCAGTGGACACTGGACATGTTTTATGCTTTGCTAATATGGGAAAATTATAATTAATAGGAAATATATAATGCTTTATAGTATGCAGTATCCAAGGGAAAAGTTGAATGTTTAGAGTATATAGTGAGAGCATACCGGTTACCGTAACGAGTTTCATTTCCAGGTTAATTCCAGAATTGTTAGTACCATTGTCCAATTCTGTAAGAAACTGAGACATCTCAATGTGAACGGGTGTACTGGATTCGATAACGAGTGTGTTCTCATTCTAACAGGTGTTTAATATGGATTATCCAACTATATATATTACCTTCGGCCTTTGGGCTTTAAGTTTAACAAGTTTATCTTTTGGTTTAAATGACGTTTTTATTTCACAAAATACCTTTGCAAAAGTTAATTCCCTTTCATCATCCAGGATGCAGGAAATTGAGACATCTGAATTTCTCGGAGTGTGAGACTGTTACAGATTTCGGAGTAAACGCTATGACATCCTTTCTACCAAAACTTAATTCAGTTCTATGTGATGGAGTGTTGTCTTTACATGACGAAGTTATTGAGATGTGAGTTATTATTATTGGTTATCATTATTGGTAAGCGTGCATTGGCCAAGTATAATCGGCTGTATGTTTAGGCTATAATTTATAAGCTTTTTAATTGATAATAGGCCATACAGTATCTTAGTAACAAGTCGTCTGATTCTCATAAAAATAGTTTCTGGGCAGGGAATTAGAAATACCTATTTTTTTGTCATGCTTCCAAAACCCAAACTCGAACCAGTCTTAACTCTTACTAAGGTCTAACTGCTAGTAAGACTGTTACTAGCAGTATGGCCTAATCTGGAACTTCTCCAAAATTCAAATAGATATGACTTAACTACATAAACCGCTAAGATTACTGTTTAGAATGAGACGACCACCATCTGGAACTTCTCCAAATAATAAAATAAAGATGACTTAACTAAATCACTCAGTTTTTAATGAAATATCCGTCCTCTAAAATTGGAAAGACAGGTTGCTGAAGGAGGTTATTTAGTAACTTTGAGACACGCGGAAACCTTAACAGTTAATAACTGTCGTGTCTTGTTTCTCTGTAGATAGTATAGTTGGCATATTTGGGATATTTGGGATAATATCGGACTGAAGTTGACATATTTTCAGGATAGTTACTAAAAAGTGCAACACGATTACAGATCTTCAGCTCGATGGGGGCAATTTGACTGACGAGGGTGTCGAGATGTTATCTGAGGTGAATATGTGACGTCATCATTACTTTGTAATGTGACGTCATGATTATTGATTACTTTGTAATGCTCATTGTCATCAATGAGCATTTATTGAAATACTCTCCCATGTGCACATCGATATCCTCCCATTTCCCAATTGAACCCCCCAATTCCAGCTACGGTATCTACGAAGACTGCGTATTCAGTACTGTGACAATCTAACTGACGACGCTATCCTTGACTTCCACAGTCTCCTATACTTAGAAGAGTTGTCTCTGACTCGAGCTCATTCCTTCTCCACTACCGGGTTTGTTGGAGCCTTCTCCAGACCTCATCATTTCATGAGAATAGTGGAAATCACCGAGTGCAGTGAGTATTCTTATCCAAATGATCTGTATGACCTTTATTAAAGCTTCTCAGTAGAGCTCTTCGAGAGCTGATCGTCACTTTTCAGATCATACTTCGGCGAAGTTTTACGGTGATACGGTTTAGAGACTGATAGTAATAGTCGGTTAAACAATATTATATTTTTAAATGCGTAAATAGTTATCTATAGAATAACAGAATATTGATTAAAATACGTTCATTAATTACCAAATATTCATCCTTTGGAGTAAGCCATTAAAATTAAGAAAACTTTAAAGAGTATCTTATCGTCCATCTCAAAACCAGAGGTGCAAAATTGCACGTCCTTCAGTTAAAAGAGCAGTATCTTAAGCGGATTCCTTGCATATCTGCCGAGGGTCGTTACAGGAAGAGTAACGTCTATAATACTTCTGTAACTTCCTCCACGCCCTCCCGCATTTAGATTTCCAGGCTTGCTTCGTTGTCTTTCCTGCCTCACATGGTAGGAAATCTGGGTATTTTCCCTCCTTGAAACATTTGCCAGGATTGAATAAAAGCTTGTGGTACCGCTTACAATTCGGCTCGGGTCCGGGAGCGAGAGGGGGTAGTCCAAGCCAGCACAGCAGGCAGAATCAACAGGAGAACCAAGAAAACTTTCATCTTAGTAGCTACGATAAACGGTTTGGAAATGTAATCGATCATGACCGTAATCGATTCAAATTTGATCGACATATACTTCAGCAAAGCGATTATTAGTGTTTTTTCGAGTAACTATATCTGAGGGGCGTAATGGATCGAAAAATATTAATATATTCAATATTTATCCACAAAACGGAAAAATATCTGTACTTGATCCTAAATGATTATATTTTAACGATGGTTATTTTTAATTACGATTTTTAATATAAACGCGGTAAATCAATATTGAAATATATATCGATTTTTTTCAAACCGTTAATCGTAGTTGCCAAAAGTTGTATTCCTATTATTTCTAATATAACAGAACATCAAACCATATCTGAGCATCATGGTTACCACGCAAAGCTTAAGTAAGTGACCATTAAATGAACTTGGGTAAATAGATTTCGTTGATGAGCACCTTACTCGAGTAGTCGAGTAGTTGATGTATTGAGACACCTTTTCGTGAGGGAGCTTTAGAAGTGCTCTCTGATGGTCACTTTGGTCACGTGAGGTCTAGCAATTATCTGTTCCAGACCTGACCCCGTTGTGTCTGCTAAGTTATATTATATTACTGTTAATTTACATTTATTTAAGTGGAAGCCTCTTGAAAACATGTCAGTCGCCCTTAGTGATACTGATAGTCTCTCAAAATAACTAGTGTGCAGTTAGCAATGGTACTGGTAAGTTAGTTAAAAGTTAGCATTAAAATATAGATAAGTATTAAGTACTTATGACTTGCAGTCTGATTGAATTTTAATACTACTGTGTACTGGAGCTTCGAGGTATTTATAAAGGGGTTATTGATCGTTGAAACCTCAATTAATCGATGTACTAAGTACTTTGAATACGCTAATTCCGAATAACCCCACATGACATGGACAGACATGGGGTTAAAATACTCCCCTGGCGAGTTATCGGCGAAAAACTGTTTCGATCACGTGGTGACGTGGCATGACCATATGAGAACCCTAACCCTTACGAGAAATTGATTAATCTTATATTATAACTTATTTGTCATACGTTGTATGACCCGCCGCGCACGAGTGCGCGGCTCCCCCTGTATCGTAGAAACTCTACAGGGGTGAAGCGACAGTAGGGGTCACCACGTGATACAATAACTTATAAGGTTAATTAATTTCTCGTAAGGGTTAGTGTTTTAGCAAATTATGCTTCATTTAGCGATTGGGTTATACTTATATTAGGGCGGTCGGACAGACAGACAAAGAGAAACTTGCGAACTATAATATAGATTATTCTGATTTTATCATTACTACCCTATCAGGCGGGCTGGACGATGTGAGTCTGACAGCTATTGGTAGGAGTTGTCCCAACCTAACTGATCTGAACATTTCCTGGTGCAGGAATGTTACGGACGATGGTATGATCTGCTTCTTGGAGAGAGTCTCTCAACTTCAGGTTACAATATACAGGGTGGCTCAGAAGTAACTGCCCACACGCAACCCTTTAATAACTCACGTAATTCTTCTTAGAATTGCACAGAAATTTCAGAGATTATAGATATGGGTCAAACTTAAATTTCCTGAATTTCAGTTAAAATCCCTCTCAACTCCAGGTTACTAAATATCCTGTTCATACAATGAACAGCGTTTTTGTGTCATTTCAAGCACGTTTTGAAAGTACCGCACGGATGACTTTTAGCATACTGATGAAATCTTAACAGGTACTAAAACTACAGAGCGTCCCAAAGTTGTGTGACTTGGTGGCCCTAATCCCCCTCTACACCCCCTCCCTAGCCCATCTGAACGTAATATCCTGCTCTCGTATCCGAGAGGAGGACCTGCTCGCTGTGGCTGCTCAACTACCTGACTTACAGATCGCTTATAACAGAGACCTGGGCTGCTCTCCCAAGACCACCAAGATGTTAAAGTACTTTGATCTTATGTCCCCGAGACAGTTTGCTATGACTAACAGATTGCACAGGATGTCAGGGTCAACTTGAACCATCTCCCGCTCTGTAATAATTGTGTGTTCTTCAAAGAACACAGCTTGACTACCTGAAAGACTACCTGGAGCTACAGAGCTACAGTAAATGTGATGCAGCATGGTATTGGACTTAAGATATCGATGTTTTTTAAAATCAGGGAATGACATAAAGATTGCTTTTTTGGACAATTTACTCATTCCTTCAGACTTGTTAATGTTTATACTTCAATTGACGTTAAACTCTTTTAAATACTTTTTATCATATTTTTATTATTTATTTAATTACTTGAACTTATTTCTTAATTTTACTTGATATACAATAACATTGTGTGCGTTACTTAGCAAAACTTACTTGAATGTTAGAATTCCGAACTTAAAGTTAAAAGTGTTGCTTCAAATCTTTTATCAAATCTTTTCTTTAAATTTGATTTAATTCCATAAACATATAAATTGTACCTGTGGTTCAGAAAATTATAGTAGTTATTTAAAAAGTTAATTATGTTGTTTTTTCAAACAAAGAATTTTATTTCGACATAATCGTTACATTTGCAGTAGAGACCCGAAGGCCGAGCCAAAGTTCGACCGGGATCAAACTTCCAGCACCTCGATTGTGTTATGTGCCATCTATAGTTGAGTGACTAATTGGTTTGTGGAGAAAAATTCGGTCAAAACTGTGAAATTTCGGTCGGGGAAATTTCGTCTTCAAAACTGAAAATGGGAGAACATGATTTTTCCATTTTTTCGGCAATTTTGACTTCCAGTACCTCAATTTGGTGTCATACCATCCTCAGTTAACTGACTAATTGGTCACTGGGCAAAAAGTCCATAAAATCTGGCAAATTACTGCTCAGAAATTTTCATATCTGAAAATGGGACAGAATTTGGAAAATATGAATTTTCGTTTTGTTAAACTTTCTGTAGGAAGCTTCCTTTGACGGATGTTACTCGTCTAAATTTCTTCGAAGTAGCGCGCGCGCTGCGTTCTTCTCGAAACGCATGGCAAGTGCTACGAAGTAGCGCGCGCCGGGCCAGACCCTAAGATGAGAAGTATGTATGATACCGGGCGAAAAGTACGTACTTGTACTTTATTTTGAAAAGTACGTATGATACCTCAGTGTACGATTCAAAAAATTTTCAAACTTATTTTCACAGGCGCGATGTAACGTTTTTTAAATCCGACGTTTTATTTATTGGAAACTCCCGACTTCCACGATTGAAATTTAATTGTCATGATGGTTTTGAAAGCCATATTCGTGGAGATAATAGAAACACTCAATCGCAGATAACAAAGAAAGTTTAATAAGCTTCATCATTTCATCAAAACAAAAAACAATGAACTTTCTAGCATCATCATTTCAACAGATCAAATTTACTTTCAGCTTTAACGTTTTAGTTTTGCATTAGAGTAGATGTAGATCAATTTGTTGAATCTCTCAGGCTTAGTGCGTAGTCTTCTACTGCAGTAGATATACTCCATGTCTCTAAAATTTTGTTCACAGACTGAGGAAGAAGTCAGAACACTAAAAACTTTTCTAGCGATCAAATGGAGAACCTCATAACTCTGTGGGCTATAGTATCTCCAATACAACATAGGATTTTGTAGATTCTGCAACGAATCCAAATTTTAAAAACCGTGCGAAAGTTTGACACGTGCCGACACGTGCACTACATTATTGTATCTGCATACTTTTCCGCAGTATTTTAAAAGTACGTACTTGTACGATACTTTGAAAAGTACGTATGATACATACTTCTCATCTTAGGCCAGACCATTAACAATGGTCAAAAGCTTCCTCCGACCGGAATCAAACTTCCAGCACCTCAATTGTGTTATGTGCCATCTATAGTTGAGTGACTAATTGGTTTGTGGAGAAAAATTCGGTAAAAACTGTAAAATTTTGGTCGGGGAAATTTCGTTTAAAAAAACTGAAAATGGGACAAAAAATTAGAAAATATGATTTTTCCATTTTTTCGGCAATTTTGGCTTCCAGTACCTCAATTTGGGGAACCGGTCACTGCGGCGGAAGTCACTGCGGCGGTGGACGGTACAGCGGAGGACGGTAGAGCGGAGGACGGTACGGCGGTAGTTTCCAAAAAGGTTGGACGGTACGACGGGTCACATGACACCCACTTTACTTTGGACAGTACGGCGGTACTACTACTAGAAACTGTACCTAAGACAGAACTTACACATTCAACTTGTTTCTAAGTTTTGTTCTAGATTCGCATTATAAGTTATTTTTTATTTTCTCTTTATCATTTTGTATAATTCTTGTTAGTTTAGTTGTTCATTTTTTTTATTCAGGGCTTTGCAGACAATGTAAATCGAGAATATTGAGTTGTTGAAAATCAAAAAGTTAATATAACTTGACACACTCAATAGCAATATCTAAATCCCACAAATCATTATCAAGAAGTTACAGCAATCAATAATTCACGTAACACTTCTGAGCAGATCCAGGTAAGTCAAGACATCCTCTTCGTAAGAGTGGTAGTTCTGCACGATGCGGTGAATCCTCCTGTCCTTATCGCTGTGAGCTTTCTTCCTCTTCGGTGGGTTCTCTCCGACCAGGTAGACTGCGTGCTTCCCATCTGTTGAACTCTGCTCCATCTGAAGTGCTGTGATGAAATTGTAGATGGTTGGGTCAGCTATGTCGGCACTGTGTTGCAGTACTGGAGAGTGGAGATGGTAGTGCTAATGAGATAATCTCCTCAACTTTGATCCGCTTTATATACTGTTTGCCTCTATCATTATCTACGTTTCACTGAGCAACCTCTCTTCTTGGCTACGGTTGATCAGATTCCTGGATTTGATCCCTCGTGACGTGTTCTCATGCCCTTGTTATTACCCATTGCATCTCGGCGCAGTGATATGAGATCTCACCGTAACAAGCTCATCGTGCACTCGCTTAACCACCGTTGTGCAGACCGGACGCGATCTGATACGAACCAGAAAGTGGAACAAGAACTGCTCTTAGTAATCACAATGTATATATTAAACTTTATCAAATTTAATTTTAATTAAAATTAATTTCGAAGTAACAAAGAGGAAAATAGACCTTTTTAAAGCTAATCGATTTTGTTATATTAGCAGTGCTAGGTCTATCTTATAGGTACAGTTTAGTAATTAGTAGTAGTAGTACCGCCGTACTGTCCAAAGTAAAGTGGGTGTCATGTGATCCGCCGTACCGTCCAACCTTTTTGGAAACTACCGCCGTACCGTCCTCCGCTGTACCGTCCTCCGCCGGACTGTACACCGCCGCAGTGACTTCCGCCGCTGCGTCCTATACCCCTCAATTTGGTGTCATACCATCCTCAGTTAACTGACTAATTGGTCACTGGGCAAAAAGTCCATAAAATCTGGCAAATTACTGCTCAGACATTTTCAATTTCATATCTGAAAATGGGACAGAATTTGGAAAATATGAATTTTCGTTTTGTTAAACTTTCTGTAGGAAGCTTCCTCCGACCGGAATCAAACTTCCAGCACCTCAATTGTGTTATGTGCCATCTATAGGTGAGTGACTAATTGGTTTGTGGAGAAAAATTCGGTAAAAACTGTAAAATTTCGGTCGGGGAAATTTCGTCTTAGAAAACTGAAAATGGGACAAAAAATTAGAAATTATGATTTTTCCATTTTTTCGGCAATTTTGACTTCCAGTACTTCAATTAACCAAACTAAGTGAAACTGCAATATTTTATGTATTTACGAGATTTGCAAATAAATATAAAACCAAACAATGAATATAAATCAGTCCAATTTTCTAGAGATTATTTCTACCAACCGGCTGATTTATTACGATATTGTGATTCTTGTTTCAAAAACAATTTTACAGTTACTCTTCTTCTCCGTCAAATAAAACATGCCCTTTTTTCCTGCCAGGAGCATCTCTCTTCATCACAATATCCGAACCAGCTGTATTTCCTTCTCCCAAACCATCTGAAACAAAAATCGCTGAAGATCTAAATAAATTGATTATTAATATTACTATAAGATCAAAGCTAAAGAGAACCTACAGTGAAGTCTTGATATTTAGTTAATTGTTTTTAAGGACAGATTAGACTTGGGCGTTGTTTTTAAAAGTAAATCTTTTACTAATTTGCAAATTTCTTCAACTAGCCTGCATCACGAGATTTTGTAAAACTATTCAAATAAAACACCCGGACGAATTTATATTTACACTTACCTTCCAATTCTCTGTCGAAGAGAACAAACTTCCTTCCTTTCCCTTTCTTTTTCTCTCCATCTGCATCACAAATAAAAATGACGGCAAACATCAGTACGATCAAAAACAACTTCGTCATTTTGTGATTGCTTAAATGTTAAATGTTAAAGTAGAAAACTGAATTTCTCTGTGAAAAACTTCCTTTTTATAGTCTTTGCTGGGTGAGGCAATGCAGTGCTCCACGGAAAATCTTTTGTTTTAATTTTAAATGTTTTATTTGTTTTAAATGTTTTCTTTGTTCTATTTTTGTTGCGCTCGCTGTGGAAATGCTTTTTTGTTATAATAAACTGTTAGGTCCGAAATGGTGCAATATGTTTTTAGTTTTTCAGCAAATAAAGAAATCAAACCAATATTTTACTTTTAGCTCCCAGAGGAAATATAACGATGGCACTAAAAATGCTAAAAGAAATGGCGGTCAAATGTGAAATGGTCTCATGCCACGTAATATTACTAAATAAACCTTAAATATTTCCATAATTATTGAGCAGGACATACCTAGTTAGCTAGCTCTAAAGCTCTTTGAATAGGAAACTTCACTTTAACTCGTCAGTTCGAAACATGTTGAAGTATGAAATGAAATGAAATGAAATAATGTGCTTATATCCCGCCCATATGGTTAGCTGCCGGCACAAGTGCCAGCTACTAACCATGTCAGAGCGGCTCTAAAGGGTGAGTGAAAAAGACAAGCGTGGAAATGAATATGACAATGTCGTAAATAATTTAAATTAGTCTAGGATCTTGTCCTCACAACAAATAATACCACTTCTGATATAATAGCGTCTATTCAAATCGTCCTTAGCCTTCTGTTTCATTTCCAATACCAGCAGATGGTGTTTGGTTTGCTCCTCAGGTGACCGATCCGGAGAAATGAAAACTGTTTTGTGGTGCTGACTCAGTTTCAGTTTTTTCGATTTCAATAATATCTCGTGGACATTGTTGGTATTTGAGACCGATATTTTGACAGGTCTGGTCTTGTCGGCTAATGTCCTTCCAATCCTGACAGCTTTATAGCGTGGTTTTACTTCGATTTGTTCAAACAGTTCGTCTACTTTATCGGATAGTTTCTCATCATCTGTCTCCATTAAACCAAACACGACCAAATTCCTACTGCGGTCCTCTTTCGATACAGCACTCTGAACTACCTTTTTCAAGCTCTGTTCTGTCATTGCAGTTTCCGGCGGGACCTTCGAAACAGCTTTACTGTATGACCTGATCTCAGCTTGTACACTTTCCTGAACGGCAGATTTAACGGTGGTCTGAACATATTCCAACTGCTTTGATTTGCCCTCAAGAAGTTCACTCTGCAGTTTAATCACCGAATTTTGAGATCGAATAAGAGAGTTCTTCAACTCCTCCACATCTTCTTTCATTTTGACAGCTTCTCCTACAAATTGTTTCATATGCCTGTACACACTGTACAATAAATTTGACATAACTTTCTTAGTCGGTTTCCCTGGTTTTTCAAATTGTTCTGCTGAGAACTCTGATTCATCACAGTTTGAGGCTTCTTCAAGTTCTGTAATCCAAGACTGGAAATCCTGATGCGTTTCAGTCAAATACACAGAGCGAGCTGACACACGCTCTAATAACTCCATATCGTCCATGATGTACGTAACTTGTATTACAAGGCTACACGGTGAGCGCAGTGTAATTAAACGATTTTACTGATAAGAGAGCAACTGTTATCAACACACAAGCTAAAAGATCATACGATTAAATAAGAACGATAAATAAGATTTACCGATTAAATATCAAAGCCATTAATTTCGTGTTCGGCAAAAAAATATTGGGATTTTACAAGTTATACCGAAATGATAGTGTCAAATCACTTTAAGCGTTTAGCTATGTTCCCTAGCAGTCACTCATATAACTAACAAACACCCATATTACTAGCAATCACTCATATTATATAAATATCTCCGGGATTTCGACGCGGGATCATATTATCACTCAGCCCGGCCCGCTGTTAGATAAACATCTCAAGGTGATATCATCCCGCCCCGGAAATTTGTATAAACCCGGCCCGCTTTTTAGTCGTAACTGATGTTTATCATTCAATTCTCCGACTTACAATAATCAATGATACTGCTGATTTGAACTCGATAATAGTAGAACAGTTAGACGCGCGATCACGTGGGCGCGTCACGTGCGTACCACGTGCCACCAATAGCATACGCCGAGTCTATACCACGTGACACGAAAGCGCACCACGTGATATGATTATGAAACATCGTAACCGTCCACTTCTTTTACACGCAAATTCCTGGGAACGTTGCCAAAACAGCTAATTCTTGGAATTTCTCCAACGCGTGGCGTGAGAAGTTGGCGACTAGCCAGCTACCCTTGTCCGTGCCCTAAAAATAGTATTGTTTTGCTTGCTCTCCTTCCAGCTCTTGTTCCTGCTAACGTTCAAGCTATTGCTCCACTATGACAGATCGGTTTGACATTCAGATTGATGAACTGCTTTCCAATCGTGTTCCGGACAATACAGTTAGAGTCAACAACTGGGCTCTAAACAAATTTAATTCTTGGCTTCAGTCATCCAGATTTGCTCGTGACTTCAATGACTTTGACCAAATTCCTGTTCAACGACTCAACTACATTTTAGAGTGCTTTCTTGTTTCTGTTGGATTTGACTTGAAGATGAAGACTATGTATTCTGTCTTTACCGCTTTAAACCGAAAATATTACTAAAATCAGACCCGTATTCCGAAATAAAAACTATTTTATCACTCTCTTCTAAAGTATAAATCCCTTGTCGAAATCGCCGGAGATAATTATAATCCATAAACACTTCACGCTCAGGGCTGAATAAATGTAATCCCTCAGCTGGCGCTTCGGGATTTACTGGGCCGCGCTCAGCCTGTCATTCCGCCAAATCTTTATGTTAATGAACATAATAGCCTGGGGTCCTCAGGTAATTCGGGATTACATATTAACACAAAACTCGTGCGCTGCGCGCACTCGTATGTGTTTATCAGATCATCCCGCTAGCGCGGGATGATCTGTTATATAAACCCTTTGCGTGGCGGGTTTATGTTATTATCAGTAGCAGTCACTCATATCAGTAGCAATCAGTACAATTAATGATTTTCCATCGTACGTACTACTACTGAGTACTAGGGGTTGGGCTGTAGGGGAATTATTATTTTCTCACCCGAGGAACTTCTTTCTGATTTGTATAACTGCAAGGATCAATACAGTCGGGAGTGGAAAAGTCTCCACTTAGTGGAGCCGTACTTTTTAGTTGTGTTCTGTTTGTACATTTGTCCGTTTGTACATTTGTACATTTGTCCCTTTGTCCGCCGGTATGTCGCACAACCAACTTTACCAGCCGTTTTATGTCAAGTTCATGGTATTTTTAGTGATTGTTGGGGGGAGTGTGATTGGAGCAAGTGTGGTCATTTCCTGTTTTCAAAATGAGAAGTGGTAGGTTACTGGTACAGGTAAGATTACACAGAGTTCTACAGTTGTACCTGATTTAGAAGCAAATCATATAGAGCTGATTGGTTAATGTTTAAGGGCTAAGGCTTACAGCTGATTGGTCAATACTGACAGCTGATTGGTAAATACTGACAGCTGATTGGTCAATACTGACAGCTGATCGGTAAATATACAGCTGATTGGTCAATACTGCCAGCTGATTGGTCAAGGCTGACAGCTGATTGGTAAATACTGACAGCTGATTGGTCAATACTGACAGCTGATTGGCAAATACTGACAGCTGATTGGTAAATACTGACAGCTGAATAGTCAATACTGACAGCTGATTTGTCCCCCTATTTCAGGTATGAAGGATTAACCCGCCCCAGCTATGCCCCGGCTGTCTGGGTGATAGCTCCAGTATTTACACTTTCTTTCCTGTTGGAGTCACTGAGTGCCTGGTTTGTGTGGTATTCTAACGGCTTCAAACATAGCTATCAGCATATCCTCATCTACTGTGCTCAGGTGCAAATTTTCAGACTATAAAATAACCCAACGAAACCACTTTAACTAGACAGTAGACAACTAACAGAATTAGTGCTGGGACGATCGCCAGTTAAACTTATTCATATGATTGTACTTCAAGTAGGATTCACTTATTAAGATCGACACTAAAAGTTCGTTGTGCTTTCTCTTAGCTAAACATTTTACAAATTATAAATGTCTGCTGTTCCGTAAAATAAAAACTTAAACATGATACTCTTAAAAAATGAAGCGATGGAAAGTAATTAAATGCGACGGCCAGCAACTACTTTCATCCAGCAATACTTATTAGATATAATTATGAAGGAAGATAGGTCATTGCCCCATAGATTATATCATGCAAGAAAGAAACACGATAAAAACCCTTTTGATCAGGATATTCGCCAAGTCAATAATCAAACAATCCCACCAGAATAAGTTTTGTTCAGTTTGAATTAGCAAATGTATCCAACAGCCACCCATTCAACATTCCAACCCCAGGACTCAGCGTTTCCACTCTGAGGACTGTGCTGTAGTCCCTCTACCCACATAATGAAAGAGGTTGTGGTTGTGGTGTAGACTGCAGCAAGACCGGTAGCTCTCCACTGAGCGCTTTTCCCCTCCACCGAGGTGGTGACAGTTGGTACCTTGACAAACCCACACTTACTGATGTCCACACTCAACTTAACTCCGTGAGAGGAAACATCATTCCAGGTGGTGGTGCCTCGACCAGTCGTTCCAGCACATACTCGAGCACATCTAGCCTCCCCCGGCTGTTCCTCCCCGCTCACTATCATCACCTCCCGAGGGGTAGCTTTTAGGTCCGCCATACCTTCCTCAACTGATGTCTTAAAGTCCGCTATTTCTTCTTCAACTGATGTCTTCAAGTCCGCTATTTCTTCTTCAACTGAGGTCTTCAGGTTTCGCATATCGGCTTTGGTATCGGCAAACGAGATGGTAAGATCAGCGACTTTTTCCGTGAGCTTGGTAACCAAGTCGTCCAGTAAGACTATGCTCTGCATCGATGAGTGGAGCAAATCCTTGAGGTCAGCCACATCGTCTTCGTTCTAAAATTTGACGAGGATAAACAGGGTTATACATGTTGTAGACATGTTATAGGCAATGTTATAGGCACAGTTCATGGTTAGATTTGAAATTTTAAATACTGATATGAATTGAGAAATTGTACTAACAAGAATACGAAATATTAGCTATTTAACGATAAAATAGCTTTTAGCTTCTGCATCTGAAACTACTACTAAAGAAACCATAATAAGTTCAATATTTAACTTACGATGTTGTTATTTCTACTGGGCGGAGTGCAAGTACTCGACACTGAAGCTATTAAGAAGATGAATCCAAGTACCATGTCAAAAAACTCTCTGCCTTCGAAGTTAAGTTTTATAAAAAATTCACAATTGCCGAGTTTTCAATATTAATTATTAATCATCACTCAATATTTTGAACGTGCTGTTCAAAAGGAAAAAAGCTTTCGAATCATATCGGATCTGACTATGATTTAAATATCAGATCATACAAACAAATTTAACGAATAATAGGTTATACAGTTGGCATGTTCAAAATTCTAAGCGCATTAACTGAATTACTGAAACTGCGTTATACTTATATTTTTCGTAAAACTACAAAAATAAACGTTGCAACCCTATGGAGTCTTATTAGCTGAATCAAAGTTTGGTACTGGTAAAAATCACGAATAAAATAATGGATTGTGGATGGATTTACAGTCCCCCAATTCATAATATTAATATAATTATAAATAAATTCTTATCGTGATTATGTGTGAAAATTTGGCGTCTGATTGCATTAAGTTAAACTTGATGCTTGAGTTACTGGCACGCCCGTTTTTATTCGACCGAATTATGATATTAATTTCATTTATTATTTACAACTAATTACCTAATAGGTTGATAAAGTTAACGTGTTCAAAAACTCCAAACTCATACTGAATTTGAAACTACGTTCGCGTTATATTTTCTGTAAAACTACACGGAGAAAGTATTCAACTCTATAATGGAGTCTTATTAGCTGAATCAAGCTTTGGTGCTGGTAGAGATCACGAATAAAACAATCAACAATGGATTGTGGATGGATTTACTGTCCCCCAATTCAATTTTCATAATATCAATAAATTGTTATCGTAATTATGTGTGAACATTTGGCGTCCGATTGTCATTTGTGGGGGAGTTTGAACTTATTCATACTGGCACGTCCGTTTTTATCCGACCGAATTATATTTATGATATTAATTCCATCAATTTGCAATATAATATGAATAATACTAATAGTTTCATTTCCCCTCCCAGTACGCTTGTACTCTAGCTTGGTTTCCGACGTTCTTTGGGTACGAGTTTACAATGGCAGGGATAGTTGTTCTCATTGGCTCCTGGACCCTCACTATGCTCACCTTGGTAATATAGAGCCAAATTGTTGGAACAGTGCCATTTAATGCTAATTCATGGTTAAAATAGGAGTTTGCCATTATCGGACTTTCTGTACTCAATATTTACCTGTAAATTGTAATTATAAATTTACTGATCAGCGACATTCAATTTAATGATCAGTAACACTAACAGTAATTATCATCACTTTCACTTTCACTTTCAGTTAGCATTCTCCCGGTGCACGTGGTTAGCTGCTGTTCTCTTCACTTTCCCACTTACCTGGAAAACCTACTGTTTGATATGGGGAATGGACGTTATGATCAATAATCCCGGAAGATGAAATTTGAAATTGGGAAATGTTTGTCCGAGGAGGGGTGCTGGCGTCGCCCGATTAACTTATTAAAAATCGGATTATTAATCATGATCCAGATAGGTCATGATTTAGATTGAAAAATACTGTGATTTGATCGCGATTACAGCAAATAGCACGCAAGTGAGATTGAGAAAAATGGGATTACATGTCATAAGATTGAGTCACAACCACCGAACTTATTTTAGAGTGAAATCTGATTTATTCTGAATCGATAATTTAATTGTTGTATTTTATTTTATTCTAGTTTTGTGTGAGCACAGAAGTCCAGAATCTGATTATATTTCATGGTTCATCACTACAGATGTTAAAACATCAATAAATGAAACACATAATTCATATTGATTCAAACCAAAACTTCCACATTATATACACAATCACAATCACAAGGTTGAGCTTGCATAAACAGGCTGGTTCAAATGAATAATCCTTTAGTTTTTCTTTCGGTTTCTCTTCCACTTTGTTATCGTTCATCGACAGTTAGTGTCCTTATTGCGGGTTAGCTCCCTGCAAATGTATGACATTTTATAACATTACATAACCTGGGGACCTCCGGCTTCAATCATTATCAAACGAACTAAGATATGGTAGAGCCACTCTATTTATGTAACACTAACAACATAAAACATTATCACTGGATCAGGATGGTTGTTTAATAAGTTTAGTTAAAATAAACTCACCCCGTTTGCACCCCGTCCCCACCAGTTTGGCCATGCCGGCCACTGCTCCTCTTCAGATCCCAGAATGGGTGTATGCAAACTCTCCTCACCGCCGGTTATTACACCACATTCCACTAAAACTAACTCCGCTATCATTGCCAGGAACAGAGAACTGAAATGATGGTAAATTTCAGATCTGTAGAATTGTAAGGTAATGAACTTGCAGTTTGGACTGGTGATCCATTTGCGATGAATTTCAAAACAGCCGGTACATATAAAACCCATAACTGGCGAAGTAAATCAGGCCCAGTAAATCGAGAATATACTGTATCAGTATGATGATAACTTACGCTAGCAGAAAGAATACTGAGGACTTGATCATGATGAGATGGTGATTGAGGAAACTTGAAATTCTGTAGTAAAATCACCGAGTCAAACTTTGAGAGTGAGGCAGTGCTACAGAATCTGCCACATTTATACCTTTTAGCTTGCTTTGTTTCCCTGCACCAAATCAGCTCCGGGCGGCCACTTGACCACGTGGGCGCCCACGTGGGTGTTATGTCACGTGATGAGGCGCTCTTTATAATTATTAGTTGTCTGAAATTACTGTTTGCAATACTTAATTTCATTCTGTGTTTGATTGGCTCCAAAGATTGCTCTAGCTTTATCCCAATTTGCTGAGAGTAACCTCGATTGTCTGTTATAAATCTGTAACTCATTGATTGGGTGCTGATCGAGATCGTTGAAATGTTAGTTCAATACGATCCAAGCAAAGATTTCAGCTCTTGCAGAGTTAACGTGCTAAATTTTCTATTTTGATATATCAATATCTTCCTAAAAGTAAGGGGTCGTTTACATATTACGACCGAACCCCCCCCCCCCCCCCCCCCCCCCCTATATTACGTAATCAAGGTTTGACCCCCGGCCCCCCCTCCTATATTACGTTATTATTTATTAAAAGCTATCACAACGGATTAATGGATGAAATAATCGCAAAGCACTTACTAAACGAAAATTGGTTTAAAAAACGAAAATTATGATTACATAATTAACAAAAATTGTCCAATTGGTATTTCGAAAATCGGTAAAAAATTAAAATTTTGATTACGTAATCAACGACCAAAACCCCCCCCCCCCCCCGTAATCAACCGTAAGCATTTGAAACCCCCCCCCCCCCCTCGGCTGATTACGTAATATGTGAACGACCCCTAAAAGCAAATATTACATATATCGCTATTATCAAAATACTGTGATTGGTATTCCAGGTAGCTCTTGCAAGTGAATGTAGTACTAATATTTGAAAAAGATGCCTGATAGCTTACACTCATTAACACAGTACGTATAGTTCTATAATAATCCGGAATTTGAACATAAATCGTTCACCCGTCAGTAGTGTATGAGGAATTATATGAGGGTACCCGTCATTATTAATAATGTCCGTCATTAGTTTGAATATACAGACCTATTAATATTTCATCAGATATACAATGGTCAATCTGTACGTCACAAAATACCATGAGGGAATCTTACCTGGGTTGTAGAATGATTAATAAGTTTAATTACCTATTGATTAATTAAAGTGTAATTAATAAATATTACAGGTAAATGATTATTGGGCTTTTACCTAAGAATGTATTATTGGTTTTTTCAATTCTGCCTAGATGGATAACCTTTGCAAAGTGTCTGAAGAAGGACTCTATAGCGAAGGTGGGGGTAGTGAAGATCAGGAAAGAGAGGGAGATGGAAGTCAGAGTTGTCAGCGCGGCTTTACTCGGCATCTGTTGGAAACATCACTGATTAAATAGTTTTAATTAACCAATATCAGTGTCCTCTATAATTCTATAATTGACCGATAAAAACCCAGTATCACTGTCACGTGTCTAAGGTTCGACCGGGATCCCGGCTTAATCCCGGCTAAAATGCCGAATTTTGACCGGGACCGAACCGAATTTAGACACGTGTCTAACAAATGGCTCACCAGAATTTATATTTATAATTATATGGGGTATATGTAACTGAGTAACTCAAAATCTATAACAAATAACTGTAACTTAACTAACGGTTTGTTACGGAGAGAATGGGGCTGGGTATGAATTACCAAATATTCCACTGCACAAAGTTAGGAATCTTTGAAAAAACACTTTTGCAGTTTGCACCCAAAAAACCTTTAAAAATTGATTACCCAAAAAAACCTTTAAAAATTGATTACTAAGTCATGTTTTTAGTAATTCATGACAGAAATTTTGAAATTAGGAAAATCTGTTGAATTTAAAATCTGATGAATGTATAATAAATGTTGAATTTATTGAATTCATTGTCATTTTCTTCAATTTATGTTTATACAAGATTATTACGCTTAACTACATAATTACTATCACAGCTACACTCGGTTGCTATGATCCTGTTATAACATCATCATTCATCGTGGTAAGGTAACATGACACAATATGTGTTACCTTGGTAACATGAGCTGCATTATCAGCAATACCTCCATGGTGTCAATGCCTGCAGTTGCTCACTGCTGCTTTGGCCAAACTTGTATCCAATTTGGTAACCTTCTTCGCTTATTTTCTATTTTCTGGGTTACTACTTGTTTCCTCCTATTATGTAACTAAATTAACACTGGAATTTAGTTTTGGAGAGGAGATATCTCGAACTTATATTCATTTTGTTTTCTAGTGACGTTTGTTCAAAGGCACCGTTAGTTAGGTCGTTTTAGTGAATCAGAATGGAGCAGAAAAATGTTCCAGACCTTAAAGATGAGATGAAGATGGAAGAAGAAAGTATTCCACCAGAATTGATCAAGACGGAGATTAAGAAGGAGTCCGAAGATAACTTATCTATTAAATCAGAAGTGTATTCGAATGGTGTTTCTCAGTTGTATTGTCCCAATCAGGAATCAGCATTAGTTCCACACCAATCGGTTTATACCAGTGAAAATGCTTACATTCGCTCTGAATGTTCCTACAGTGCTTGCAGAAAAACGTCTTTAGTTTCCCATCAAGGCGTTCATACCGGCATAAAACCTTTCAAATGCTCTGAATGTTCCTACCGTGCAAGCCAAAAATCAGACCTAGTTAAACATCAGCGGACTCATACAGGCGAAAAATCGTACAAATGCTCTGAATGTTCCTACCGTGCAAGCCAAAAATCAAACTTGGTTCAACATCAAATGACTCATACAGGCGAAAAATGGTACCAATGCTCTGAATGTTCCTACCGTGCAAGCCAAAAACCAGACATGGTTCAACATCAGCGGACTCATACCGGTGAAAAACCGTTTAAATGCTCCGAATGTTCCTACCGTGCAAATAGCCAAAAATCAAACTTAGTTCAACATCAGCGGACTCATATCTGTGAAAAACTGTATAAATGCTCTGAATGTTCGTACAGTGCAATCCTAAAATCACAATTGGTTAAACATCAGCGGATTCATATCTGTGAAAAACTGTATAAATGCTCTGAATGTTCCTACCATACAAGCCAAAAATCAGACCTGGTTAAACATCAGCGGACTCATACAGGCGAAAAATCGTACCAATGCTCTGAATGTTCCTACCGTGCAAGCCAAAAATCAAACTTGGTTCAACATCAAATGACTCATACAGGCGAAAAATGGTACCAATGCTCTGAATGTTCCTACCGTGCAAGCCAAAAACCAGACATGGTTCAACATCAGCGGACTCGTACCGGTGAAAAACCGTTTAAATGCTCCGAATGTTCCTACCGTGCAAATAGCCAAAAATCAAACTTAGTTCAACATCAGCGGACTCATATCTGTGAAAAACTGTATAAATGCTCTGAATGTTCGTACAGTGCAATCCTAAAATCACAATTGGTTAAACATCAGCGGATTCATACCGGTGAAAAACCGTATAAATGCTCTGAATGTTCCTACCGTGCAAGCCGAAAATCAGACCTGGTTAATCATCAGTGGACTCATACCGGTGAAAAACCGTATAAATGCATTCAATGTTCCTACAGTGCAATCCGAAAATCACAATTGGTTAAACATCAAATGACTCATACAGGCGAAAAACCGTATAAATGCTCTGAATGTTCGTACAGTGCAAGCCACATATCAACACTGGTTTACCATCAAATGACTCATACAGGCGAAAAACCGTATCAGCGGAACGATATCGAAGAGAAATCACATCATTCTCACGAAAGCAGTTTCAGTCAGGCTTCGAATTACGTCCAAAACAGTTGCGTTGGAGGACCTATTTTTGTTAAGCCTCTGCCATTCGTGAAGCCTTTCACATTTGTAAAGCCCCTGAATTTCGCTGACCCCTTTTTTTCCAGTTCCAGATTACTTCCCAGTTTCTTCCCCAATTATCAACCATCAGCTCCTCTCACCTTCTCACCTGGTGAATCTGTTGTCACACCTGCTGATCCCACTATCTCACCTACCTACTCTACAACGTTTCCTTCTCCCTCTCATATTTCCTGCCAGTACAGCGACCATGGGACGTAAAAATCTAATGGCATAGTCTGCTACTTATTCGCTTATAATGGAGTCCCCCTTGGAATTACATTCATCTTATAGTTATTAATCTGAGAGGGAATTACAAACGATAAAATAAACTATCAGCAGTTTTACACACTGCCCCCAATGTAAAAACATAAAAATTAAGCTGAACGATTTGCCTAAGAGTATACCCAGCATTTTGATACTGGGTATACTCTTAGGTACAATTCACTTAAATATAAACATAACGATAAAGAAAATGTCGATTTGATGCATGAATTTGTATCTTTGACTGCTAATCGGATTGCGGATAGTGCTGCGTGGAAGGACAAACAACTAACCGAGTAAGGAATGCGCGGGCCCGAAAGGTTTTGCACACACCAAAATGCTAGACGTTAGTTCGGATGAGTTTTAAATTGTTGACTTAAAGAGGGTTCTGTTTGGAGTTGCTATTGTGGATTGCAGTCTTGCTGTGACAGAAAGTTTATAATATTTGTGATTCAAAAGGAAACATTGCATTAATTCCAGAATTTTATTTGTGTTCTTACATCGAGCTAACTGAAAACACCTTTAAGTTTAAGACCCGATTCAGTTCACACACAAGCTCCTTCAAACTCTAGAAGTTGCGAAATCAGAGGGAGTTATCATAGTTTTAAACTAATATAATTAGTTTAATTCTAATTCAATATTGACTCTTTGGAGGAATATATGATTAACACGTTGATCCTCATTAAGGGGAGATACACCAAAAACGTTTTTGCTTCGAACATCGATTTTATTTTATATTATGGTTAAATAGACAAAAAGAATAAGATTGCACACCTTCAAAATTTTCTAAAAATATTCCCTCATCGAGAAAAATAATATTTTTCTTTTTCGAAAATTTTTAAAATTTGGAGAAGTCTGTCACTGTTATACCGATAACTCGGCCATTTTAAAAGTTTTTTGGCTGATTTTTTACTGAACATTACTTACACTCCGTACAAGACAACCCATTAAAGAATTATATAATTGAACAATAAATGACCAAGTTACAGACCAAACAAGGTGAAAAAAGAAAAATTGGGATTTTTGCCTACCACCAAAGTTGTACATTTTACCACTCGCCCAGGTCATCGGATATCGCTTCAAAAATTTTTGTGAGTGTAGCTGATGATCATATCAAACTTTTTGGAACAGGATTTCTCTCAGTTTTGAGTTTTAAGGTATGAAATGTGGCCTAAACGACTTAGTAAAATTCATCGTAAAAAAGGGCCAAACATGGCAGATTTAAGGCTTAAAATGCCTATAACTCAAAAAGTATCAGTTTTTTTGTAATAATTTTTACAGAATCGTAATCAGCTTGAGAAGACGAATCTTTTAGTACCAAATAGGTGATTTTAGAAGACAAATTGTCTTAAATAATTTTCCAGCTCGAACACAAGGGTCCCCCCTTGTATAAATTTTGTACAAATTGTACACATTTTTTTACAAATTTTGTGTCTTTAACCATTATAAATTTGGTACTAAAAGATTCGTCTTCTCAAGCTGATTACGATTCTGTAAAAATTATTACAAAAAAACTGATACTTTTTGAGTTATAGGCATTTTAAGCCTTAAATCTGCCATGTTTGGCCCTTTTTTACGATGAATTTTACTAAGTCGTTTAGGCCACATTTCATACCTTAAAACTCAAAACTGAGAGAAATCCTGTTCCAAAAAGTTTGATATGATCATCAGCTACACTCACAAAAATTTTTGAAGCGATATCCGATGACCTGGGCGAGTTGTAAAATGTACAACTTTGGTGGTAGGCAAAAATCCCAATTTTTCTTTTTTCACCTTGTTTGGTCTGTAACTTGGTCATTTATTGTTCAATTATATAATTCTTTAATGGGTTGTCTTGTACGGAGTGTAAGTAATGTTCAGTAAAAAATCAGCCAAAAACTTTTAAAATGGCCGAGTTATCGGTATTACAGTGACAGACTTCTCCAAATTTTAAAAATTTTCGAAAAAGACAAATATTTTTTTTCTCGATGAGGGAATATTTTTAGAAAATTTTGAAGGTGTGCAATCTTATTCTTTTTGTCTATTTAACCATAATATAAAATAAAATCGATGTTCGGAGCAAAAACGTTTTTGGTGTATCTCCCCTTAATTAATCATAGTTTTGAACTAATTACAACACTACAAATCAGACAGAGTTATCATAGTTTTAAACTAATTACAACACTACAAATCAGACAGAGTTATCATAGTTTTAAACTAATTACAACACTACAAATCAGACAGACTGACAGAGTTATCATAGTTTTAAACTAATTACAACACTACAAATCTTGTAGGTTTACAACCTACCAGGACGCGCGCCGAGTTGGACTCGTCGACGGTCCTGATATATGGAACAGATATTTTACGAGTATCAACCGTTAATACAAACCAGACAGAGTTATCATAGTTTTAAACTAATTACAACACTACAAATCAAACAGAGTTATCATAGTTTAAACTAATTACAACACTACAAATCTATTACATTTATTGAGAATACTAGGTGGTGCGCCATCGACAGTGAGCCGCGCGTGCCGACTGTAGGATGGTTTTTTAGCGCTAATTTCGGCCAGCACAATTTTCTTCAAACAAATAGATATTAAGTATCCTTCCCGACCTCCGATTGCAACAAAAGTTGGTAAGCTTACTCATAGACTTACAAGGAAAGTGTCCGAAAAGTTTAAAGCATATCCAACCATCAGACATTATGTTACAGCTAAAAGCAGCGTATTTTGCTCCATTTTGATCACTATATCAACTCCGATATCCACCAAATTTTTCGGACAGTTGTGAAAGCCCTATTGGAAGGTCTTCGCCAATTTTCAGAATGATCTCATTCAAGGAACTGAAGATATATCCAAATAATACGACAAAAATCAACGAATTTGGTCAAATTTGGTCAAATTACGCGAGTTTTACAGCTAATTTTGCTCCAAAAGCCGCGCACCATCAAATATGGCACCTAGGCGAAACTCACTGATCTTTCCAAAAAAGGTATGACAAATTTCAAATTTAGTATTGTGAAAATTCTCACAGTCTCTAGAAAACAATGGTACAAAAAATTTTAAAATCCGAGCAAGTTTATTTTTATGGTGCACCCCCTAAGAATACCTATTTATGTTTTCTTAGAAAAGATTTTAGGAAAGACTTTTCTTTTAGAAAAAATTAGAAAAGATTTTAGCGGCCTTTTATATAGCCGAGCAGCACTAAAAGGGGTACACAGCGTGTCACGTGTGTTAACGGGTGATACTCGTAAAATATTTAATCCAACTCGGCGCGCGTCCTGGTAGGTTATAAACCTAAAACACGTGTGTCAAGTTTTTAGCGAAATGTTAAAATAACGTTAGCTCCCCAAAAGCAAAATTTTGGATTTGTAGATTGATAGACCTGGCCTTGTAAAATGTTGTATCACGTCGTGACCCCCACGGTCGTTTCACTACCCCTGTAGAGCTTTTCTACGCTACAGGGGAGCCGCGCACTCGGCGGGTCATTTTGATAAAATGCAAATCTATTATGATAGATTGTAGATAGACCATGTCATATGTACATTTAGATTTATATTCCAAATAGTCTAATTTTGAACGAAATAAAACTAAAAGTGCGCAACTAGGACTTTAATTTTGCAAATTCTTCAAGTGTGTTAATAAATTACTTTACACTCGCAACTCGGGCCCCCCGACAGTTGGAACCAATTTACTGGGCGGCGCTCAGCTTCTTGCGCGAAAAGTGGCATTCACATGCAACGTATGTCAACTAAACGCTCAGCCTGTCATTCCACCGAATCTCTATTCGGCGGAATAAAGATGATCTCTATACATTTATGATTATGATCTCTATCATGTTTATGAACATAAATAATAATATAATAGCAGCTGAGCTCCCCAGGTTGCTCTAACCAGAGCCCTCTCGCTTGCAGTAGCGCGCGACCGCCGAAACAAGCGCGTCACGCAGTACGCGTAGACACATGGCTATGTGAACTCCCCAGGTAAAAACCAACTTGAATGTTGAAACGATATCAGATATATTTTCGGACGCTGACATGATTCCGAATCACCCCTTATGACATAAAGTTAAAATGCTCCCTTGTGCCCTGGCGATCACGTGATATGACCCGTATAAGGAAGTCGGTTCAATTCTTCGTTAGGGTTAGGGTTTCAGCAAATGCTTATACCTTGTGTCCATAAAAAACACGGTAACGCATCACGCTACACATATTTGCTTATAGAACCATGTGTTTTCGCGCCGCTGCGGCATGCGGGTGCGCTTGTTTCACAAGCCACTGCCAAGTCCCACTGCAAGCGCAAGGGCTCTTATCTGGATAGAGCAACTACATGACAAATACATTGCGAAATATTTGATCTTGTAGGTTTATAACCTACCTTGATTCACGATGTCAATCCTTCACATACAGCTCGGCGAGGCCAAGTGGTGCATTTTGCCGATCAACCGAAGAAATAGTTGCGAGAAGATGCACGGTGCGGCCCAGTATATAGTGCATCGCGCTTAGATGATGTTACTCGTCTAAATTTCTTCGTAGTATGTAGTAGCGTGCGCCGCTTTCTTCTCGAAATGTTAGCCCGAGGCAAATTCTAGGCTAGTCCATTAACAATAAACTTGTAGTGCGATGCGTTACTGGGCCGCGCCGCGCACTCAATTATGCTTCTCGCAACCGTTAGATCGGCGAAATGCGCTACTGGGCCTCGCCGAGCTGCGAAGAATTGACATCGTCAATTAACAATGGACAGATCGCGCTACAAAACCTACCAAGACGCGGACCGAGTTGGACTCGTCGACGGTCTCGAAATAATATTTGAAACAAATATTTTATGAGTATCACCCGTTAAATTTTGAATTTGATTTGATCATATCATGAAGTTTAAAAGAAGTTACCACAATTTGCGCAATTTAATTGATGATTGAGAAGTGTGCATTCGGTGGAGATATAACCTGGCCATACTTTTATTTAAATGATTAAGTTGGATAACAATTGAATAGATCGATTTTCTCAACTCTAATCAAATATCTTATTGTCAGACGCTGTATGTAGCACATCAACTCATATCATCGAATAGGAGACGGTGGAGAGGTGTATGCGAAGCCGTACAAGCATCTTAATTGTTAATGAAATTTCATAGTCGGCCACACTGGTTCAGTTTTAACATTTAATTCTTAATTTGTTAAAATTATCTCTGATCTTCTTGCTGTGCAGTGTAAAATCATGTGTACTTTGTAAGGGACCCAGGTTCAATTTAAGCCGGGTATAATTCAAGCTGGCTCCAATTCAAGTTAAGGAGACATAGTATAAATTGGCTTCTGTTGCCAATACGTACTAACACACTCGGTGCAGTTTTGACTTTAACGGGTGATACTCGTTACATACTTGTTCCTATGCACAATGACCGTCGAAGAGTCCAAGGTATTCACTTTGCAGTGTAGCTTTTCGAATATTTTCAAATACAAAAGTTTCTGAAATATTTTCTACCTGAAGGTTTGATTATTATCCGTTTGCATTGTTCTTATCTAAAAATCGTTATTTCCTTCAAAACATTCTTATTCATTGGCAATTGTGGATTTAAGGTTCTAGTAAAGTAGTGACACGTATAACTTAGTTCCACAATACTTGAATTGGTATAATTATGTAATTTTTCACTGTGTAGTTTTAACAATTTGATAATCATGGTTGTACTTCAAACTTAGATTTGTCTTCAGGTCATGTTACTTTCAAGTTACGTGTAGAAGAGTTACTCTGTTATCTGCAACTTCAGTCTATATATTTTATAATGCTAATTATCGACATGGGTGAGGCAAAAACTGCTTTCACCTCCTTTCATTTCTTGTGATTCTGAATACATCTAAATTTACGATCCACACTGAATATTCCCAATGTAACCTATTTAACCTTAAGCTTCATGTGATTAGCCAAAAATTAGTCCCGTTTTGGACACTTCTTTGTATTGTATTTATTTAGAACTGTTATTGTTGAGTTATGCCAACATTTCTGTGAGAATGGCCTGTTGCATCTAGCAGTATAAGTTAAAAATAAGTATAAGTTAAATTAAGTAGAAGTTAAAAATAAGTAGAAGTTAAAAATAGTAGAAGTTAAAAATTAGTATAAGTTAAAAATAAGTATAAGTTTAAAATAAGCAAATCACAATGCTAAAAAGTTTTCAAAGTAAAGTAGGTTTTGGAAGGTAAATCTTTTCAGTCAGTGTTGTTTCTATTTCCCATGATCAATGATGGAACTTGTTTTTATTTGCCATTCCAATTTGCACATGATTCTCCAAAAATGGCTGAATATAATTACGTATAGTTTTTACATATAGTTTTTACTTGTTCTTCCTTACCAGTTTACCCACCATTTATTATTGAAGATGACACTCACCATGGCAACAATGTGTAATTGATTGCTGTCGAGAAATGGAGAGTGGGGCAACTAGCCCAATTCACACAGAGTGCAAAACAGCGAGCACACCAGAGCCTCAAACACCAACCAAAAACCGGAAAAACAAAGGAAACGGTTATTATTCACCCCACCTGAGACATTCTCTTGCTGTAAGTATATGAAAACTTCATATTGCATTTCAAATTGCTTATTTGTTATTGTTACTGAGCTTCGTTGATTCGGAGTTGAAGTGAAACATTTTTTCCTTAATTGCTATGAGGTAACTGTGCTCATTCAATTAGGAATCTAAGTATATTATGTTTTAAATGCAGACCTTACTCAGACTGTTTCATATTCAAATAACATATCTTAACTTACAATTTTCCACAACCATCAGGGTGGCACTGGATCACCAAGTAAGGAGAAAAGCTGCGACAGATTTATCCCCACACGAAATGGAGCGAAATGGGAAAACTCCTTCTCCCTGACACCAGAGACTCAAAGTGAGAACGGAGACGAGGGACGTGAACAGCACACATACAGATGCTTGTTACAGGTACTTTCTTTTAGTTTTGTGAGATATTATACAGCTTCCAAGTTAGACATTAACATTACTTTAACAGCCTTTCATAAAATCCTGGCGCCCAATGAGATCATATTGTATGCTTACTATGTTATTTCACAGAACGAGTTATTGGGAGCAGATATAGACGACATAAGGTTGAGCAGTGAGGATGGTGGTCTGCAGCGCACACCCCACAAGAGGAGACTGTTCCACTATCAGTCCCCCAGCAGGGAGCCTCAGGACCATGGCTACTCACTCTCCCCTGTCAGCAGAAAAAGTCAGAAGCTGTTGACCTCACCCAAGAAGTCCCTGCGCAAGATTCCCAGATTGCCCTACAAAGTGCTAGATGCACCAGAACTGCAGGATGATTTCTATCTGAACCTTGTTGACTGGAGCTACTCTAACGTGTTAACAGTGGGACTCAGTGCTAGTGTTTACCTATGGAGTGCCTGTACTAGCCAGGTTAGTAGCCACAATTAGTCTAGAAACTTGCTTTAAGTTTTTCTTAATATGTTCTCATCACTGCTAATAACTACGAATACAGTCTTTTTGATTTCTAAGATACAATACAACGATAATTGTATCTAATTGTACAATTGTTGCAGATTTGCTCTAATATCCTAAATCTCAGGTAACAAGACTGTGTGATTTGTCATGTGAAGGAGATACAGTAACCAGTGTAGGATGGTCAGATAGGAGCAGCAACATTCTAGCCGTGGGAACTAACAGGGGCTGTGTACAACTCTGGGATACTCAGGTACCTGGCAGTAATTATTAATATACTTACTATATTATAGTAGTTTATCAAATAACGGAATAGTTCGCTGTTTATTAGTCTCATGATTGAAATACTGATATCTGGATAATATCCGGTTGGAAGAGACAAGGACAAATGAAACAAGGAAGTTAGGAGTAAGGGCAAATTTTCGGCGTCAACGCCATCTTCAGGCTAAAATTGGTATAAATGTTAGTATATAATTATAAATGCTTCTATACTAGTTAAAATGCTAAATTGAAATTACACACACTGAATACAGGTTACATCAAGGTTACATTGATGTAACCTGTATTCAGTGTGTGTAATTTCAATTTAGCATTTTAACTAGTATAGAAGCATTTATAATTATATACTAACATTTATACCAATTTTAGCCTGAAGATGGCGTTGACGCCGAAAATTTGCCCTTACTCCTAACTTCCTTGTTTCATTTGTCCTTGTCTCTTCCAACCGGATATTATCCAGATATCAGTATTATAGTAGTTTTAGCGTCTTTATTTAATGATTTTGTATGTCCTTATTCTATTATTGGATATCTAAGTAAATTTAGATTTGCATTTAATCCTGATTGCCACTGTTATTATTGACAGCATTCCTTGTACTGTATATTTTTAAACTTTATTATTTATTTAAACAGTATAAGTATTGCACTAGATCTTTGTCATAACATGTATCCATCTCCGGGACAGTGAAAAATCTCAGTACTCCCGCAAATTTTTGTTGCTTGTCATTCTGAATTTTTGTGCTTGATTTGAGCATTTTTAGATTGTCTTGCTCGCTTATCACACCGAGGTAAGATGCTGGTTATGATGCACGCTAACACACGCCCACATCCGATACGATAAACAAATTTACTTTGTTTATTTTTCCCTGGCTCAAATAAAAGGGCTCAAGCATGATTGATAATACCTTTAAATAAATTTAGTTAGCAAGCATTCCACATGTACAGACAAGCATATCATACAAGGTGGCGCAAGTTTGTTTCGAGTTTCGACAAGTGTCAGAAAATACAAGAATATCATTGGCAGATGCTGAAACCCGATTGGTTTATCCTTGTATTTGTAATTGTAATGTGTCTCAACAAACTTGTGATACACCCTAATAACATAACACTATAACATAACTCACATGATGACTGTTATGTTATCACTGAGTTACCCAAACTCTCCGGCAGGCCCAGAAACGAACAGCAATATTCGAGTCTCACGAGTCCCGCGCGGGCGCGCTCGCTTGGAACGGGGATCTGTTATGTAGTGGCAGTAGAGACAGGTTCATCATCCAGCGAGACATCAGGACTCCTCCACACCAGTTCAAGAAACTTACTGGACACAAACAGGAGGTGGGTTCAACATTTAGAGATTTACAATTATTACCTGACTCATTACCTGACTCATTACCTGACTCCGGGATCAGTTTTAAATCCTTTTATTGAGAATACATGTTAAATGTAAGGTTATTTGACGATGGAGAACTGTCTATCGTTATAATATATTTCAGAGCGTAAAAGCCTACATTCTCAAATTATAGCTCCTTTTATTAATCCTGCTAGCTATCTCGTATTTATCGGGCAGGGCAGTGTGTAGTACGGTGGTACTAGAAATACCGTCTGGACCGCATCACAGTCAGTGGATAAGGCTTGCCCAGTGATTAACTAGTTTAAATATCGGAGGGAGCAAGTCTCCTCGCCTCATGATGCTTACAATGATGCTCTTCGCTGGTTGACATTTTTATATGATTTAAATTAGGTTTGACTAGACAAGGATGACACTGAGCGTGTTTCTAGTTCAGTATTGTGTAATACCCACAATTTTCTGATTATCACTTGCCAAACCTGAAGTGGTAGTCGTTTAAGTATCCGAAAGGTAGCTCCTATTTTATATATTATATGCTCTGTACCGCTTAACTCTAATACATTTAAATGTCATAAACTGATTCGCGTATAATCAAAGTTCTGGCCAGTGAATCTTACTTTGAATTTTAGTACCACTTTCACTCTGAAGTCAACTACCACTTTCGGGATAGAGGTTATAAGGCAATTTGGTAAATTATTAATCTGTACATTATAATTTATATAGGCTAAAGTAGAACCAAACTTGCACCAGAAAAGCCAATCATAATATGATTATTATAAATATAAGGTATCTGGTATATAATTCTAAATGAGTAATTATCAGTTCAGTACTAAGTGCATTTTATAGGAGTAAAATAGTTCTGTGTAGTTAAAGGCTAAAGCTCTTGTTTAGAGTTAGTGAGCTAATAGGTATAGTACCGTGTGTACACGGTGAGGAAACTCATAAAGCATGAGGGTGAATGTCCTAAACTGCTTTTTCGCATTAAAAGTAAATGGTTACCACTTACCAGGGCCGGCTTTATGGCTCTTACTTTGCTGGTCAATATTTCACACAAGGGGTTTGGTACCTGAGTAACCACTAACCATCTTGTTAAATGGCTACAAAATTACGACCTTAGCCATGACCATGTCGGAATGACATTTTGTTGACAGTCATGGTCGAAATACTAACTTTATAAGACTTAGAAAACATGGAACTTACCGAGTAATTGAACTGGATATGATTCACAATATTGCTACACATATTAAACATATTAAACATATTTTAAACTGTCGTGCCCTGCAGGTGTGTGGGTTGAAGTGGTCTCCTGACAGGCAACATCTTGCGAGTGGTGGTAACGATAATAAGCTATTCGTCTGGAACCAATCCAGCTTGTCCCCTGTTCAAAAGTGAGTGCGCCTTATTCTTCTTAAGCTTCAATATCACAATAATATATGATAAATCTCTTACTTGTACGACCACAGAGTTAGTGTCAATCAAATCAATCTCGAGTCAGTCTTACTTGTACTTATTCCTTGATCTTACAACAAACCCCCTCTCAGATACTCTGATCACGTAGCAGCAGTTAAAGCAATAGCATGGTCCCCCCATCAACACGGGCTATTAGCTAGCGGAGGGGGCACTGCTGATCAGTATATCAGATTCTGGAACACTCTCACAGGGCAACCTCTCCAGTCAGTTCACACTGGCAGTCAGGTTGGAATTAGTCCCATTTTTATCTATATAGTATTTTCATAATATTGTATATTATCAGTCTTCTTCTCATAGAATTAGCCTCATTTGTATTTGTGTCATATTTGTGATATTACTTTTTATATGTCTTACTTTTTGGTTTTAGTCTACAATTTTTAGTGCTTCAACTGTTCAAATCAGCTAGCTGTCTTGGTATTCGATAAATTTACTCACCAAATGGGGATAAAAGGTGTCTTTACTTAATTCGGTCAGGGGCCAGGGTTGTGATATTGGGAAACGGGGCAGTATCCACTATCCAAGAAGCCCAACCACTTGGTAGACATAGAGTAATGGTTTTAAGGTTTAAGGTTATGGTCCCTGAAGTCTTAACTCTTCCCTATTAACCCTAAACTTAACTTTAAAATGTAAGGTTTAAAGTGGTGGCTTAATTAGGTGTTAATTGAATCCTTACTGCTCATCCCTGGAGGATTGTAATCTGAAAATCGGTTATCTTTGGGTAGAAGAGGATCTGAAGATTGAAAATCGCGCTGTTGTGTTACTAGGGTGCTAAGTTTTACCTTAGTCACTGTTCAGTTTTTATCTCCCAGTCTTTCCGCTAAATGGTCAAACTTTATGTTCTCTGCCCTATTTCTTAGTTTATAGTTTCCAGTTTGCTTCCAGGAAAGTATAATTTCCATATATATCATGTAAACGCTCTAGTTCTAGAAACTAGTTCTACTTGAACTAGTTCTACTCTCGGCAAGTCTTGCATTATTTCAAATTTGAATTTACCGCTTTTGATCATCACCAAACTGTTGGACCAATCACAGCCGAGTATCTTGACAAGTTGACAGTAGAGCTCACAACATCTTGTTTACTGGGGCAGGTGTTCAAGCCGGACCACAATTATCACCCTGTCCTCTTGCATCTAATATTCGTTAATTTCTGAGCGGGAATATTCAAATTTAAATTCAAACATCTGCTCGCTGATAATAGGAAGCAAGCCAGAGATAAGAACAGAATATGCCTTGCGGAGGTCTTGTTTCATCTTATTTTCACTGTTTCTTGTGTCGGAGAACTCTTCTTGTATTACAAATAACACAACCTTCCTTATATTATACTGTCATATGAAGACCTAGAGAACAGCTGATAAGACTCGCCCTGATTGTGATTAGGTGACCGTACGTGGCTGAGAATATGTTGTAATAATTAGGAGGTTGTCAGATCTGATTATTATGTGACTTGTGGGGGGTTTTCATTGACGTGTCGGGACAGATCTCAAATTATCCAATTTTCTAGAAATATGTAAATTTATTAGTAATAAGTCACTAAATCCTTGTAGTTGTAGATAATAGATATTTCAAGGTTAAATTTCAAATATTTTCTTCCACTCCCCAAGTATAAAGTTTTAATAAACTTAATAACCAAATTACAGTACTAGCTCTTTTTATGCACTTGTGCTAGCAATATCTTCCGTTGATTTCCAAATAATAAAATATGTAAATACTGTTTCCTTGCTTTAATAAATATCTACTATTTAAGTGACCAACTCACATTCCTGACCACGTACGATCTTACTCTTGTGTCAGTGTGACCCACCATAAAAAACGCCTAAGAAAGTCTTCTACGTGAATGGAGCGATAGCAGAAGCGACAGTGTTCATTAAGCTGCTTTGGTTGCACAAGTATCAAAAATGGCAACGCCCTTAATTTGCATGACGTTAACGTTAAACAGTTTTAATTGGATTTAAGTGCTAGCTGACAAGCGGCACTTGGTTTCTTGGAAGCAGGGGATATGGAACGTCATAAGGGGAATTTGAGGTTGAAGGATGCAACAAATTAGCATATGCCCTCACATTTGATATAATATTATGACCGATATGCCGAATTCTCCAATATAACCAATTTTAGGACATCTGCCTGATTTCTGTCAGTTATAACGTCAAACAATCTTGTGATTCCCAATTCCCTCTCCCTTACTAGCAAGACTGATGACGTGAAATGTTATCATTTCCGGGATCCTATCATAATCTCGATTTGAGTATTTATCATTTATTTATTATCACCATGTGAGAATTTTCTCACGGGAGCATCCAATTTTGAGATAAGATTGTGTTCGACGTCATTACTCATTTTTGAGCTCATATAAAGTCGCTTTATCTACGATATAATTTAAAATGATGAAGCCGATTAATTTTTGTTCATGAAATACAAAAAAAGTTATTCTAGCACCTAAATCATTCATTCTGTCTGATACTTCCACTAAAATTCTCCTAGCCTCATGCTTTAACTTCCATTCATGAAGAGGTGTCTAAAATATTTTGCAAAATCAGTATCATCTTTCTAGTTCCACTGTCATGAAAAGTTAGTCAAGATCAAAGGTGCCAGATAAGCACCAAGTTGACACACCACACCGTTTAACCATCCGGTCGAACCTGTCAAATCTACAGCTTGATAGGGTTGATAACCATCTTAATTCTTTGGAAGCATTCCAGCAAAAACTTCCACTTCACAGCTTCATACGTGTACAGGGTGTACCACAGAAAGTGTGACTTTTTGAGATATAATGATACAAAATATTATGAAGGAGCAGTACTTGTGGAGTACAGGGTGTTCCTGCTCCATCATGACGTCGCCAGCGCAGATAGTTCCACTTCTATTAAATAAGTATTATGACGTCATACTGTCTAGTCGAACTATGGGAACATTCTGCAACCTGGTCTGGTGTTAGCATCAGAGTGACGGGTGTGTCCATGAGAAATGTTACAGAGGACAAGATGGTCGCTTAAACCACAATGGACAGTGGACACACAGTTAAATCCCATAGACTTGGAATCTGTTATCTTCGAGCTCCAGAGGTATTGATTAGAGTTCACAATTCTCATTGTGGAAGTCTCCTTTTATGGTACACTGTACGACTCTAATACGATTTCCCACCTTATAACTACAATCTACAATATAGCGTAGAGTAGAACTCTCATTATACTATAGAACTGGATATTCTTTGATGTTTAAAGCTTTCGAGCGTGATCCTTTAACCATGGGAAAGATCAAAAAGCGTGGGGGGGGAGATTATCTCAAAACTATCTCTAATTGATTGGCTTCTATTTTTAGAATCCTAGTCTGAATTTGTTTCCCATAAAAGGTTTAAAAAGCAGTCCCTCCGTTAACAGTTAGTGACGGCGATATTTTGAAGGTTCTGGGAAAACTGGGTTATTGAAATTGTGTTAGTACTAAGCCTTCAATACAAATCTTTAAAAGGACAAATTTCATAAAACACCAGCATTTAAAAAAAGTTATTAAGTTTTACGAAGTAAGTTTCCCCTTAAATAACAAATAATAATATTTCAGGTATGTAACCTAGCTTGGTCTAAGACTACCCACGAGTTTGTCAGTACACACGGTTACTCTCAACACCAGATCCTTGTCTGGAAATACCCCTCGTTACAGCAGGTTTGTTAAAACACGTGTGTTTGTTTGTTCTCTGTGGGTTTCTTTAAACAAGTCACGTGTGTTTGTTTGTTCTCTGTGGGTTTCTTTAAACAAGTCACGTGTGTTTGTTTGTTCTCTGTGGGTTTCTTTATGTTACTGTTTTATATAATCGCATACCTCTCCGTGATCTATTTGACAATATCTGAGTTTGTCTCATTGTTTAGCTGTTTGCCATTCCTAGGTTTTAGTCCGCTATATTTCGTAGATCTTCATTAATGCTCGCAACCAAGTGCTAACCAGTAAATTAACCAGTAAATTAACCAGTCCATATCACCCCTGAGGGGGCTTTCTGCTCCCAGAATTCTACCTGAGCCAGTAAAGCTCACTAACGTTCTATTAATACATACACATTACACATAAAGCAAGGAGCTTACCTGCATTATATATTACACGTATAAAGCCAGGTGCAGTATAAATTATAGAGACAATGTTTACCCCTAAGGGGAGCTGTGCACAGTGTGCAGCTCTTTGCAACTGTGCACCACCGGAGAGCAATCATGAGCTATTATATGTAAATTTACAGTATCACGTGACCACGTGTCAGACCACGTGTCAGAAAGAACGACCAATGGAAGCAGGAGCTTGTCTCAGTGCACTGCTTTATTGCTGCCCAGCCCAGTGTTACCTCACACAGATCAACCTGTGATGTACCTGTGTTTGTAGCACGTGACACAAATAAGCCAATTAGATCGCTGCATTTGCACCACTCCACATCCCTTTACCTGCAGCATTTATCTGCCTCGTTTCCATGACTATATGATCACGTGACATACAATTTGCTGAGGAGTTCTAAAATAGGTTCCGGCACATTTAGCTTGTCCGTATTACATATAGCTTATGTGCTAGAGTTACCGGTGGTCTAATTAACTAATTGGATAAACACGAGCAGTTACACACAGGATACACACTACAAACTTACAGTTACTACTTATCGTGTATAACTCTCCGTAAAGTAACAGGTTTTAGAACCAGTACATTTACCAGAATTATACCTTCACTGGTTGGCAATATCAGTTTATTGGCACTCAGTTGTGATGTAAATCCAGGACAGTGGCAGTTATTTATTGAGTCACCTTTAATTGAATATAAAATCGGTGTACAAATATCACTGAATTCAACTTTTAGTGTGCTCTGAAGGGTACAAATATCATTAAATTGAATTCGTAAGTCGCTAAAGTATAACGGTCTCCCATATTATAGAGTTAAATAGTTTCACTGACCGTAAAACTAAAGTTTGAGTGTAGAATATGTTGCTACACACATTCGGTGGTTTTCAGTGGTTCCAAAGCATATATCTGGAGATCCAACGATACGATTTTCTTGAAACTTTCTAGATAGTAAGATAGCTTTAAGACAAATAATTTGTGCAAGTTTGGATAAATTTCTATGTGCCAAATTTGAGGTATCACTTCAAACACACGAAAATAGTGCTGTCGGACAGATGTCGCTGTCGGACAGATGTCGTGTTACCGAATTATACCTTCACTGGTTGGCAATATCAGTTTATTAGCACTCAGTTGTGATGTAAATCCAGGACAGTGGCAGTTATTTATTGAGGACTCACCTTTAATTGAATATAAAATCGGTGTACAAATATCACTGAATTCAACTTTTAGTGTGCTCTGAAGGGTACAAATATCATTAAATTGAATTCGTAAGTCGCTAAAGTATAACGGCCTCCCATATCATAGAGTTAAATAGTTTCACTGACCGTAAAACTAAAGTTTGAGTGTAGAATATGTTGCTACACACACTTCTGCATTTGCATTAAAATTAGAGCGAGTTATCTCTGTCTGTTTCCGTGTTATCTTTTGGTGATGCAACAGTTGCAGCAAATGTTAATTACGGTTTGTTAAAATGTTGTTATCAGAGCCCTTTGAACGTAGCAGTGTCATGGTTTTATCACGTTTAAATTTAATTGGTAATAAAACTAACTGATATTGGTGACGTATAGAATATTAGATAACAAATTCAAGATAACAACTCTGCAATTATAAGCGTACATGAAGTACAAGTTTTTAGGAATAAGGCGCCTACCCAATTAGGGTTTTCCCCAATCTCCAGCACTCGAATTCATTCCATTTTAAAGATAATAATTCTTCAATCCTAGTAACATATTAGCCGTAGCGACAAGAGAAACGCCATTGTCGGACGTGAGGAGAGTGAGGACTCCTCAAACTACATTAAATATATATTCCTTCTGTAACGTCCTGAATAAATATAGTTTCTATTATATATAATTTTCACCACTAACACACTCCTCCCCCCAGGTTGTGTGTTTAACCGGACACCACTGCCGAGTCCTCTACCTAGCCATGTCCCCGGACGGACAGTCCATAGTTACAGGTGCTGGCGACGAGACTCTCCGCTTTTGGAACGTTTTCAACAAGTCCAGACTTCAGAAAGAGTCCCGGTCAGCGCTCAACTTATTCTCCAGTATCCGTTGAAATGGACTGGAAATAGGGATCTCCGGGGTTTCTTAGATATCTTGCGTTTGTGTATAAAGTGATGTGGTGTATGACGTCATAGAAGGCTTTGATGACGTCATTTTGAGGATGCTCAGGTCTTATAATAGGATTGTGACAGTTTAAGGAAATTCGTTTAATGTTCAGTGTTTTACAACTTAAGTCGTGTGTGTTAATTGCAGAATTTTGTCAATCTAGCTGGCCATTGTAACGGAGGTTCGACTAAAAAGTGTACATCATCATCAAAATCATTATTACAATCACTTAAAAATTAGTTGTACACGCTTATGAACGACTTATGTATCTTCGGGCGAAGTCTCAGGTCGGATCTTCGTTATTTTGCGTTAATCAATCATTGTTTTCGTTACAAATTTGTGTTTTGTTATAATATATTATTAATATAATGATATATTGTTTGCCGAACCAGGCAATTTGAAGCTTTTTGAGAGTTAGAAATATTATCATGTGATCAGTAATAATTATAGATATTATTCAGACTGGAATTTAAATTCATTTGACTTCATGGTGACACTTCCATATAAGGTCATGTTACCATGGTAACACTACCGATATATGTATAAGGTAATGTTACCTTGGTTACGTCACCATATAAGGTCTTGTTACTATTGTAGCACTACCTTATAAGGAAATGTTACCATGTGACTCCATCATGTGATTTCAGCTCAGAGCTCTTGTTCATTTCGTGTTTGACGATAGTTTAACAGTAAATAACACCGTTAAGTTTCTAAATTAGTTAGATACCGGGAACTTATTTACATAATTTCAACTGTTATTATATTCTTCGCTGCATTTGCTACTCTTTTATTTTTCTACTGTAAAAAGTGATGCTACTAATCGTTGCTGTGGATATAGATTTAAATAGTTGGTAGATCAACTTAGTTCATTACATCGGGTTTAGATCAATTGACTTGAGGAGATTCTGATAGAAAGTTCTAGTCCTCTTGAAGCTTCCACGCGTTAGATACATTATGATTAGAGTAAGTTTGAGGGGAAAGATGAGTTAATTATAATGATAAAGTAGTATAATTTTGTACGAGTAATTAAATTGTAAATATATAATGTGCTATTTATTTACATGATGATTGTGATTTGATACAGTTAAATTAGAGACTGTGTAAAGGGGAACATCTTCAAGTTTTGATTAACAATTAGTTAACGATATTGATATCATATTATAGAAAGGACATTATTGTACGTTCACATTGCTGAGTTTAACTTGCTTGTACTTATTTCAAATCTGAATCCTCGCATATTATCGCATTTAAAATGGCCGTTCTCAGTCAATTTCGAGATATGGAAATAATTTTACATTATTTGCAGCTTTTCTATCCTTCAGAGATTTTACTAACTTTACTCTAACAGTAATTAATCTCGCTTTGGAATTCGGAAAATGTAAACTCACATACCGGTTATTTATAGAACCGCCCATCCTTTAAAATCACACCATAAAATTAATTATATAAATTTGAATTTTGGGGTAACTTAATCAATAATGAATGTACTTGTTAAACCAACCTAATGTTTCTCTCTGTGTATTATGCAATTTGATCTGTGACAATGTTGTGAATTATATAATATAATACCTCTCAAATGTGATTTCCTTGCCGTGCACACCTTCTCCATTTTCAGAGGAGTGTGACAATTTATTTGTTAGTTTTTAAAATCACCGTGTTTTATTTCAATCTTTGTTAGGATTCTGTGTAATACTAACCGAGGAGGAGTATGCAATCTGAGTGGGTTTGAATTGAGGTACAGATGAGGGAAATAGAAACAATAATCAGGAATCTGAAATTCAAGCCGCTTTGAATGAATCTGAAAATATCAGAAAATATGAAGAATAAAGCGCAGGCCCAGTCATGCCACAGTCTAGTCATGCCACACTGAAGCTGAACAAAACAGCCATCTGGTGTACCGTGTTACTGTTACAAATCAGATTAATTCAACACGCGTAATATTGTCACGAGTTTTACAGTGATAAAACGTCATCTTAGGAGATCTGGCATGTCTTAACAAGTCTCGTATTTCAAGTGTGTAGGAATTAGGATTTGAAATTTGGGACAAAATATCTGATTTCTTGGTGGCCTGTGGGAATTCCGATATAAAGGCTCAGTGACGTAATTTGGAGGATATCAAAAGGTATTTTTACTGCTAAAAAGCCTTTTTCAGTTTCTCCAGAACTGCGTATTCTCTTTTCTAGTTCCTCAAGAATACGCCCCCGGCCAAAATACCAATCTCCTGATCGATCTCTGAAACTTTAATGTTACATTATAAAAGTTACAGACTCAGCGCGAGCGTGTCTTAACTTCGTAACGATAAAGATTGAGCTGAACAAAAGGTATAATCACAGAGGTTCTATATTACTATTTAACTATAATGTTACGGTCTGATGTATGGAACTGTATTTACTATAACAATTCGACTGCATTCATTACAACCATTACCAGCATATCAAATTTATCAGACAGATGCTTCTTGTATAATAGTTGTACACTCCCTTGTGATAACGAAGATGCAGCAAGCAGATTTGTGTAGTACAAGTCACGTGACAGTATAATCATGTCACGAGTACATTATACACGTTACTAGTCACGTGTACAGTGTACATTATACTCTTAATATTTAGTATACAATGACCTGTGTATTTTGCTGCGCATTTAGTGCACAACTTGACAATAATTATTGTAATGTTAGCTTAACCACTGCTCGTACAATAAACATACAACATTTTCCATTTTAATACCAAAATTTATTTGTTAATACTAGAATTGATGTAACTTGAACAATGATATATCATACATTCGCTCGTATAATATATCAAATTGTACACTCATCTGTGATCTGAACAGGAAGATACTACTTTTAAATACAAGGCACTCCCTAAATGTACTATATACTAAATGTACTAAATGTACTAAATGCACTCCCTAAATGTACTATGATAAGATATATACAGCTGATATCTGTGTACACACTGCACGTGTGTGTCGTGAGTTACTATTAATAGATCACAATGTATAGTGTATACGAGCTTTCAACCCGGATATGAGAGATGGTGGGGTCCTTGGCACTACTCCCTTAATTAATTACGCATAAATTATCCCCTTAATTACACGCCTTTTTATCCCTTAATTGCACGCCTTATTTTACATATTATTATCCCCTTAATTATTAGCTTTCTTACGCATGTATTATCCCGCTAATTATGAGCCTAATGTTACACATATCACACGCCCTAATTGTACTTACTTTTGTGTGCGATTTTGTCATCATCTCGTAAATTTGGGTGTATCATCTCGTAAATTTGGGTGTATCATATTTTGTCAAATTATGGTCACTTAACGAGCACAAGCTTATTAAACTGTCTGGAACAGATCAAATGATCAATAATAGGCAGACTATGCAGTATGCACTCTGATTATCTATCATAAATCAGTATAATCAGTACACTATAAGGTACTATGCTGTGGGTCCGACTTTAGAAAATACTGATATAAAGGTTATGATAAAGTCAGGTTTTGATAAAGTCTTCAGGTTCCTTTGATTTACAACGCAGAACTATATTTAAAACACTAATACTTTAAAGTTAAACCTAGATTCTCAAGGCCATTAGATAAATGGTAGTGGGACCGTATTATAAATATGCATTTTTAACGGATTAGCATCATAAAAGAAAGCCTGTGATTCAAATGAACTAGTTGCTTGACGTCATTTCTTTATGATACTTTAACCCTGTGAAGTGGGAACCTTTTGAGGACGACAGTTTCTGTATTATAACGAACATTTGACCGTTACTAGGTTACCAAGTCATCCCACTGACTCCCACTGATTCTATAGAAAATTGTCAATTTTAAGTATCCTTTGATATTTTGAATAAAGCCGAATAAATATGCTTTGATAACATAAGGCTTATTTAAAGGGCACTACCGTATACCAATGAAGAACAGTGAGGTTGTTGCAATGTTGTTATGTGTTTCATATTTTCAGGAAGTATTTATTTAATCAAATATTTGTCAGACAAGCTGAGTCTCTGGCAGAGAACGTGAACCAAATATAGTTATTTTTTATTTAATTTCAAAGTTTTTACTGTTAAAAGTGTCAAACCGCGCCTATCTCGAAGTGACAAACTTCAAACCGGTGCAAATTACCAGTGGCAGTAAAATACCTTATTAGCTATCCTTTAGCTATCTTGACAGCTGATATAATATCCTCCGTTATTAATCTATGCGATCGTGTGTTTTCCATTATAGAATATTAGCTCTTGAACGTAATAACGTTGCAAATCACAATCTTGCTGTCAAAGTTGACACACCTCACGTGTGGCAATAGCTTCAGATACTGGCATTTTATGGACACGCAGAACGTAAATTATCTTACAAACATGTGACATAAATTAATTTTGGGTTACTTTATTTAAATTTTTAGCAGTGGGTATATTTAAGTCTTGGGATTCTTGGGAATCCAATTGTTTTGGTATGTAACTACTGAAATGTACGGCAGGTGCAGTGAATAGAGGGATACGTGCTGTTTACTGTTAGATGCAATATAATGCAGCTAGTCGCATTCTTAAATACGTAACTCTACTTTAAATGTCTTATATCCACTCGATTTTATCAAAATTCAAACAACAACTATATAATTGGTAAATTTGTCTGAATTTTCCAGAACATTCTTTCATCGTCACAGTTTAAACTGAATTGCTATGAAATGGAAGCGAGAGAGAAAATGTGATGTTTCAATTTATCACGGACGTCACGATTTGACATAGTAACAGTTCCACGTATTCTGTATAATCTTCGCTTTAAATTGTTCACGGTATATTCCAGGTCAAATAGTCTCGTACAGATCATTTTGCATATTCAGGAACTTTCTATATTTGGGATAATAGAATAATGTAGTGGGCACTGGGCATACATGATGTTGAATCTAAATAGAAGCTGAACTTTAGCTTGAAATAAAGTCTCGTAAGGCCGAGTTTATCACATGACCTGTCTATGCCTAGACGATCGTGAACTCCATCACAGATTCCACACAGTTTCCCCAAAAAAAGAAGCTCATTTTTGAAGAAAGAAGCTCAGAATTGGTTAAAATGTTAACACCCCTCGCTCTCAACATTTAAAAGAATTCAGACACAAATCGCTGACATTTTTTCTCTCTTTCCGGCCTTTGTGTCCTTTAATCCACCCTTCTTGTTATCTCCTGACTCTCCTTCTTCTTCAACTCCGGTATCTTCCTAAAGCTTTCACCGAACTTTGTTTGTTAAGGTTAACGGAGATTTACGGTATTTGATTGACGCACAGACAACATTGTCCTACGTATGAGACAGACTGCACTCAGTACTGTCCATGTCGGTACTGTCTATCTTTTTACTACTAGTACCTAAGAACTCAACATCATCTAATACTAAATTGACCCAAAGGGGGTGGGTGTCCTAAATATTATCCGAAAAAGCAGTTAGTACCGTGAAGGGGGTGGGTGGGTCCTTTTTGTAAAGTCCAAAACTGCACTTAGTCGACGTCACGTACGGCACTTAGTAGAATTAGTACCTGATCCCCCCGGCACACCCTGTACTCTGTAGTACTCATCATACATATTTGTCCTATCGTATACCGTTTTCCGAGCAAAGGCATGACCTAGGCAAGTTACTGAGGTTAGTTCATTATTTTTCTTTTACATTTTAACCCCACTGGTGCTTCTTCTACGATTCTAGAGCTAGGATGAAGTATGATAACTATACCCTGTATGGTATCCACAGCGCCACAGAACGACAGCTTCTAACCGCATACACCTCTACCATAGCCATGTCATCTCTTATAGGCGATGCTCTAATACTGATAGGATCCTTGAGATACAATGCAATTAATCTTCATAAAGTCATGGTCGTGTTTATTCAGTACATTGCTCTTGCTGATATCTTCCTAGTGATTTTCACTGTCTTGCCGGAAGCAGTCTCACTAGCTCTGAACAGATGGGTGTTCGGCAAACTCTTCTGTCGTGTAGAGTATTGTGTTACCTACAGTGTTTTAGGAACTTTCCTTCTCCTTATTGTTGCGCTGTCTCTGACCAAGTTGCTGATCCTGAAATATCCGTTCAGAGCTGTCCATCTCTCTACAAAGATCGCTCATTTTTCATCACTCGTCTGCTTCATTTGCAGCTTCGTATTAGCAGCGCTGCCTGCCCTGACAAAGATAGATGATATCTACTTCAGCTACCTGACCTACACCTGTCAGTTCAGCAGATCTTCATCTCAAGACAGCTGGTTCTTAAAGATCACCTTCATCTTAATCGGATTAGTATCGCTCATTAGTTTGGTGGTTGTGATGGTGAGCAATGTCATGATTATCATCACAGCTAAGAAGATCACTGCTAGAGGACCAGGAGGACTCCAGTGGAGGGGGGTGATGACAGTGGTGCTCACTGTAGCTGTCTTCACTGTCGCTAATCTACCGGGAGCTATCTGCGGTGCAGTTAGCTACTTTGTGAAGGATGCCCCAACGGAGATGTCCCAGTTCTGGCATTTTTACTTTTTTAGGATTGGGTATGCGATTGGGTCCCTAAATTTGATGTCCAACTTCTACATTTACACATTGTCTCTAAACAGCTTCAGGGAGTTCCTTAACTCCAGGATGGCGACGATATTAGCCCCCCTCGGCCTCGTGAGATATTTTACTCAAACTGAAGTTAGAATAAATTCTGGGGAAGAGGAACGACAAAGACTTATTGGTGACTAATAAAGAGCTGACTTTACGAAACTCTCGTATTTTTTGATGAGCAATTAACAGTTAATTTAATAAAACGAACAGCGCTGCACTGATTAACAAGCTGATGAGACATTAATCAGCGATGCGATTTTAAAACTTGTTGCAACGATCCCTAAAAGTAAAGTCTGTTATCTCTGCTGATGGACAATGGACATATTTCTTAAATCTATCTGTATTAACTAACGAAAATATGTGCGATTACCAGACATCCCATTTATCACTTTGCTAATTCATTTCGTGTTATTACTACGTTTTTAAACATATTGTTGTACTATTTCTATTAAACAATAATGTTGAATCATGGATCATTCTGGTTTAGTACCTTGAGTTTTAAAATTTGTTAAGTTTGGTCTGTTTCTTTCTAAACGTGAGTCGTAAATTGGATATGAGTTTTCCTTTTCAAATGATCCCATGAATGCTGAGTGCTGACCCTGCAATTTTACTGAAAATGCCTTGTTCCAATAATTTTGTTCACTCTGTAAATTGGTAGAGATTTTTAAATTGAAAAATGTATATAACAATTCTCGTTACCATGGTTACTATGCAACTTCCTATTTCTCATATTATTTGCACGTGGGCGGTTGTACAAACGACAAACATAGGGAATTCTCTGAATTATAGTAGAGATTCCAGTTCCACTTAGTCGTCTTTTAAGTTCAAATCAAGTTGTGCGCGTTTGTCAGGTACCCTCTCTATATATGGGGTAAAGACCTACATCAGTAATCATCTCTAATATGTTGCTGCTGCGGGTCAGGTATTTGAAAACTGAATGTTTGCTTGAAATGGAGCCTTGTCAGGCAGAGTTGAACTTATAACTACTTTGTGCCTAGCACATTTTAAAACTCTGTCCCCTGGAATTATTTCTGGTTGAAATGTATCCGGAAAAGTATTTGGAAAGATGCCCGCCTAGGGACATTTTTTGATGGAATTTCTTGGTGCATTTTCGTTATGTAAAGAACCAGTACCGATAAATTTACGCAATACTGTGCCCAAATGAAAGAGACTGTAAAAGATGGGTAAAATGACTAGAGGCCAAATTTAGAAAAATATCGCCAAACCTGTGTCGGAATTTGTTGTTATTATTACAAAGTTGTGTCAGATTCTCTTAAATTGGGTTACTTATGCATGAAATGCCACCTGTTTTGTTCTGTAACCAGCTGTTAACAAGTGGTAGTATTAACTGTTATTAGTGTTAATCGTTCATCTAAATGTAGTTATGTTTTCTAGTTGTTTAACATGCCAACCACCGGCTGAAATAAAAGTTACTTTTTCGAAGAAAGTGGTTTAAAATTCCTCTTTCCCGAAATTATGGAAGCAAGTATGGGATTTGGGTTAGTACGACTACCAGGCACTTTCTAAAATTATAATAAAATATGTAAAATTATAATCAAATATGTAACCAAGTTTCCTTTCTGCCAACTTTAGCGGAAACTATTTATTATTACCTTAAAAGTGTAACAATTTCCATGACTTTCTGTTAAGTTAAGAATCAACTCTAAATATGTGTCATGATTTCCATGTTGAATACCTACTGTAACTCATTGACAGAATTAAAAGAATGTTCGTCCAAGCTTAAAAAATATCACGATCATTCATTGCCTAATACCGGGAATACTGAATACTCACAAGTTTTACTAGATTTCATTGTTCAATATTGAATAAAGATTATTTGCTTGACAAATTTCATATTAAATCATACTGGAATTACATCATTTAGGGCTCTAAAAATAGAGAAAACATGCCGTCCTGAAATAAATAGGATTGTCTGAAGAAACCAAGACACTGGTTAATTGTTGTATCATGTATGTCATCTTGTATCTTGGTTTGTATCAATACAACATTCTTCAAATTTCAACCCTGAATTCCTGAAGCCTGGTCTTTAGCTGGGTTTGAAAATTACATTCCAGCATTGCCTAGTCATCACGAAGTGAAAGTGTTACTACCGACCCTTTAAATGCATTAGTTTAAAAACAACAGCTGTATTGCACCTTTTGAAGTGATATAAATAGGCATTAAAATAATGACATTAAAACTACTTCTAGCTATTTTGAAGTTTATTTTTTACTCGCTTTTAATGTGCTATTTTCAGTGCGACATCCCTACAATTCTCAGAACTCAAATGATACCGTGAAATTACAGCTTTATGGACTGGTGAACTATTTTTTTTCGTCACGTGACAGAGATTCTGAGTTTTGATTGGTTAATGCTGGAAGCTGATTGGTTAATCGCTGACAGAAAAAGTAAGATTCATCTACCCAGTACCCACCACTATACAACCTTGCAACACCGCATTTAGCTATTCCTTAATAGAAGTGGCTGATGTGATGATAACTTAATTATATCCCAATTATTTTTCTTTTATTGGAAATGAGGAGCAGTTTGCAGTTTTTGGATAAAAATTAAAATGGTAGTTTTCGAATACACTTCGGATAAAAATACGACAATCCATTACTGTTAAAGGTAATACCTTAAGCCACCAACAATTTAACGTACCGTTGTACAACCACGAATGGAATGTTTATTAAACAACTGTTTTAAAAATAGCCCCACCTTTTGACCAGTTTTAACTGCCAGCTTCCTTGCGGGACGTTTCAATGTGGCCAATGAAAATCCAGGATTTAGTCTCACATGACTTTCGTGTTAAAATAACACGTGCACACCGGATATAAGGTTACCGTGATGGGCAAGTGTATTTGTCACGTGATAATAGTGTATTTCTACGTGTCGTAAATCTGCACATGCTTTCAAGATGGTGTTTTGTAAATGGAAATTCAGAGAATCAGTTCACAAATGAAGCTGTCGTTCTTCTTTTAAACATCATTTCATTTTCAAAACAACGATTTTAGAGGACGGCAGCTAAATTGTACGTACATTGTGGCACGTGGAGCGCGGCTCCCATGACTACGAAAATAGAAGCAATTTCATGAAAATAGTGTGCTTTTCGAAGCGCTGTTTTGGATAGCAAGAGTGTAGGTTTCGGTCCAGACTGTGATATTTTGTATGCGCGCAGTGCGCGCAAACCAAAACAAATTCTCACCGCTAATTTTCAAAAGCAGCGCCAAACTTTATAAAAATGAGTCCAGTTATTTGTTATTGAAATTCGAGACCAAAACTTTGGAGCCAAAAACTCTTATCAATTCTGTACGTTGAATTGCCACTTTCAATCTTGAGAGTTCCACGGCCATACTGGAGCTGCCTATTGTGCCAGAGGATGTGCAGCAAGAAAACGTCTCAATCTTCAATTTCACTGTCACAAATTTTAGGTTTTAGGATTTTTGGTTTAGGACTTTAGGTTCAAAGTAGATGATATTGTCAGAAATGTGTAAGACTCTTTGCTGTAAGAGATGCCATTAATAATAATAATCGATTTACGTCGAAACTTCACATAACGCATTAAGTTTCATCGCCTCAGAAATCCGGTTAAGAAGGATTAAATGATAACGGTGATTTTAATTCTTATTATATTGGTATGAAGATATTAGGCAGAAACACCAAGTAAAAGATATAGGGTAGAAACTGAAGAAGTAAGTACGCAGATTAAAATGTAAACGTAAAACTTTGTACAGAAAATTTATAAATGCATTTAACTATACAGCAAAGTGTACTTTGTAATGATTAACAAGTGTCATCAATGAATCTAAGAAATAGCAAGTAGTAACGCTCACAATTCCCCACCGCTTTCCACAATTCAAAGTTCAATTCTACATTGTATAAACCCTTTATATCCAGAACCGAGATTATGGTTCAAATTTGCATTAAATAGTGAACAATTAAAATTGGAAATAATTTATGATAGGGTGTTTTTGAAACTGGGTAAATCCCAACAGACCGTTTTAAGTTTTAATCTCTGTGCTCAGTGGTCCACTTGTCCTGCCAACTCCAATAACAAACTTATCGAAAGATTTCCAAACAACCTAAACTACTAGCTACAAGCTAGTCAGCTATTATGCGATGTAATCAAGAAGATAATACCTGCTATTATATTGCTACAGAAATTAAATTAAGAAACTGGGCAACATCCAACTGCTCGAAGCCTGACAGTGTCACCAGAACGAGCAGAAAGTAACAGCACCCTAACAGCCAACTTGAGGTAGTGATCATGATTATTTTAATCATCTTGATTGTGATGAAGTGGCAGAAAAGCACACTGCAAAATAGTAGTCTTGAACCGAGCTTCCGCCTTGCTCAGGCTGACCCATTCCCAATACTTTTCCATCTCTTCCCTTTTTTATATCTTTACAATATTTTTCTCACCAGACTCTAGTCAGATTCACCTGACTCATCATAAAGTAGACAGATTTTCCCTATTGACAGTGTCAGGCTTCTATTCCAGGAGCAGGATAGTGGATATGTCCCAAAAATTTTAGGTTATTAAACTTAAACTTAAAACTTAAAAACATTTATTCTGATAAAGTTGTTTGATACCCAAGAGACATTTTAACAAACTACAGACAAAATATTATTTCAATCTTTCTCGCAATCACACAAATTAAACTCGTGACAACGGTGTTCGTAGAATCTGCAATGTAACGATCACGTTGTCCCGAATTGAAATATAAATCGAGGTACCCAATATTTGTCGATTAATCTTGACCCGAGCCTGAAAACTAGAATCATTACATTTATGCCCACTTTCAGTTTGAATCAAATATTTCTGCTGATCATGGTCTCAGAGCTGAAGATGATTTGGCACATTTAACAAACATCAGCCACTATCAAACTTCAGACTCGGCTTCTTACTAAAAGCTTATCATTACACGCAACAGACACATTTTATAAGGACCGTTCACATATTATTATTAGTATTACAATTACTTACCGGCCATTTTCAGACCAATTCCCAGCCCCTGGTTTTCACTTTTACACTTTGCAATTGTGGAGAAATAATGATCCCCTTCAGGAAAAAAGTAATTTATGAACAATCTCTCGATATTCTACACTTGTTAAACTTTTAATTACACGAATGACAGAGATCAGTTATATTATACCGAATAACCCAGCATTAATAGCATTAATGTAACTTTACTTAACAAACACACGGGGTAAAAGTAAAACGGGGTAAAAGTAAAACATTTTACACTGCACAAAATGCTGCATCATAACATCACCACTACCTAACACTATTTACACATCCAAAAGTAAAAAGCACGCAATACAATATCAACACGACATGAAACCACATTTCATGCGCTTACCCTGCGCGGCGCGCGGCGTTGTCATAGCAACGCGCCCACGTGCGTCTCTACCCTCCACCGCCCAGTCTCTTATTTATGTTCGGCAGGTAATGAGACATGTCGTATATTGATTTGTTTGATTGGTCCTTCTGAGAAAAGTTCTTGTAAGCACTGAGTGAGAGACCGTTACCTAATTTGTTGCGGGTCCGTGAAGGCTTGGTTGACGATATAACAGGATTCTAGAGAAGAATTGATTGGCGAGGTTAAAATCATGTTGTTTTCGGAGGGAAAAAAGGTAATCGTAAGTATCAAGATAAAAGGATCAAAGTTGTGAATGGGATGAGCTGAAACTAAGAGTGCAGCAAAAGAACAGCACAGACAAGCAGGATCACAAACTGCCACACAAAAAGTTATAAAATATTCAATATTCATTATTCTGCTCAATAAGTCTATCTAAGACGACAGCAAAGAAATATAAGGCGTCTGCAAATGATATATTTTTGAAAAACGATCACAAATTCTACATGAAGTCCTGTAAAACAGAATTGAGGTTGAAATAATCCACAAAGATCTTCCCGAAGGTGGTAAACACAAAGTTTCATAATTTAAGCTATAAAGCTAAACTGCTCCATACCAAGATATACAAGCTCTATTTCTTTCTGTGGCGTTTCGGTTTACCTACCTTTTTACTCTGAGCATTTGAGTCGATGGGTGGTAACAGGGTGGTGTGACCCGCGTTATAGTAACTGTTGTAGTAGTGGTGACTGCTGACTTTCATGGCTTTGTTTAGGTTACTGGCGGGAAGAGGGGCGAACTCCGACACCTAGGTAAGTTACATTACGTGTCATTAATAATTGGAAGTCACCATGTTTCAATCGATACTTACTAAGGGGTAACTGAAGGGTTAGTTGTAGGTTGCTAGAAGCTCACAAGTTGTTACTTAGGGTTTACAAGGGGATTATTACTAATTAGGGGTTAATTACTAATTAGGGGTTAATTACTAATTAGGGGTTAATTACTAATTAGGGGTTAATTACTAATTAGGGGTTAATTACTAATTAGGGAAACGTGGGAGTGATTTGTGGCCTAACAAAGTGGATAATTTGGGATCGAAGCTGGTTGATGCAGAGTGGCTCTAACGACCAATTTGAACAATAATAAAATAACCCGCTAAAATGAAAACAATTTCTCTTAAATAGCACTACACGTACATGATACAAACTTTTAATAAAAGTGCAATTTCACTCATGCTAAAATTACATTAGATGTTTGGTTTAGGTATTATTTTTGTGTGGTTTGGTCTGTTCATAATCTTGTGACCAGAATGGACCTTTGCATAAATTTGTCAAGCCTTATAATTATATTTGTAAACAAGAGTTACAACAGTATGCTTCCCAAATTGTAGCTTTCTACCGCAAACATTAATTTTGCTGCGGTTACACCAAGCACGATTGATTTTCCTTACCACCATCACCCCCTCTTCAAAGAAGCCTGTAGGGCTTTCTAGTTCTTCCTGCCATTGGAAAAAGTCACAGATAGGGGGGCATGAAATTATTTAATTGATAAATTTTCACGTGGCTGCTACCTTTAAAATTTGGAATGACGATGACACCCCGACCCCCGAACTTAAAAGGACGAAGTAAGAACGCTAAATCATACCTTGTCCTGGTGAGAGGTAAAGTAACTGGGCCTGGTTCTGTGGTTGTTTAGTTTTCGTTTCCTTCGCTCAGCTTCTTCCGTTGCTTTAGTTGGTTTGGCGGGTTCTGCCGCCGGTGCCGCCGCCGACAGCTTCTTCTCCAAATCTCTGAGATAATTGTTAAGAACTTGTTATAAGGGTACAATTACTCATACGGTACAGAGTTCCCCAAACGGTATAATAACGGTACAGTTCATTTCCCAAACATTACAACACCTCATTTTAAACGGTACCTCATTTCCTTGAAGAAAGGATGTCTGACAGCCTGCCGAGCACTGATCCTGTCATCAGGATCGTAAACTAGTAACTGAAGGAGTAGTTCTCTGCAGTCCTTCGAACCAAACGGTATCATCTTCGCTAAACCCGTCCCTTGATAGAAAAGGTTGGTTAAGAACGGATTTCACCTGAGAAATTCTGGGAGTGAAATTTTGGTTCAAGTCCGAGCATTGCAAGAAGATGTCCAGATTAAAATATAAACGGCAATAATTATCGTCCGTTAACCGGTGCTCACTTACCCCTTTTATACGGAAAATTAAAGTCCAAACTCCGTGACTTGTACTTGCGAAGTTTGTCCAGAGTTGATTGTGACGGAGTGCCCAATACGTCGTGGATCTTTGCTACCTGAGATAATTAAGTGAAGATATATAGGAAGCTGGAAAATAACCAGCCAAATACCAGTGAAAGTGTAAAAAAGCTGTGGAAGAACTTAATTTACTGTATGGTTGAACGAAAAGTATGACATGTACCGTTGCCTACTATTTTGACCCATATTCTAGATATTAAAGATTTTTCCGACAATTTTTGATCAGTGTTTGAGATTGTTGAACATTTGATGCCCAGGAAACATTGGATTCATTATAATATTATTATATGTACTCTCCGTGTATTTGAGAACTTAAATTTTGTCACAGACTGATTAATAATATTGAGAAATTGTTGTTGAGACATCTATCCATAGACAATAATCTAGTACCCAGGTGGGCTGTCAATTGTTTCAGTCGATGATCAGGTATCTTAATCTAGGTCTGACTTCATATAACGTACCATGGAGCCCCCAAATTTGATTAATATTTGAGACAATTAACCACATGGCCGACTAAAAAGTTAGGGAACAGGGCCAGAGTCAGTCCTCGGTCAACAGTTAGCACCTGCCAAACCTAATCCCTGTTAAATTACAACTCTAATCCAAGTAGCGTCAGAATTACTAAATGTGATTGTTTCATCAAGTCAAGTACTAAATATGTACCCCACCGCACCCCTTCTGTTCAAACCACCGCTTAGCCTTAGACAGGGAGCCGACCTCATCTTTCTACAGTTGATAAAGCATGAGCACTTGATAATCGATAGAACTTTTTACTATTACCAGCCCAAAGTTTATTGTTACCAATTAACGGTTCAGTAATTTAGGACAATAATAAGTAATAACGTGCCATATCTTTTGAGGAGCCGAATCATACAGCTACTATAAAAGATAAGAGGTCTTATCCACAGCAGTTAAGTTTGAATCGTTTCAATAGTAGTGAAGTCGAAGAAACAACAAGATGAAACTCTTTCTAATCCTTACTTTGGTGGCAGTGGTCTCGACTAGCCGTGGCCCGATGAGCAGAGGTTTCGCTAGCCTGGTATCCAGTTTGACCGCTGACTATGAGGACGATATGGAAGAGATTCTGAACTCTGAGGAGGTCTACTTGGACGCCCTAGCTCGTAATGAAGAAGTCTACTACTCCGGAGTGGAGTTACTGATCGGAGAGGAGGAGGAGCTTGAGGACGAACCTATCAACGAAGATGATGGAGAAGAGGAGAGCGACTCTGGTGAACCTGATGTTTCTCACCTACCTGAAGTAGTGGATAACAGGGAAAAGGGCATCGTGCACAAAGCTATCAACCAGGGTATGTGTGGTTCCTGCGGCTGGGTCTCTGGGACACAGACATTGGAAGCTAGGATCGCCTACATCTCCGAGAACTGGATCCCCTACTCCATCCAGAATTTCATGAACTGCGCCGGAAAGCCGTGTTTGGGAGTACAGCCATATTCCGTCAACACCCAAGCAAGGAAGAGCATGTTTATTGTCTCAGAAGATCAGGTTCTGTACACAAAGAGGGCGTGCGTGAAGCAGGACGAGGGAAAGAAAGCTTGCTACGCTAACTGTGGCAAAAAGAACCCCGCTAACTTTGTCAACGCTCTGGACGACCAGTTCGTCATCATCGCAGGCACAAGATCCGCTCAATCACCAGCTAAAGCAATGGAGGCTTTACAAGAAGGCCCACTTACCACATGTTTCTCCAAGAAGAGCAAGGAAGAAGGAGAGAGATGCAGCAGCGGGTGCAGTCATGCCAACTCCATCATCGGCTACAGCAACGATAAATGGCTCATACAGGAGAGTTACGGGAAAAACTGGGGCAAGTATGACGACGGCAGCTGGGAAACTACCAAGGGTTCTCTCTGCGCTGACGCTATCATCAAGAAGGCCTATTACCCAAAGATTGTGTACGATTATGACAGGGCTAATGCCTACTTCACTTCCATTGAGGGAGGAGTGAACGAGCTGGAGCTGACGCTTGTGGAGAAGGAACAGTACGGCATCACTGTTAACAATACAAAGAACTGGGGAACTGCCAAGAACAAATGTGCCTTCATTGGTTCAGCCTGCAAAGGAGTTGCAGCCCTTTCTTCTGGAATATTCGAGCTTATCTCGGACTTTGGTGCTGGTTCAAACGGAGAACAACCTGCTTTCAAGAAGGTCCAGATGGTTATCTATCTCCGTCACGAGGAATCCGGAAAATACATCGGAATCAAGAAGAACAGGAAAGGTAAACTGCACGTTATTGCGGTGGAAAAAAAGAACGCAGCCCCATTCTTTACCAGCTATGCAAGGTTCATCTCCTTCGACTACCCCAAATACCACTTAGTGGACAACGTCCTTGAGCTGATAGTTGGAGGAACTAAAGAGATTGACGTTTTTAAATCCTGGACTCTCAACGGCTGCAACATCTACAACGATGTCAGCGGAAACTCCTTCGACCAAATACCCGCCAAAAAAGGTAGCGATGTGTTGCTGGGAGCCAATAAATACAACCCTGAAGCCCCATCACAAAGATTTAACATCGGTTTGTCCGGAAGCTGGGCGCTGACATCTAGCGATCTGAAATTACCCCTGGCTAGCCGTAAGAACAGCAGGATCTTCACGGATGACGACAAAGCTTCTATACTCCGATTTAGGTGGAATGCTAGGCAGATGATAACAACACAAGCAACCCCCTACGGTCCTGACATGAATCTGACTGGAGGTGAATTTAAGTTCGAGGACAAAGAGAATGCTATGAGGCCCCGAGATTGCGCTGTTTCCAAACTCATCCCCATGGGATTTGAAGATCATCTTGCTTTGGAGAACGGAGAAGTGGTGATGAGCTCAAACACGGACAGCAGATGGACTTTCGAGTACGCCGATTTGTAAGATGAAGTTTTTATGTTTTAGTTGATTTTATGGTTAATGGTTGTTATTTACGTTTTTGCATTATATATCAGTGATATCCTGTTTTCATTTGTTGAAAAGCTTCACTGCAGAACTGCAGAAGTCACCACTAACGAGAATTATCAAAAAATATAAGGAAATTAAAATTGAATCACAAATACTTGGAGATTAATTAATTTGGTTGCTAAGATACACTTCTGGTTAAATGAAGCACAAACCTGATCGACTTCATTAGCACCAGGGAAAAGGGGGTGAAGTGTCATGATCTCGTACATAACACAACCTATGCTCCATATATCCATCTTATGGTTGTAATACCTGACAAAATCGTCCATAAAACTTAAAGTTATTGAACTTAATAATATTTTACTGGGAATTGGGCTCGAGCGATTAAAATAGCATAGCATTACAGGATTTACCGTAGAATTTCATCGCCCTTGTAAGACAAATGAGCTGGTAACCAGAGAAATCTTGGCAATGACCCAAGTGAAAGTAGCAGTCTTGTGTCATCTTGAGGTATAACAGTCCTGTGGTGAGTGATTGTGACTGTGACTGTGACTGTGACTGTGACTGTAACTGTGACTGTGACTGTAACTGTGACTGTGACTGTGACTGTGACTGTGACTGTAACTGTGACTGTGAAGCTGTGACTGTGAAGCTGTGACTGTGAAGCTGTGACTGTGAAGCTGTGACTGTAACTGTGACTGTGAAGCTGTGACTGTGACTGTGACTGTGACTGTGACTGTGACTGTAACTGTGCTTGTGACTGTGACTGTGACTGTGACTGTGACTGTAACTGTGACTGTGACTGTGACTGTGCTTGTGACTGTGACTGTGACTGTGAAGCTGTGACTGTGACTGTAACTGTGACTAACTGTGAAGCTGTGACTGTGACTGAAGCTGTGACTGTGACTGTGAAGCTGTGACTGTGACTGTGACTGTAACTGTGACTGTGCTTGTGACTGTGACTGTGACTGTGACTGTGCTTGTGACTGTAACTGTGACTGTGACTGTGAAGGTGACTGTGACTGTGACTGTAACTGTGACTGTGCTTGTGACTGTGACTGTGACTGTGACTGTGACTGTAACTGTGACTGTGAAGCTGTGACTGTAACTGTGACTGTGACTGTGACTGTGAAGCTGTGAAGCTGTGACTGTGAAGCTGTGACTGTGAAGCTGTGACTGTGACTGTAACTGTAACTGTGACTGTAACTGTGACTGTAACTGTGCTTGTGACTGTGACTGTGACTGTGACTGTAACTGTGACTGTGACTGTGACTGTGCTTGTGACTGTGACTGTGACTGTGAAGCTGTGACTGTAACTGTGACTAACTGTGAAGCTGTGACTGAAGCTGTGACTGTGACTGTGAAGCTGTGACTGTGACTGTGACTGTGACTGTGAAGCTGTGACTGTGACTAACTGTGAAGCTGTGACTGTGACTGTAACTGTGACTGTAACTGTGACTGTGACTGTAACTGTGACTGTAACTGTGACTGTGCTTGTGACTGTGACTGTGACTGTAACTGTGACTGTAACTGTGACTGTGCTTGTGACTGTGACTGTGACTGTGAAGCTGTGACTGTGACTGTGACTGTAACTGTGACTAACTGTGAAGCTGTGACTGTGACTGAAGCTGTGACTGTGACTGTGACTGTGAAGCTGTGACTGTGAAGCTGTGACTGTGAAGCTGTGACTGTGACTGTGACTGTAACTGTGACTAACTGTGAAGCTGTGACTGTGACTGTGACTGTGACTGTGCTTGTGACTGTGACTGTGACTAACTGTGAAGCTGTGACTGTGACTGTGACTGTGACTGTGACTGTGACTGTGCTTGTGACTGTGACTGTGACTGTGACTGTGACTGTGAAGCTGTGACTGTAACTGTGACTGTGACTGTGACTGTGACTGTGACTGTGACTAACTGTGAAGCTGTGACTGTGACTGAAGCTGTGACTGTGACTGTGACTGTGACTGTGACTGTGACTGTGACTTACCCGTCAGTAAGAACACACTCTGGGGCCCTGTACCACCTGGTTGAGATATACTCAGTGTAAGGCTGTTTACTGAATACTGATCTGCAACTTCCAAAGTCTCCTAGCTTCACCTTTTCTGCCTGGAAATTTGTAAGGCGGTGTTAACCGTGTTTTAGTAAAGATTACCGGTAATGAAGTCATTTAAAAAAAAGAGTTTTAACCTTTTATAAAAAATTAATACAAAAACTTCAGATTTACTTTTTTTAAAACGGCTATTATTAATCTATGTATTCTACATTTTAAAGGTGGGTGCAAAGACTCATTTTTATCATATTATGTATTATTTATTCCTCGTCAAAATATTAGGTCGTTGAATCCGCGGTCATCCGCGGTCACTTAGTTTAGTTAATACAACTTTAATTCACACTCATGCCTTACCCGCAACAACACGTTCTCCGGTTTAACATCCCGATGGAATATTCCATTCTTGTGAAGATGCTCAATACTTTTACAAAGCTGGAACATGTAACTTCTGATATCTGATTCTGGTAGGTAGGACTTCCTTCCTGACAACAGACGTGATGTTGGAGGCTATGATTTGAGAATGTAGCACTGTAGATTGGGAAAATTAAACTGAGCTTGTAACAACTATTTTTAGTGTAAATTTGTTCTGCTTCAGGATGTCCTGCCTCAATAACTCATTCCCGGGTGCCCCGTCATCATGACCCTAGTATTAACGCTTACCCTAACCCAGGCTCTCACCCCAGTAATAAATGTATTCTTCATGTAAACCCTAACCGGAAGTACTGAAGCAGGAAAACCAGGAAAACCCTGTATTTGCAGTGCACACGATGAAATATAACGTTATTATTTGGGGTCATGCAGGTATTTGAAACACGTTAAATTATAAGATACCTACAGTATGTAAATTGTAAATAATGATATGCACACAAAATGCAGAATGAAAGTTTTGTAACGTAATAACACATGCAAACTTTTTAAGGGTCAAAATCATTCACACTATATTCTCAGAGACGGAGGCAAGAAAGAGGCGAAGGTACTGCTGTACTTGCGCTGATACAGCACACAGTTTTACCCAAATTTTGCATAAACGGGCTAACTTCAGGGAGGTCCTGACCGGTAATGCCCCGCACATGCAGATCTTCGTTATGTTTCCGTATTCTATTAGAATACTGAGTTTGTAGACCTGTCGTGTCGTTCATGTACGACCGCCGCTCTGGGAATTAGGTCCGAAGTTGGCAAGACTATTATTGGACATTGTGACCACTTGGTCACAGGGTAGAGAAGCAAGGTGTGTCTGACCGTGAGCTGATTTCAGACTTTAGTTTTTAAAGGGCTTGTTTAAAAACAATCCTTTCAGCCTTCCGGAGATACTTATTACCTTGAATTGTTAAGCGATTCGACAGAAAGAATCTGTTGAGCAATAATTTGAAGATATTTTAGGTAGTAACAATTTTGACATGCATATCCTGAAGTAAGAAGTTCTTGTGGCGCAAGCCAAATCGAGACTCCGTGAATAACGATGTGCGCGCGGCGTCACGCGCGTTTAAAATTGACACAGTGACTGCGCTGGTATTTGATTTAAGATAATGAATGTCGCCGCGCCTTACAAAAAGCTTCTATTTTTTCCGACCAATTTGGCCTCTTTAACTTTATTTATCAGACAATTTCCAATAAAAACAGCGCACAAAGATCTAGTAGGCTGTAGGCATGACATCATTTAAATGGTAATGATTTTCAGTAACTGAAGTTAGGATGAAAAGAGGTCTACTTTAAACACGAAACAAACCTCTAATCAACTCATATAGGTTCTGGTCCATCAACTCGCATATTAGCGACAATATCCCCGTTTTCTTATTACTGAAATAAAATGTAGAGTTAGGTCAAGTGAATAACATATTTAAATTATACAAGAGTCGATTGATCGCTATAGATTTTACCAGGAGCCTTTAAACGTTAGTGGGCTACGGTAAACAGCCTACACGGCTTAAATTATCGTTTTAAAACATGATATGCTATAACTAAAAGTTTAATAACCAGCTACCTTTTTACCAGAAACGTATTATATCGTTAATTAAGTAAGTCATAAATCACAAACCATCAGGTTTATAAGCTTTTAAGGGCTCCAAACAAGTCCCAAGAAAATTCAAAGAAATCATAAAGAATCTAATTAAAACTTTCCCAGAAAGAAGGATAATCTCTCATTTTTGAATCGATAATTAACTTCCAAGGAATAAAATCCCCCTTAATTACATCTAACCATAAATCCTGTGAACCTTGTTTCACCACCTGTTCACTAGGCCCCGAAACCTGGTTACAGGGTCTAATCAAATCCCTGGTAGAAAAGTAGTACTCTCTCTAGATTGTGTACACATAGCATATCGGGTTACAAAATGAGAGGCTATGGTAAAATGTTACCATGGCAACCGCTAGTCATCACTTATATTTTATTGTGCGTGACGTTTAGTATTTAATAGCGTTCTACTACAAGAGTCCGGATAGAAATTGTTGCATAAGAAGGGTTGTGACGTCATGAGATAGTGAGATAAGAAGGTTGTGACGTCATGATGTAGTGAGATAAGGAGGTTATGACGTCATTATTGTCGTTTAGAAAAAACGATGTTTAGGAGAAAGTTGTTGTTGTTTATGAAATGGGTTATATTTTATGTAACGTTTAAGGATGAAGTTTGGCTTGACATCACAACACTTATTTCATTGACGCCATCTGGATAAGAAGTAGTTAAGTTTAAGATAAGAAATTGAGCATTGCCTCCCCCCACGCAGAGTACATTATTTCAGTGCTGTCATAAAACTCGTAAAGAGAGAGAGGAGAGTTGTGGTATCTTAGCAACTATTCTTATTAATACTCCTAACAGCTTATCAGGTAATGACTACAGAAAATGGACCCTATTATCGGTGTTCTCATCTATTATGCATGATGGCATTCCATTATATTCTATCTATCAAGCTGTTATTCATGATTACATCCGGTTATTACTGACATCAGTTCAAAATCTGCATTGTTTGATTTAATGTTTTTCGATTATTCAGTATCCGAGAAAGTAATCGTATCAATATACTTATCTATATATATTTCATGGCTGGACTTCTACACAATAAAAGAAAGCGGTTGTGATTAGATCTTCGAAAGTCTTTGCATCGTTTATTTACATCAATTCTGAGAAATTATATCATTAAAGTAACTACAACAAATACGAATCATATACAATTGAGAATAAATACAAACTAAAAGCAGTGGGAAAATCTGATGAGCTGAAATTTAAAAAAGAAACTGAAAGCCGTTAAAAATGTACTCTTATCTTATCTCTTATCTAAATACTGATAACTGATTCTCGGAAAATCACTTAAAATCACAACAAAAACCTGTAAAATTTATAATTAAGTAAAAAATGTAATATGCACGTCTCTGGAATAATGGTAGAACTAAATAAAATCTACAAAATATACTAAAACTAAAACTAAGCTCCGGCAGATTTAAAAAGTAGATGGTTACTATCAAGGGTGTTCATACCCCCAAACCGTTCAAGGGTTTTCAATTGGGTCTGGTAGAACCCCTCTCTAGCTTCCATAGCCTTTTCTTTGTCTGCTTTACTAATATTAGGCTCAAATACTAAAGCGTCTACTATAATGACAGAAAGGTGCTTACTAAGTGAGGAATTATAGGAGGCTATGGTACTAAAATCTAAATCATGATCAATATCTAAAAAATGGTTAACTAATTTACAACTTCTTATACCTTTCTTTATGTGACTCTTATGGTTAGAGAATCTCTTAGGGAGATTTGAGGTAGTATAACCGACATACGACTGTTTACAAGTCTTACACTCCATTAAATAAATGAGGTTATAACTCTGACAAGATATATACTTAGTTATAGGGAAAACTTGTTTAGAATGGTGACTACTAAAATTGGAACAGGGGGACAGGAACTTTTGCTTACAAACATAACATTTACCACAAGCATGGCACCCTGGGTCGACAGCCCCGGGAACCGCCCTTAGACTTTCGGAGTCTGGTTCCTGGATCTGGCTTGCAGTTGTTTCTCTCTCATTATCACAGTTTATATATATATTATATATAATAAGCAATGATTTAAAATCTGATCATCTTGACAGCAAGCATTTGAGCGAAATTTAACACATGCAGCACGTGACTCTTCTAAACTGCACAGTTTGCAAAATAATATCTCATTCCAAATTTCGAGTAGATTCAAATTTAAGTAAGGATCTTATCCCACAACATCCAAAGTAAGAACCGTGTATTTTGTTTCCCAGCATTCAGAAATGTGGCCTCTATTATCCATGTGTTGGCTATATTTGCTTCAACAGAAATAGCAGTAATCTGTAAAGCCGGATGCCAATTACCTGAATCTTGTATAGACTGTACATGAGGTAATTGATAGGTCACTGAGGTAATTGATACGTGATACCTCAGATACCAGTAATTTCAAACCACTACCATCCATTACTTGTCTACATTTGCAAAGCACTTGAATATAAAAGAACGTACTGTATCTGGATTCTGGAGGTTGTCTGTTTTAAAATGGGCTTATAAATATAAAATATGCTACAGTTTCTTCATTTGTCTGGCGCCATAAAATGCATTTTGGCATCAAAAGTATCCTGATAAAACCATAAAAATAGGGTAAAATTAGGAGATAATCTCAAATTTGCTCCACTGTTCTAAGTTGATACAAACTTAGAATGCCCTTACTAAGCTGCACAGAATATTTAATTACTTATTGTAGCATTACTAATTGTTGTACATAATATATCAATATTCACTATTCAGTAAGGTTAAGTACGGCCATAAAAATAGAACATCATTACTAAAAAACCCAATGATTTCCTGGATAATTTAAACTTGAAGCTAATACATGTGAACGCCCTGAACAGTAGCTGTAAGTACCAGCTACATATTATAGCATTATTTGCACGGTTATTAATACGTATATATACGTATATATATATTACATACGTATTATATTATATATAATCTCAATAAAGTATGTACATTGCACCACACAACATCAGCTGATAGTATAATTAATACAAATAATGTTCAAGTACTACTGCAGCCGAGCCTGGTGTCAATTTAAAGCTAATCATCTTCTGCTTGAGAGTAATTCAGATGTAACATGTACAAATATAGTGTGTTTGAGAGAGAATTATCAGTAGTGATGAGAGAGATACAGTGTTTGAAGGAGAAAAAATAGAGAGAGAAAGAGAAAGATATAGAGAGAGAGAGAGAGAGAGAGAGAGAGAGAGAGAGAGAGAGAGAGAGAGAGAGAGAGAGAGAGAGAGAGAGAGAGAGAGAGAGAGAGAGAGAGAGAGAGAGAGAGAGAGAGAGAGAGAGAGAGAGAGAGAGAGAGAGAGAGAGAGAGAGAGAGGGGAGAAGGAGATGGAGAGGAAGAGGGAGAGGGAGAGGGAGAAGGAGAGGGAGAGGGAGAAGGAGAGGGAGAGGGAGAGGGAGAGGGAGAGGGAGAGGGAGAGGGAGAGGGAGAGGGAGAGGGACAGGGAGAGGGAGAGGGAGAGGGAGAGAGAGAGAGAGAGGGAGAGGGAGAGGGAGAGGGAGAGGGAGAGGGAGAGGGAGAGGGAGAGGGAGAGGGAGAGGGAGAGGGAGAGGGAGAGGGAGAGAGAGATAGAGAGAGAGAGAGAGAGAGAGAGAGAGAGAGAGAGAGAGAGAGAGAGAGAGAGAGAGAGAGAGAGAGAGAGAGGGAGAGGGAGAGGGAGAGAGAGAGGAGAGAGAGAGAGAGAGAGAGAGAGAGAGAGAGAGGGAGAGGGAGAGGAGAGAGAGAGAGAGAGAGAGAGAGAGAGAGAGAGAGAGAGAGAGAGAGAGAGAGAGAGAGAGAGAGAGAGAGAGAGAGAGAGAGAGAGAGAGAGAGAGAGAGAGAGAGAGAGAGAGAGAGAGAGAGAGAGGGAGAGGAGAGGAGAGAGAGAGGGAGAGAGAGAGAGAGAGAGAGAGAGAGAGAGAGAGAGAGAGAGAGAGAGAGAGAGAGAGAGAGGAGAGAGAGAGAGAGAGAGAGAGAGAGAGAGAGAGAGAGAGAGAGAGAGAGAGAGAGAGAGAGAGAGAGAGAGAGAGAGAGAGAGAGAGAGAGACGTGTCATGATATTTGTTAAAAATAACAATATTTTAAATTTACCCCTGAATTTAGCCACTCCTAAGAACTTGATATAACTTAGATCTTACATAATACTACAATATAACATGTATAATAAATAGTGTTTAAGTGAGAGAAGAAAAAGATGGGTCCTTTAGATCAGCACTGCAGTGCTGTGTCAAGCACTTCTATAACAATTGGTTAAGTGGTCATCATCACACCGGATCACTAACCAGAATAACGATAATTGATACATATCAAATACATGACAATTTAAAAAAAAGTTCAATCTAATTTCTTTTCGAACTTTCAACATTCTTATCTTCCAGTGTTGACCATCAATCTAGATATGTTTCAAGCAGTTCAATAGCACTTGGGCAGGTGAAGGTATGTAATCTGTATCATCCGAGTGAATAAGTTAGTGATTATCTACTCTGAAAACCACTAGATCTACTATTCTGTAGGTGTGTGCCGAGTTATGTATCAAGCAGCTGATATCTATCATTGACACATGGTTAAAAGTACATGATAAGTGTCCAGATAATAGAAAATTTAAAAACCACTTTCAACTTCTGATGAATCTGATATGATAGCACTTTTAACTTCTGAAGAATCTGATATGATAGCACTTTCAACTTCTGAAGAATCTGATATGATAGTACTTTCAACTTCTGAAGAATCTGATATGATAGCACTTTCAACTTCTGAAGAATCTGATATGATAGTACTTTCAACTTCTG